TTTTATGCCACCTTTTGCCCTCTAAGGCTTACAAGGTATTTCTCTCCACCAGCCCCATGTGAGGTAGGCTAGCCTGAAAGAGAGGGTCCCTGATCCGAGGTCACCTAGTGAGCTTCGTGGCTGAGCCAAGGGGGCTTTGACCCTGGATGTCCCTGGACTTATTCACTAGACCACACTGGCTGGTGTGTGAGAGAGAGTTGTAGTGGTTAAGAAAAAAAGGTGGGGTAGAAATGCAACCAATCCATTAATTAAAATTCTGCACATGGTCAGAAGCACTCTCTTCTTGTAGCCAGGCTTTGGTGCAGGAGGAGGATGACCCAGATGCAGCCAAGGGACCATGAAGATGACCTCTGGTGTGGGAAATTAACCCCATGGAGCTGTAGGCCCCAGCTGGGGGGACCTTGTGTATAAACTGCTTGGTGTTGGACTGGGTATTGTCAGCATGGCGTGATTTTTAGGGTTTTGATTCCCCCCCCCCAATGTTCCTCTAGATGAGTGGTTTCTAAACTTTTTGGGGGCCCTCACCCCCATAAACTCATCCCCAGTGCCATGATAAAATTCAAAACAGTAACAATTGATTGTGTATTTATTCAAAATATGTTTTTGGTCTATTTTTATTTTAACTCCTCAGATGTTTTGCTCTCTGTTTTTCTTAGTGATCATTTTATTGTTTAATCTTTGAGGTGTTTCTCTCTTTACAATCAGGCGGTGTATAAATCTTATGAACTAACTAAATAACTAAATAAAATCCAATTAAAACTATGTAGTTTAATTAATTCAACATAATTGATGGACTCGATCCGGTGATACCAGCTTTTCATAGTCTGAGAGTCATTTACACCTCCAGCTCCCCCCTGCTGCCCCCTTGCCTCCTAGCATCCCCCTAGGTAATCTCTCCAGCATATGGCACTGCTCAGCCCCTGGCCTAGATCCTGCCCTGCCCTGTCCACTATCTGGTCCTCAGACTCTCAAAGAGCAGGAGACATGGGGGGAAAGGAAGGTCTTCTTCCTGGGCTCCTTTCTGCTAAATGCCTTCACGACTCTGAAAGACTTGGGAGGTCCCAGGGCACATGGCCAAAATACAGCTCCATCACAGCCAGGGAAAGATGGAGAGGGGGGGACTGTATCCTTGCCAGCATCCACACACCTCCCTCCCCCCCCCCCCGAGTTGGCAGCATGTGAAAAATGTGGGGTGAGCTGTGGCACTGCCTCTAGAAGCCTCACCTCACATTCATCGTCACAGCAGAGGTCTCTCCCCCCCCCCCCGCACTGCTGCCATCCATCCCACTTAGGGCGCTTGCTGCCAAGGTAACCAGGTCTTGAATCACAGAATTGTAGAGTTGGACCACGGGGGTCATCTAAGCCCAACCCTCTTCAAATGCAGGAATCTTTCACCCAACGTGGGGCTCGAACCCACAACCTGGAGATTAAGAGTCTGATAGGTCTCTTTCCATGGCAGAGCTCCGATCACCATCCAGTCCAAAGGACACCTCTGGCTGGTCCACTGGTCATATCAGTGGTTCCCAAATTGGGCTGTAACACCCAATGGGGAGATAATAATAATAATTATTATTATTATTATTATTTATACCCCACCCATCTGGCTGGGTTTCCCCAGCCACTCTGGGCGGCTCCCAACAGAATATTAAGAACACAATTACCGGGGGGGGGGGGGGCACTGTAAATGACTTTCAGACTGAAAAGCTTTGAAAAGTTGATCAGTTGGGTCAAATTAATTCAACTATAGAGTGTTAACTGGGTTTCTTTAAATTAATTGTGCAATTAATTATTCTGAATGCAATGGTGTTATTATCTTCCTTAGCGGGTTATGCAAACCACTGTTCTGAATGATGCTTATTAAAGGGTAGCACAGGGGGCATTGGGAATGAGGTCATGGGGCCAAGACAGCCTGAAAAGGTTTGGGGACCAATGAGTTATAGGCAGCTGATGGTGAAGTGGTCTTCTTCTTCTTTGGCGATTAGTTGTAGCAGAGTACGATTGTCTTCCATGAACACAGTGATTCTTAACAGTGAGTCCGTAAGTGACTGTGGAGGCCGAGGTGAGGTGGTAACTGCAGCTGGCCCAATGCCCCACCAAAAAGAAAATGAAAGCGATGCCCCCACTTTGGCACCTGTGGGTTGGTAGCTTTATTTCTTTATTCATTTGCCTGAAAGCCTTCCCGCCCTGAATGATCATCAGCCCTAGCAGTTGGGCAAAGTTCCACAAAGCCCAGCAGATGAAGGCAGAGGCCTGGGCTGGGGCTCCTTGGCCACCTGCTCCTGGCGGGTCCAGAGTCCCTTCGCTCCAGCTCTTTATGGCACGGCTGTTAGCATTGCTTCCTGTGGGTGCCAAGTGAGCAGGGCAAAGTTCTCCTGGGTGCCAGGGAGCTGCCAAGAAAATGTGCCTGCCTCCCTGGGTTATGTGCCTGGTTTGCTCCTTGCCTCCTGAGATGGAGAAGCTGTGAATTTGGAGGCTGGCTTAGGGCAGGGATGGCTAACATCTGATAGTCCCTCAAAGGCAGCATTTTCCAGCGCTGGAGTGAAGAGAGAGAGATCCTGTCATTTACTCTTAAAGAGAAGGCAGGTGATTTATCATAAGAACATAAGAGGCGGCAGCTGAGTCAGGCCAATGTATACCTGAAGGAGCGTCTCACCCCCATCGGTCAGGCTGGACACTGAGGTCCGGTTGCGAGGGCCTTCTGGCAGTTCCCTCACTGCAAGAAGTGAAGTTACAGGGAACCAGGCAGAGGGCCTTCTTGGTGGTGGCGCCCTCCCTGTGGAACGCCCTCCCATCAGATGTCAAGGAAATAAACAACTATCTGACTTTTAGAAGACATCTGAAGTCAACCCTGTATCTGGAGGTTTGATATTATGACTGATATTTAGTTGTGTTTTATATTATGTCAGAAGCTGCCCAGAATGGCTGGGACAACCCAGATGGACAGGGTGTAAATAAAATAATGCTACTAATAGTAGTAATGCTGCTAATTCTAATACTAATATTTCCAGCGTCCTCTTCTCACAGCGGCCTGCAAGGAAAGCCCAGAAGCAGGACCTGAGCACAATAGCCCCTCTCCCCACCCTCTGTAGTTTCCAGAAACTCGTTTTCAGAAGCACTGCTGCCTCCAACTGTGGAGGCAGAGCTGAGCCACCCTTATTCATTTATTTTTATTAAAGATTTTACCGGGTACTTGTTTACAAAAGTACATGCCTTGTCTCTTTTTCCAGGTTGTACAGTCTTTCTTACAAATCAGTTGCAAGAGACATTAGTGTTGAGTACAGTATAAGGTTGAGGAAGGGTGGGGAGGCTTATATTCTTTCATATAGTGTACATGTGGGGTTTTGTCAACTGAGTAGGTTCTCTTTCTATTCGTTTATTACATTTCCTTGGTAGTGAGAGGTATTGGGGGGGCAGGGTGTGGTTGGTTGTCTGTGGTTGTCTGCAGTGAGGTTTGTTTGCCTTTGTGAGGGGGGGGGGGGAGGCTTGTTGGGTCAGGTAAGCCAGATTGATTCGTATGCTGTCAGTGTGTTCTTGTTATTGTCTTGTTGGGCTGTGTATGTGATAAAGGGGAGCCATACTGGGGGGAAGGTGTCCTCTTCTATTTCTCCCCGTGTCAGTTTCAGTTTATTGGTTAGCTTTTGCAGCCAGGCCATTTCCCATACAATTTGATACCACTGGTCCATTTGATACCACTCCTGGCGGTGTCTAGCTATGAGGCTTCTGGCTGCTGAGAGTAGGTGGGTTATAAGCTCTCTGTAATGTCACTATGATATTGGAAGATGTTCAGTAGGGCCAATTCTGGGTGAGTTCTAATACCTGTTTGCACATCTCTTGTAGGGCTGCTGTCCAGAAGGGTTGGATTTTAGGGCATTGCCACCACATGTGGAGGTTATGTGCGCGGAGGTGCAGCCTCTCCAACATCTTGGTGAGGTTCCTGGGCGTATCAGCGCCAGTTTCCGTGGTGTTAAGTTCCACCTGTAGGTGAGTTTCAAAGTGGGTTCCCTTCTTTTGGCTGATATGGACTTAAAGGGAGGTTTAGACCACACTCTAGTCCATTGGGCGGGGTTAATTTCATAGCCTATGTCATGCTCCCATTGTTCTTTGATTCTGAGGCTCCCTTAATAGCTTTATTGTTCTCCGCAAATTTCTCCACTCCTTTTTAAGAAAGTAATCCAATCTGGTGGCTGCCGCCTCCTCCTGCAGAAGGGAGTTCCATGGTTTAACTATGTACTGCGTGAAGAACTTTCTTTTATCTGTCCTGTATGTGAAAGATCTTCCTGTCTGCTCTTTAGACAAGATCTCTAAGGATCAGGCAGAGTGCTTTAGCTCTGTGGGGACAAAGCTGTGAGGGGTGTGGGGGCACTCATTATGGCTTAATCCATTGGTTGTGCTTAGCTGCTGCTGAGATGGAAAGAAGATAAAGTCTTTACCAGAGAAGAATGACAGATCAAGTTGATGGATTATGCCAAAATGGCTAAAATGACCGGAAGAATCAGAGATCAGGAAGACCAGAATTTTAATAAGGAATGGGGGAAATTTATAACTCATCTTAAAGACCATTGTAAACAGTTAAAATTGTGAGTAGGACTGGAATATCACTTGTAGTTTAATGGTAAATTTTCGACACAATGGAGAGGTACAAGATTTTGGATTATCATAAAAGATGCAGGAGGAAATGATTAACAATAGGACCCACAAAGGGGAGGAGGGAAGTCCAGGAGTTTCCTTGGAATCTTATTTTTATGTTGTATGTTGGATATGTGAGTGTAAAATTTTAATCCGAAGAAGATGATGAAGGCGATGTGTTGAATGGACTAATGGGCTAATCCTGGTTCCTCCTTTCCTCCGACAGCTTGTCTGCTGCAGGACCACCCCGTGGTCACTCCTGGGCAAAGGCCAAAGACTCCCCCTCCAGCATGGAAAAGGCAGCCAGTGGAAGTGGCCTGCAACGCCCCTCACTAGCTGAAAGGAGGTGTGGGGCTCCTGCCCAGACAAGGGAAGGGGTGCCTATCGGCTGTAACAGCAACTCCACGTGGAAGCCTCAAACCATTCCAGTGGGGGGGCTGTTATTTTGGATGGGCACCCAAAAAAGCATCTGGATGCCACTGAGAGACCAGGAGGACAAAGATCTTTTGACCCAGGCGCTTTGAGTATTATGTGCTCAGGGATGGACAGAGTGAGTAACAGAACATTTCGTGGAATTGTATGGCTGGAAAGGACTCTAGTGGTCATCTAGTCATAAGGAGGAGATTCCAGCTGAATGTTAGGAAGAACTTCCTGATGGGAAAGTCTGTTGGGCAGTGGAGTGAACTCCCTCCGAAGGTGGTGGACTCTCCTTAAATGGAGGATTTTAGACAGAGATTGGATAGCCCCAATCTGTCAGCGATTCCTTATCTGGGATTCCTGCATTGCAGGGAGTTGGACTAGATGAACCTTGGGGTTCCCTTCCAATCGCAGCATTCTATGATTCTATAATTCTGTTCAGAACAGCAAGCCTTTGATATAGCTTTATTTTCTGCCTTGTGGGTCAGGGCAGAATCCTGACCCCACACCGCAATGCAGCAGCCCAAGGGCCATTTTGATAGGCAATGCTTTTTAAATTTGACCACTTTAGAAATTCCATTTCCGTACAGGGCGGATGCATTTATTTCCCTGGCCCCTCTGTTAAACTTCCTTGCTGTCTGTCCTTTGTGTGGCACATGCGTCATGGGACAGCCACCCTGCAAGCCTAGAGCACCGTTTGTCAGAGGAGATAAAGGGGTATTTTTGAGGGCTTGATAAGAAACCGCAAAGCCACGTGGGAGGGTGTTTCACTGAAGAAGTGGGGCTGGTGACATCCGGGAAAGACTTTGACACAAAATAATCCTGTAGAGGTTGTTCCTGATTTGTTCCCACAAAATGTGCATGGAAAGATGCTCATTGAGCATGCACGAAACTTTTGTGGGGTTATATGAGTACAGTGGTACCTCGGGTTACAGACGCTTCAGGTTACAGATGCTTCAGGTTACAGACTCCGCTAACCCAGAAATAGTACCTCGGGTTAAGAACTTTGCTTCAGGATGAGAACAGAAATCGTGCTCCAGTGGCACAGCAGCAGCGGGGAGGCCCCATTAGCTAAAGTGGTGCTTCAGGTTAAAACAGTTTCAGGTTAAGAACGGATCTCCAGAGCGAATTAAGTTCTTAACCCGAGGTACCACTGTACTGTATTATCACACATTCCCACCCCATGCTGTTTCCCATCACAACCGCTAGATGGCAATGCTGTATAACAGCCATGTGCAATTTTGGGGCAAAGCAAATCTGGATCAATGCTCAGTAACAGCGCAATAACAGCTCGTCTGGAGGTCCCCTCAGAAAGGCAGGATGCTGTCAGACCAGGCCAGGCTGTTGGTCCTTCTGGCCCAGTATTGCTTACTCTGCAGGGAGCAGTTCTCCAGTGCCTCAGGCCCCTGCATCACCTGCTACCTCCACCTGGGCTCCTCCATCCCCTGTTCCCTCCATCACGGGAGCAGCTGGTCATTGAACCTGGGACCTTCTGCATGCCAAGCAGCTGCTCTGCCCACTGAGCTGTGGGTGCTGCCAGAGAACACTGGAAACTGCCTTTCATAGAATCGTGCAGCTGGGAGGGATCCCAGGGGTCATCTAGTCCAACCCCCTGCAATGATCCATTGATCTCGGCCTTGTCGAAAATGACAGGAGCCAGCTCTCCAGGATTGTATGCTAAGGCCCATCTGCCCATGAAAAGAGCATGGACAGGAGGTGGTTCCGGCCTTTGCAGGTGCACCCAAGGTGGGCTTTGTGCCCCATTTCCCCTGATGGGTCAACCAGGAAGAAGTGGTGCTCGGACGATGCATCCTGCTCCGAGGCAGAACCAGACCGAGGGCACACTGCTATGACCTATGAATTGACAGCCAGTCCCCCTCCTGTCTGCTGGCTGTCAGTTTTGTAGGACACAAGTATGTCCCTCTCCACGCCCTCCCTGCCAAGCGGCCCTTGGCCTGAGAAGGAAGGAAGGAAGAGAAGAAGAAGAAGAAGCAATTGTCAACAAGGGTGGAAGGGGGTAACTAGAAAACCAGAGCTAATGTGGCATGATGGCTAGAGCACAAAGGTTAGGCAAGTGCAATGGGATGGCGAGTTCACTCAAACCAGGAAGTTCACTGGGTGACCTTGGAACACCTCTCTCTCAGCTGAACCTACCTCACAGGTTTAGTTACAGGTAGGTAGCCATGTTGGTCTGCCATAGTCGAAACAAAATACAAAAATTCCTTCCAGTAGCACCTTAGAGACCAACTAAGTTACTTATTGGCATGCACACGAAAGCTCATACCAATAACTAACTTAGTTGGTCTCTAAGGTGCTACTGGAAGGAATTTTTTTATTTTGTTTCTACCTCACAGGGTTGTTGTGAGGATAAAATCTGGGTGGGTGGAAAGAGACTCATGCTTGCTGCCCTGAGCAGCTTGGAGGAAGGCACTGGCAAGATATAAATGTAGCAATTAAATAATAAATATGCAAAATTTCAACCCCCACCACCAGGCCTGTTTTCCTAGGTGAGAGTGAACTATATATTTTGCATTTTCCTCCTTTTTGAAAATGGGCGGAGTCTCCCTCGGAAAAAGCCAAGTTCTGAGGAGCAGGGAGTGACTGAGCCAGCCCCCCTGGGGAGGGTGCCCCACAACTGAGGTACCAGGAATACACCCCCTCACAAGCCCAACTGCCAAACCTCAGAGGGCAGTGGGGTAGTGAGTTTGGGGGCTGGCCTTGATCAAAACATACCGCTAAGAGAGGAGATTTAAAAGGTTAGGAGCAGCACTTGGGATGGAGCTCAGAAATGGAGCAGCAACTACAGGTGAAATTAAATACCCTGTGCTGTATTGCTGGGACTGTTGGATGTGTTTGGATCAATGGGAGGTTCTGAACAGACTTCCAGGGCAGCCCCAGGTAGAATGTATTGCAGCAGCCCATCCTGGAAGTTACCGAGGTGTGAATTTCTGTGGCCGGCTCTGTACTTATTACAGTGGTGCCTCGCAAGACGAAATTAATTCGTTCTGTGAGTTTTTTTGTCTTGCAAGTTTTTTCGTCTTGCGAAGCACGGTTTCAATTTTTTCGAAAAAGTCTTCAAAAACCTCAAAAAAGGCTACCACACCGCGTGCTATGAGTTGCTCCCCGAAGTCAAGTCGCAACTGCACCTCTTCAAGCAATGCACCCTGTATTACTGTCACGGTTTTAAGAAAAAGGAAACAAACTTGCAAGACGTTTCCGTCTTGCGAAGCAAGCCCATAGGGAAATTCGTCTCGCGAAGCAACTCAAAAAACCAAAAACTCTTTCATCTTGCGAGTTTTTCGTCTTGAGAGGCATTCGTCTTGCGAGGTACCACTGTACAAAGCTGGTAAAAAGCACCCCAGGCCACCATTTCCCACCAAAGCACTGCGCCAGAGTTGCAGTCCTGATTCTGCATGGGGAGCGCAGCCCCCTCCAGAACAAGCTGAGCATTAGGGGCCCAATGGAGGGAGGTAAGTGTGGAGTGGGGAACATGGAAGTCTAGCTGAAAACGGTGTAAACAAGTTTTGATGGATGCAATAATGGAATACTGAATGGTATAGTTTTTGTAAAGGATTTATGATTTGTAAAATGAACCATGGAAAGAGAAGAAGGGAAGTCATTGATATATTCAGGATGTTAAATGAGTATTTTAAATTGTAAAACAGAAAATTTAATAAAATATATATAAGAATATGGAAGTTTAACAAAGTTCTGATTTTTCCCATGTTGAATACTTCAATGCTTTTTTTAAAAAAAAAAACACAACAACAGCCAGATCATTTTTTTCTATTCTTGCTTCGCTGGTGCCCTAAGCATATACTCTGTCTGCCCATTGGGGAATCCAGTGCTGAGGCTGAGCTCCAAACCCTGAATCAGAAGATTCCTCCCCAGCAGGCAGGTCTTCTGTCTTCTCTAGATTAAGTTACAGGCATGTAATCAGCTGTACGCAGTTGGGAATCTGGCTTGCACCGGAGCAACAGCTCCCTGCCGGCTGCTCTGCATCATCACCGAAGCGCCAAGAACATGCAGACAGCAGCTGGCCTGATCCTGGGTGGATCCTGGGCCTCTGCGTGCCTCGCAGTTTGGCCCGGCTCCTCGAACCCCACCCATCTGCTCACGCAGACCCATGTTTGTGTGCAGAGCTAGTCTTGGATGCATCATGGTGAGTTTCCAGAAGTCAGGAACAAGGGGAGTAGCGGTGGGGCAAGGAGATAGTTTTGGAGCCGGGTTTAATGCACTCTCCCTCAGTCGCCCCCCAACACTTTTGATCAGGGGCTTCCAAACTGTGGTCCCTGGAGTCTGGGAATTGCAGCTTTAGACGGTTTTGTGTGTGTGTGTTTTGCTTTCCTTCCTTCAAAATGTGCTAAGCCGGTCCAGCTGGGTTTGCTCCCCTCCTGCCGCTCATTCTGCTCCAAACGCCTGCCCCACTGTCCTGCCCCGATGGCGCAGCTGGGGAGATGGAGGCAGTCTGGGACTCTGTCTCCTTTCTCGCTTTGCAGAGAAGTGCGGGGATGAAAGCCCCCATCCCCTGTCCCCGTGCAGGGTTAAAAGCCACCCTGCCCCCATTGTTACAGTCTCATTGTGGCTGATGATTGAGCCCAAGTCAACAGGAAAAGTCCCCAGCCTCTGCTTCCTTCCCTGGCATGGAAACCGGCTTGTTTGGATGGAGGAACCATTGCTGAGAGAGACCCGGGGTGTGCCTGCCTCCTCCTTGGCAAGTGGCCCTCTCTGGCTCTGGAGCAGCTCTCTGGGGCAGGGTGGGGTCCGGGGCCTTCCCAAAGCAGTGGTGGGAATCACAATGGCAGACTTCCTATAATGGGCATGTGGTTGGCTGGTGGGGTTGCAAGTTCAAGAGCATCCCAGACCTTGAGATTTCAGGACTCAAACCTGAGATCCTGGGGCTGCCCCTGGTGATGTCACAGAGGGAGGCCTGCAGTGATGTCATGGGGCACGCCCTGGAGATGGAGGTTAATTGGGAGAGAAGGGCAGGTTCCCCAGTGTGTTTGTGCTGCAATTTACAGCCAGCTCCTTGTTGGGCTGAAGCTTGCAAGCTGCATGCACAGTCTTCTTAATAATGGTTGTTGTTGTTGTTGTTGTTACTATTACTATTAAAGACACTCTCGCCCACCTGGAGATCCACAAAACAAATGAAATACCGTGAAGATCCCTGAAACGAGAAGTAATCAACCAGAAATGTTTTTTTCCCCTTAAACTTTTTGATTTTTATTATTTAGTTTATTGCTATACGATAATATTTCTAGTCGATTACTTCTCGTTTCAGGGATCTTCACAGTATTTCATTTGTTTTGTGTAATTTCTCAGTTACGTGACTGTCTTTTTTCACCTGGAGATTCAAGCTCCCCCCCACCCCCCCGGTGCCACCAGGAAGGGGCCAGGCAAACCGAGAGACTTCAGCTCAGACCTGGGGGCCTTTCAACCCTGTTGTCCACTGTGATCCATGTATTGCAGAGGTGGACTAGATACTCAGCAGCACATGTAGGCCAGAGTGACACATTCTTTCCTCGCCTTTGCTCCATTGGTGGCTGTGCAATGGACATAAGAGTGTCGTGATGTCAGGCCAGGCGCCTGGAGTTTCCACAGCCCAAGCGTGGGCCCCTGCTGAGAGAGCGATGGCTTCCTTTTCCTGATCGGAGGCCCTGTTTACTACAGCTTCCTAGCAGGATCAGGCCAGAGCTTCCCTTGCCCTGCCCTAAATCCTCACAGCCAGGCGTTCCTTGAGGACTGTTCCGTGAGGAAAAGCACCCACTCCGTGCTGGATTACGCAGTGGGCAGGCTAACCTCCTGCAGCAGAGCAAAATACAGAATGCGAGGAAATCAGATCCTGTTGTGTGTTGCGCATGACATGCGCATGCCTCCATTTCGACATATTTTGCATCATTCCAAAAAATAAATAAACACAAATATTTTACTGTTTGGTATTGTTTTCATTTTGAATTATACAGGAGATAAAGGTACCACAGTCTTTTTAGTGCTTTAGTGCTCTGAAAGGCTCTGTCCTTTTTATGGGGAGAGTGATAGGAAATACTCTCTGAGGAGCCTCCCCCCACCCCACCCCAAAGTGGTCAATGCTCCTCTGTGTCTCCCATCACCTGACCTTGGGCCGGAAATAATCCCAGCCACCCTCTGCTTCCAGAAAGGAGGCTTTGGATGCTGGCCCATCCATTTCGGAGGCTCACATGACTGCAGCCTCTGGGGCTGGGGAGGAAAACAGCCTCACAGGGGGGCCATTGTGCCTAGCTGATTGAGAAAGGCTCCTCTAAGGATGCTGGGGCAGGCGGAAAGAGAACTGCAGGCTTGCGCCAGGTCTCTTTCTCTCTGCCTCCTCTGCTCCCACACCTGCCTTGGTTTGACTCTGCCAGGCACCAGGCACACCCTTGGGGCGTGGCAAGCCAGCCTCCCCTGGAGATGCAGCTCAGCACATCAGTCTGCAATAAAGCACTGCGGGGTGGGCATTGGGATGAAACCCCTCATGCGCACCAGAAGAGGCCTTTCTGCCCCGCAGGAAATGTGGGAAGCAGGGGAAGATGCACACACACACTCCGGCCAGGCCCTTACCTGACTGTTTTGGCTGCCAAGGGCCTCCTTTACGGAGGAGGCCTCATGCCTCAGTAGGTCATGCAGTGGCGGTGATGCGATAAAGGTAAAAGGTAAAGGGACCCCTGACCATTAGGTCCAGTCGTGACCAACTCTGGGGTTGCGGCGCTCATCTCGCTCTATAGGCCAAGGGAGCTGGCGTACAGCTTCCGGGTCATGTGGCCAGCATGACTAAGCCGCTTCTGGCGAACCAGAGCAGCGCACGGAAACGCTGTTTACCTTCCCGCCAGAGGGAACTTCTAGGTTGGCAGGAGCAGGGACAGAGCAACAGGAGCTCACCCCATTGCGGGATTCGAACCGCCGACCTTCTGATCAGCAAGTCCTAGGCTCTGTGGTTTAACCCACAGTGCCACCCGCGTCCCGCTACCTTCAAATATCTGGGCTGCCACACGGAAGATGGAGCAAGCTTGTTTTCTGCTTCTCCCGAGGGAAGGACCCAAACCAACAGATTGAATTACAAGATGAGAGATTCCAACTAAACATTAGGAAGAACTTTGTGGCGGTAGAATGGATACCCTCAGAAGGTGATGGACTCTCCTTCATTGGAGGTTTAAGTAGAAGTTTGGATGGCCACCTGCCAGGGGTTTTTTAGCTGTGCTTCCTGCACTGCAGGGGGTTGGACTAGATGACCGTTGGGGTCCCAACTTTTCGATTCCGTGGAGGGATAATAGCCCTTCTCTTTTCCACGCCTTGTGGCTCGCTTTATTCCCTTCCCCCTCAACACGTAGCTCTAGAGTTCTGGTGTGCTCTCTACAACCTTCCCTCCCTCCGAACGGAGGACTTTTGCAGTGGAAAATATGAGGCCCACATCGCCTGTGAGGGAAAGGCTTTCCGAAGGATGCCTCGCTCCCTTATTTGGGAGGAAAAATCTTGTCCTTTCATTTTGAGGCTTTTTTCTCCCTTGGCTCAGATTTTGGGAGGAGATTTTTTAATTTTTTTTAAAGAACTGCCTTTAAACCTGACACAGCAGATTGGAATGATCGTATTCCATTTCGTGGCTGATGGAATGAGGGGGAATGAAAGGGAGCAGGGGCAGCTTAGCAAATGTTGGGTGGGGTTGGGCGAAAGGAAAACCAATCAAAATCCTGGATGGGGAACGGAGAAGAGGAGATACTCCCACCCCACCCCCCAGGTGCCACAGAAGTTTTGCGACCCTAAACTGGGTGGGGTGAGATTTGCATTTTTTTCCAAGAGCTTGCAGATTATTCCCAAACTGAAGTTCAGGAAATAGCAGAAAATCTGTAACATTCTTTACTCACATATTTATATATTCCACAAACAGGCTCGTTGAAGACGCTGAGGTTTTGTATTGTTGTGCCACTACAGAAGACCCTTTTGGGCTGAAACACCCCCCATTTTTACCCAATTTCCCATGAATTCATTATCCTTAGAATATCACAGTTGGTTGGCTTGTGACTGACATTTAATATCTATGTACTCCTCACTGCTAGGCACATTCTGTTTTGTTTGCTGTTACTTTTTGTTGATCCAGATCATGTGGCTTTGCAACTTTTGACTTTAAAAACGGCTCCTTTTGCTTCTAAACTTTCCTTGATCAAAACCACGCTGAGCACCATTTGTCAGGATAGTGGAACACGAAGGAGGAGGAGATCTTCAGAAATCCTCGTTTCAACTATCACATTGCAATGCATTTAGCCTCTTTATACACCAACTCCTGGAAAAAGGTTGTGAGGACTGTGCTGGTGTTCAAACTTCAAATGGAGAATTATAAAGCAAACATAAACTCCCACCTTGATCTTTAAGTCGGCTGATATATCTCGACAGGTTCACATCCATTCTGCTTGAGTTCTGGACTCCCATGTGAGGCCCTGTCCCAAATGTTTCTGCCAATTTTCATTAGGCGGTTCTATTTGCAACCCAGCTATTGCATGACACTGTGCTTTATATCTCACCACCTGAAAGGGGGGGGGGGGAATCAGGGCCAGCCCAGGACTCTTAGCTGCTAGAGGCAAAACAGGAAATGTGAAACACAAGAGCTGTGATCTCCGCATGCACACCCAAAAGCCATTCCACTCTCTCTCACCCAACAGACAGATTGCGTTGCAGCGAAAGAGAAAGTTGAGTGGATAAGCAGAGCCAAAGGTCTCCCTTCACTTGGCTAACTAATATTGAGCGGGGTGGGGTGGGGGAATCACATAGTGCTGTGATATGTCATGGTTTGGACCATGCCAAGAGCCTTGAGCCAGAAGGTGGGTGAGCCCGATAAAGGCACATCCAAGGTTTGCTGGGACATACAAAGGCGCATGAATCATAGAATCACAGAAATGCAGGGCTTGGAAGGGGCCCAACCCCCTGCAATGCAGGAACTGCAGCTAAATGAGTGCATGCAGAGTTTCTTCCTTTTCATAAATGACCACGACCTAGGGCTCACCCATGCTTACCTTTGCTTCGCACTTTCTAGGTATAGGTCTGGGCATTCCAGGTCTGTGCCTGAGCGCTTTTTGTTCGTTTCTCCAGGAAAACCCACATTTTGCAGCTGAATCGGAGCAGATGGGCTTTATATACGGATAGTAACCCCTTGAAATTGGCCCGGGGTCTTCCCCAGGAGAGGCAAGAGTCTAATTCTTAGGAATGAGAGGTTCCTCCCCAGCTGCGGACCATTCATTCCAGAACCTGCTGACATCACGGGCGATGCATGAGGCCAGTTCACAAAGAGGGATTCCGGCCAGCCAGAGCCACCGGGCTGTTAAACTGCCGAGGCCGAGGCGGGTTTGCCATGCAGAGGGAATGGAGCGGAGGCAGAAGGACACTGACATGGACGAAGGGAGCTCAGGTGAGGCTATCACTCGCAACCCAGAGATGCCCCACATCACCATCAAGGCATCTTGCCCTTTATTATTTCTTTACATATTCCAGACATACAGCTTGAGGCTGATCCCTTATATCTTATTCTCCTTGCTCAATGGGCATGCGCAGCTTGGTACTACTGAGTCCCAGAACCTCTGATCAGGGACCCAGATAGCCCAGGGCCTATCCTTCCCAGGGCACCCCAAAGTCCTGATTTAAGTCAGTGATTTATTTTTATTTTTTGCCTGCTCTATGGTTTTAGCTGCCTCTGCTTATCAGCTGCTGCATTTGACTGTTTTATAGCTGCTTATGGTGCAATTTGTTTATTTTATGCTTTGTTATCTGCCCTGGCACCTGTATAGTCAGGCATAGGCAACCTCGGCCCTCCAGATGTTTTGGGACTACAACTCCCATCATCCCTAGCTAACAGGACCAGTGGTCAGGGATGATAGGAGTTGTAGTCGCAAAACATCTGGAGGGCCGAGGTTGCCTATGCCTGGTATAGATGGAGGACAGGCTACAAATATCCCTAACAAATGAAGAAATGAATGCTCTCCATCTGTTCTAAGTGGGCCTTCCCCAACCTGGTGCCCTCCAGGAGTTTTGCTGAACTACAACTCCCCAGCCAGCCTCACCCTGACCCACCCATCCCATGTAATTTTCTCCAAGGTCAAGGAGGCGTACATGATTCTCCCTCTCCTAATTTAACCCTCACAACAACCCTGCGAGGTAGGTCAGGCTGAGAGGCAGTTACTAGTCCCCAAGATCATCCAGTGAGCTCCATGGCCAATGGAATTCGAACCCTGGTCTCTCCCAGGTCCTAGGCCATATTGAATTCCCACAACAACCCTGTGAGGTGGGCTAGGGTTGAGAGGCAGGCAGTGACTGGCCCAAAGTCACCCACTAACCTTGGTCTCCCAGGTCCTAACCTGAGACTCTAACCACTACACCACACTGGAGACAACCATATATAAATATTATATGTACAGTATATCCAACCTTTCCTCCCAGGAGCTCAATGTGGCAGACATGATTCTCCCGCTCTTCATTTAACCCTCACAACAACCCTGTGAGGTAGGTCAGGCTGAGGCCACCTAGTGAGTTTTGTGGCCAAGTGGGGTGCTGGGTCGCAGTCTGACACTCTAACCACTACAGCTCACTGTCTCCCAGTGACTCTCAAGGGTCTCGAGCACAGGCATGCATTGCCAGCACTAGCTACATGAGCCTTTTGTTATCTGGAGATGCCCGCAGGGTTTGAACCCGGGACCTTTTGCATGCAAAGCAGATGCTACAGTGGTCTTTCCCTGCATGTTAAAACTTGTTACAGCACAGCAATGCTTTGGTCCTATGAGAACAACTGGGAGGGACAATTTCTTGCTCAGGGAAGCATATGATACAGGAAAGCAGAAAAGGAGCTGGAGTTTATCAGATCTGTAGGCTGGGGCATGTAAGTTTCAGTTTGCTATTATTTACGGCAGGTAAACCACGCACTGACACCCACTCCCCCGTTTCATACAGACCCAAAATATAATACTATTCACCCGATGGCAAAACACAGAAACAAAGCAATATTAAAATAGTAAGCATCCATTCCTTATTCAGGCTGCCAATGACGCTCTAAGAACTGGAAAGTAGGATTTAATTAGGCAATTTAATCTGGGTTTGGGTTTGCACTTTGGCTCACAAAGCAGAAGAACCAGTGATAAAAGCCACAGCTTTATGGCCGACTGGAACAAGCCATTCAGTTTATTGATGCACAGTGCTTGGTTCAGAAAACAACACTGGCCACTTGTTATGAAAATTACTAATTAAGCTTATCTACTGGGTGGCTAAAGTGCAGTTTCAAATCTGGGTTTAGATAACCAAGCTAAGAGTTGAAACAAGGGAACTAGGAATCAACTTCGGCCTTCTGCTTTGGCAGATAGGGGACCTCGTTTCCCACATCCCTACATAATATAGGTAAAAGGCCTTTTCAGTGTTGGCTCCCTCTGAGGAATACTCCCCCCCAGTGAGGCTTGCTGACATCTTTTCAGAGGCAGGTAAAGACTTGCCTTCCCCCCTGGGCCTTTGATGGACTGAGCTGATTCTGCTTGATTTATCCTATGGATGCTATAATGGGGTACTGTATGAAAAAGTGTTACTTTTATATGATTTTTTTTCTTCTCCCCCCTCCCTATGGTATAATGTATTAATGTGTATGGTGGTTTTTTTAATACAAGTCGCTGTTAGAGAACAGATGGCTTAATAAGTTTAGTTAATTAATCAATATGTGTGTAAAAAGAGGTGGAAACAATGGAGCTATTGAGTAGCCTACAAAAATGAAGTACACTCTGCACATGCTCATGAGCACTCGTTTTATTTTTGAGGAGGACCCCGCCTCATTTCTTAATTGCTAAGGCTGAATCAGAGGTGCCCGAGTGCTTCTGAGCATGTGCAGAGCTCCTCCCTCCCCCCCTCGTTCCCTTGCTTTGGTGGTGGCAAGGGTCTTACAATGGCGGAGCAAAAATTACTGTTTCCGTTGAGTTAATTTGCGACCCCTGGACGAAGGTCCCAAGGTGGGCGTTGTCGGTTCCGACGGAGATGGTCCCATCTCTCCCTTTCGTACCTCTACGCTCAAAAGTTAAAGAGGCGCGCCGCAACTTTTGCCTTCTGCGGCTCTCAGGGCTGCCGGGAAAGGAAAGAGGGCGGAACAAGCACGTCAGCGAGCGGCCAATCAGGGGCGAGGAGGGGCGTGGCGCCGCCGCCGCCGCGGCTTGATAAGGAGAGCCGCCGAGCGGCGCGTGGCGTCTGCGGTGCGTTGCGCTGCCGTCGGCTACTTTGCCTGCCGTATAAGGCGCTCTTGAACCCGGAGTCGGCCCCGCATATAACGCTCCCTCTTCTTTTTTTTTTAAATCTTATTTTTCTCTTCCTTTCCCCCACCCTTCGCCCGCAGTAGGGTTGGGCTCAGCCATGTTCAGCTGGGTGAGCCGCGACGCGCGGCGGCGCAAGGAACCCGAGCTGTTCCGCACCGTCTCGGAGGGTCTGAAGCAACTGTACGCCGGCAAGCTGCTGCCGCTGGAGGAGCACTACCGCTTCCACGACTTCCACTCGCCGGCGCTGGAGCCCGCCGACTGGGAGAGCAAGCCCATGGTGCTGCTGGTGGGCCAGTACAGCACGGGCAAGACCACCTTCATCCGCCACCTGCTGGAGCAGGACTTCCCCGGCATGCGCATCGGGCCCGAGCCCACCACGGACTCCTTCATCGCCGTCATGGGCGGCGAGAGCGAGGGCGTCATCCCGGGCAACGCGCTGGTCGTCGACCCCCGGCGCCCCTTCCGCAAGCTCAACGCCTTCGGCAACGCCTTTCTCAACAGGTACGGGGATGCACCAGGGGGGCGGGTCCTGGGCTCCCTCCAAGGGCAAGGGGCTTGAATCCCCAGTAACATCGCCAGGTACGGCTGAAGAAAGACCCGTTATCTTGAAACCTTGCAGAGCCGCCACGACGGTGATCCAAACGAGACAATAAGGCAGCTTCCTTTGTTTTAAAACGGCTCTTTATTCCGACCCATGAGGACTAGAATCTTTGTTTTTAGGAGCTCAGTACTAGAATGCACCCTTTGAAAGTAGAAGGTCCACTGTCTAATCCTTGGCATCTCTAGTGTCAGCCTTTCAGACACGGGAGAGCCACCGCTGGTCAGTGTAGCCAAGGGTGGGCTAGGTGGCAGCTGCTTCCGCTTTCCAGGAAACTCAAGGTGGACTCACTTGGTGTTTTTGCTAGGCTCGAAAGAGAGTGACTTCCCCTCTTGAAGTTGCCCTGTAACTTAGCTGGCATATGAACCTGAGTCTTTGCCAGTCATATGAATGCTGCTGATTATGGAGGAGTCTGCTATCTTGCACACGCCCCCCCCCCAAAAAAAACGTGGACCGCCTAGATGAGAGCAAGATCCAAGAAGCAAGTTCAAATCTCCACTCAGACATGATACAACGCTCACTAGGAGCAGCGCCAGGGATGCTGGTGGCACTGTGGGTTAAGCCACAGAGCATAGGACTTGCCGATCAGAAGGTCTGCGGTTCGAATCCCCGCAACTGCCAACCTAGCAGTTCGAAAGCACATCAAAGTGTAAGTAGATAAATAGGTACCACTCTGGCGGGAAGGTAAACGGCCTTTCCGTATGCTGCTCTGGTTCGCCAGAAGCGGCTTAGTCATGCTGGCCACATGACCCAGAAGCTGTACGCCGGCTCCCTCGGCCAATAAAGCGAGATGAGCGCCGCAACCCCAGAGTCTGTCACGACTGGACCTAATGGTCAGGGGTCCCTTTACCTTTACCTAGGGGCAGGGCCAGCCCTGAGGTTGGGCGGAGTGGAGTGACTGGCTCAGGTGGCTGATGTACCTCTTTTGGAGGACAGAGCTGTCTGGGTACGTCTCATTAACCTTCTGTCGCCTGGTGACATGGTGGCATTACCCCATTGCCGCCACTGGAATCCAGTTGATCCCTGGAGATTGGGCTGGGAAACCTTGGGCAAGTCACCTATTTTTCATCCTAAACAGCCCTGCGGGGTGGTAATGTTTTACCTTGAACAAGTTTGGGAAGAGGTGGGGTTCTGTACCATATCAAATGCAAATGGGAAATTAAAATTTCCCTAAAGGAAGATGAGCAAGGAAACTTTTTTTGTGGTGGGGGGAGTGTTGCAGTGCAGCCTCCTGTAAATAGGTCCACACCATATGTTTAGAGCACACCACTCCCCCCAGGGAATCTTGGGAGCTGTAGTTTCCTCCTCACAGAGATAAAGTTCACAAACACACTTATAACAAACTACAGTTTCCAGGATTCTTTGGGGGGAGAGTCACTTGTGTTAAATATGTCCTCTGGCTGTGCTTTCAATACATGGTGTGGATCTACTGTCAATAATCTTGCTCTGCCTTCTTTTCTCTCCCTGGCTTATGCCCAAGTAGTGGATGTGGATCCTGCTGCTCACTTTTTGCAGCTCTGCATCCTGCAGCTGATAAGATCCAAAAGTGCAACCCGCCCAATTCCACTTTCTTTTCCAGCCTGACTTGGTGCCCTGGCTGTGCCCAGTCAGCCAGCCCTGCTGCCAGCCTGGGCTTTTAGGGCGCTGTCCCTTCCTTCCGCCCTCTCCCATCTGTCTTTGGCAGGCAGATTTAAAGAGCAGCAGAAATCCCCTCTTTGGCTCACACGCCCAGCCAGTTCCCAGACTGGAGGGGGAAGAGTTATTGAGGCCTAGCAGTGTAGCTCAGGCCCCACCCCCCTCCCAGAGCAGAGGGGCTTTTCAAGCCTTTTCCAAAGGAACAAAACTACAAAAATGGCCAAGTAAAAGCCTTTCATTTGATAGTTGTGTGTGCATTCAGTCAGTGGCAAAATGCAGGCACCCCAGGATCTGTTTTGTCAGGTGGGGGTTTAGGCCAGTACTTTTCCTCTCCCCCCACCACCCCGCCCCCAGGCTCCTGTCCTGCTGAGGCATCACAGAGCATCACAAGTGGGGCTGGCAAAGTTAAAGTTGTGGGCTGGCATTCTGGAGCATCTTTTATTTATAGCATCTGTTGTTCTTGCTCTTAAGTGATGTTCAGAAGTGAGGGCTGGTCCTTGCCATGGAATCCTGATTTGGGGGAGAAAACAAAGGAGGAAGAAGTGAAGCATGTGGCTGGCTGCAGCCCTGAAGAAGAGGACCCCCTGTCCACGCTGCAAAACTTTGTTGCAGATCCCACTAGTTTGGTTTTTATTTTTATTAATTTAACTGGATTTGTATACTGCTTAATCATCAAAACCTCCAATCAATTTACATAAAGTCTAAAATCTGTTAACAAATACCGGTTAAGCCAGAAGTTAAAAACAAGCTGACCTAAACATTTTCAAAATATGCATATACATAATTGGATGCAGTTACATACAGTGGACCCTCGAGTTACGTACCGCTCTGGAAACGTAACTTTCAGGTTGCGAATGTGGCAAACCCGGAAGTGTATACTGCTGGGTTTCACCGCATGCGCAGAAGTGCTCTGTACACTGTGCGCAGAAGCAGCGCCTCCAGTTACGGACTTTTCAGGTTAAGTACAGACCCCCGGAACCAATTTAATTAGTATCCGGAGGGTCCACTGTATTAAAATGTGTGTCAAATGTACATGTCTGGATAGGTCTGCCTATGCCAGGTTCTTAGCAGGCACCAAAAATACAGCAAAGATGCCTGTCTAATGTCAATGGAAGGGGAGTTCTAAAATTTAGATGCAGTCACCCTGAAGGATCAAATTCCTTGCATCCATGGAACAAACATGTGCATTTGTAAAAGTCCCTAGTTCTGCAGTCGAGGGGGTGCATGTGTGGGGCAAGGTGATCTTTTAGGTAAGCTGGTCCCACGCTGTTGAGAGAGCCTTGTATACAAAGAATAACCCTTTGAGTTTAGCCCACTAAGAAACCAGCAGCCAGTGCACATTTCTGAGCAGGTATGTCGACAAGGTCTGCTCCACTCATCAACCACGCTGCAGCATTCTGCACTAACTGATCCAGGAATTACCTCCTGTGTTGCTGATAAATTTGTTTCGTTCTAAATTCTTTCCGCCATACAGCAGGGGTGGTGTTAACTTCTGGGGTTTTTTGCCTCTGGTACAACGCTCTTGTGGTGATGGACCTTTCATTCCCCGGATCTTGTCGTCAATCAGGAATTGCCCTGATTTCCAAGGGGAGTGGTCCTCCTGCAGCCCCGATCCCTCTAGTGTGCCCTGGAATTTTGCTCAGGAAGGGTGGTCTGGGAAGATCAGAGCACGTGTTTGCAAAGTCTGACACTGCCCGTAACAAGAGTTTTTTCAAGCGGTCTCTTTAAGGGCCCTTTTGAGCCCCGAAGCATCTGAGATCGAATTCCTCACCAGTCACGAGTTAATGCTGCCGAAAGTCTGTTTCAGGAGAGCAGGGTCAACACAAAGAGGGATTGTTAGTTCCTGCTGGGTCTCCTTGCGACCTCCGGCAGACTTAGGGGCGGCTTGTAACTCCGGCAGATTCCCTCGCTAGCAAAACAGTCTGGGAGTTCAGAGGGCCTCCTAGTTAATTTTACACCCTGACAGTGTTTACACTTTTGTTCCACTCCCGCCTGACCTCTGTAGTGTTTAGATTGGTAAGCCAGAAATCTCCCTGCACAAGGTTGGTGCGCTTTGCAGACTTCGCGCGTGGCTTTCAAGCGGATTCAAACTAGCTCTGAGCATAAGATGCTTTCTTGCCACAAGCCAAGATAGCTGGTCCATCGGACTTGCTAGTGGCTGTGCGGCCTGGCGGTGGCAGGTTTGCCAGACAGGTGTCTCAATCAGCACCGTCCGGAAATGTGGGGATTGAACCTTGGACCTGATCAAAGCTTGTGCTCTTCTGCTGGGGGCATGGCCCTTCCAAAAACAGTTTGTCCCTAATCTTCATGTGGGGCCAGCTCAGCATTTTGTATCCAGTCCTCCTTGTACCCTGAGAGGTTTGGTCATGCTGTTGGGGTGGCTGGCTGCCAACTGGATGCTTTTGGGGAATTTTATCTACAGACGGCTTTGCCTGGCTTGCCCTACACGGAATCGTGTGGTGGGGAGGGCCGTTAAGGCCACATTCACCCCATACATTTAAAGCAGGGTTTCCCCAACTTGGCTCTCCATCTGTTTTTGGACTACAGTTCCCACCATCCCTGGCCACTGGTCCTGCTAGCTAGGGCTGATGGGAGTTGTAGTCCAACAACAGCTGGAGAGGCCCAAGTTTGGGAGACCCTGATTTAAAGCATTAGGGTGCCGCTTTAAAAAGTCATGGGTTCCTCCCCAAAGAATTATGGGAGCTGCTGTTTGTTAAGGGTGTGGAGACTTTGAAGGACACCGCTGATTCCCCCTTGCAGAGTTACAGACCTCTGGGAAGATGGATTGGCTGTTAAGCCACTCGAGGGGGGGGGGTCTCCTTACAACTCTCAGCACCCCGAACAAACAGCTCCCATGTTGCTTTGGAGGAAGAAGTCATGGTTACTTAAAGTGGTATCATGGTGCTTTAAATGTATGGTTTAGGTAAAGGTAAAGGGACCCCTGACCGTTAGGTCCAGTCGTGACCGACTCTGGGGTTGCGGTGCTCATTTCGCTTTATTGGCCAAGGAAGCCTGTGTACAGCTTCCGGGTCATGTGGCCAGCATGACTAAGCCGCATCTGGCGAACCAGAGCAACGCACGGAAACGCTGTTTAGTTTCCCGCCGGAGCGGTACCAATTTATCTACTTGCACTTTGAGGTGCTTTCGAACTGCTAGGTTGGCAGGAGCAGGGACCGAGCAACGGGAGCTCACCCCGTCATGGGGATTCGAACCGCCAACCTTCCGATCGGCAAGTCCTAGGCTCTGTGGTTTAACCCACAGCGCCACCCGCGTCCCTAATGTATGGTTTGCTCGTGGCTTAATACCTAACTCCTTTCTCCTTCTGCTTTCACCCTCTGCTGCGCCCAGTAATCTGAGAAGGCTTCCCAGTCAAATGCTGTAGGTGTAGGTGGAATCCACAGTCCTTCTGGAGGCTGGATCACGTTGGCCAAGCAGAGGGGGCCCCAGGACGGGAGGTGCCTTATCTCCAGAGGATCCTTACAAGATTATCCGAGGCAGCTTGCCAGTGTCCTTGACGACGGCTGACCTCCCCGTACCCTTGGCTTAGGACCTCTGTACAGGTGGAGCGCAGGCCGCTCCTTCAGGAGTTGGATTTGTGCACAGCCTTTTGTGGGTTAAGCAGGGGCTGCGCAATGAGGAATTGGTGCAGGGAGGAAGAGGTGGCCTTTGGTCTTTGTTGCCTTCCCTGCTGCTTGCGGGGAGAAGGCGGGAGCAAATTCCAAAGCAGCAAGAGCAGCAGCAGCAGCCCTGCAAATCTGTCTCTGCAATATTCCAAAGCTCATCTTTTCTAGTTGCAGTGCTGAGCACCAAGGAGGCAGAGAGTGCCTCTCGCTCTCATGCTGGGCTGCGCAGGAAAGCATTCCCTGCGGGACTTGACATCTTTCTGCAGGGCCCGCAAGACAGAGCTGTTCCGCCTGGCCTTTGGTTTGGACTCAGTCTGACCCTTATGTTTCCCTCCCATTATGGTTTTGATCTATGGGCTATTATTAAAATGAGGCTGCATTTTAAATTGTTACCCCCCCATTATGTTTTTGTTGTAATTTTACTGGTGTTAGTCGCCCTGAGCCTGGCTCTGACCGGGGAGGGAGGGGTTTAAATAAAAACTTATTATTATTATTATTATTATTCCCGCAAGGGCGGAGGATGGATCAGGCGAGGTCATGGGAGGATGTCTTGAGCATTTTGGGAGAGGGGAAGCGGCCCCATCTCTCTTGGCGAGTGACATGGGAAGCTGCTTTCTTCCGAGTCCATTTATCTTGGTGCTGCCCACACTGACTGGCAGCAATGCCAGGGTTTCAGGCAGGGAGCCTCTCCCAGCCCTCCCTCCAGATGCCGTTGGGAGGACTGAACCCGGGGCCTTCTGCATGCAAGAGCTATGGCCCCTGAGAGGTGCTTTGAGACAGAGGGCAGGGAATGCTCTGGTGGCAAAGTCAGCAGCGACTGAAAGTTCGGGATAAGTACCGGGGTGTTCACCCTCTTCCTTCCTCATAGAATTGTGGAGCTGGAAGAGGCCGTGTGAGTCATCTAGCCCAACCCTCTGCAGTGTAGGGATCTTTCGCTCAACATGGGTCTCGAACCCATGAACCTAATTTTTGACCTTCCTCTTCTGAGAACAGCACAGGCCTCGGTGCCTTGATGCGTTGCTCACTTAGTCTCTGTCCATGTCAAAGATGGCCTTGATGGGAGGAGAACTGTTGTGTATCAGGAGCTGGGATAGCCGGCTGAGACTCTGGCCTAATCCACACTGTACTTTTAAAGCAGTATCATGTCACTTTAAACAGAAACAGCTTCCCTCAAAGTATCCTGAGAGCTGCAGTTTGTTCAGGGTCCCAAGAATTGGGAGCTAGAATTCCCAGAGTGGTTTCCCTCTTTCCATGAAACTCTGGGAATTATAGCTCTTTGGGGAGAATTGGGTTCCTCTAGGAACCCTCCACACCTGTAACAAACGACAGCTCCCAGGATTCTTTGGGGGAAGAAGCCATGGTTGTTTAAGGTGGGCTGATACCGCTTTAAATGTGGAGTGCAGATGGGACATTCTTTCCAGGTCTAAAGGTGCTGCATTGAGTTTGGGCTCCAGGCAAAATAAATACCCTTCAGTCAGCCGCTGGAACAAGATACCCTGAAGACCAAATTGTAGGGGGTGGGGTGGCGGTGGTGTTCTGGACTTTAGTCCACAGGCCTGGTCTCTAGCTCAAAGGGGAGGGGAGGAACCTGACCACCTTCCCCTGACATTGTTAGATTTCCTAGCACCCATCAGCCGCAGCAGCCATCATGAACAACATGTCTAGGAAGATGGTTTGCAGTTGCACAATATCTTTTAGGTCGTCTTCGAGTTCCCCATCCCTGGGTGAAAGGAATTTGTCCACCTGAGCCCCGTCGATTGCCACAACTCCTACCCTGCCCAAATCTTCCTGTTGTGTCCTGTGGTCATGCCTTCCTCCTTGTGAAATCGAGAGGAAGCATTTTTGAAAAGCAGAAGGCCTGGCTCTTGAGAACCTCAACACAATTCTGGGGTGCAAAACCTGTGTCTCACACAGGGTCTGGGAAGCTTGGGGAAGGGCCTTCACAGCTCGCTGGGAGGGTGTCCCCTCTGCATGCAGGAAGGACCCAGGTTCAGATCCCACAAGCATCTCTCTGGTCATTGGTAAGAAGAGCGGAGAAGACTCTCTTCCTGAGAGCTGCTGTCGATGGTCCTGGTAGATGGTTTCAGGCTAGGCCTGCATTCTTCGTTGACACCCCAACATCCCCGCTGAAAGTTAAGGGTCCAAGTGGATCCACTCTCGGTGGAACAGTGGCATCCTCTCCTATGTATTTTTAAAAATATATAATGCCATCAGTATTTGCAAGTGTCTGACTCATTTAAGATTACATAGAACCTTTATTCTCATTAATGAATAAAACTCACGGGGGGAACACTTTTATTTTTAACGAATCTTTATTATGTGTAAAGGGAATATTTGTATGAGTTAATGCTTTGTTATCACCTTGGAGCTGTTTTGTACCTTTGGGCTTTTGTCCTTCCAGGCTTTGACGCTTTAAAATCTCTTGATTCTTTGTTATGTTTGCAAAAAATCAATGAAATAAAATGAAAAGTTGTCTCAGTTGCCAGTAAAGAAATACACAAGATGCAGCCACACAATTTATTGAATCAGAAATAAAACCTAACCAGAGGGGAAATGTGTGTGGTTCGTGATTTCAAAGGGTTTGATGGTCTAAATCAAAACAGTGGCAAGTTCATACTTAAAAGAAGATTAAAACGTAACCTTGGGCTGTACTAAATCCAGACACCTAGACCTGTGGGACCTGACTTTCCTGAGCCACTGTGTTTGTGGATGAAACAAATGAGAAAAAATGGCAAAGAAGGAATCTCAAGCACTTTGGCCCCAGGACAATTTTAGCTCATGCGAGTCCCACCCCCTGCCCCCCAAGAAGGGCGATTTGCCAAGTCTTGAAATACCAGTAATTGTCTAGATTATTGAGGTTAAAGGGCTTCCAAAACTTGATTATGCCCTGGACCACCGTCAAAAGGTTCAAGATCAGTTTCCTGTTGTTGTGGTCTTGATCCAAATCTGCAAACAAGTTCAAGGGAGCCCAGCAAGTGGAGGGGGTGAATTGTTTCTCGAGTTATCTTCCACTCATTCTCGTGGCACCCTTCCATTCTCTTTGCGGGTGGTGCCACACAAAGGTGGGTGCTGGAGGGTGGGAGGCCCCACTTTGAAACGTGGCTCAACTCTATGAAGCGGTTAGCTCTGTTGCCCAAAAAGTGTGGCGAGGAGGACAGGCAGGGAGCCACGTCTGCCTCCCTATGCTTGCTTTTTCGGCTGAGACAAATGGCTTAACTGTCCTCTCCTTCCTCCCTCGTAGGTTCATGTGTGCCCAGCTGCCCAACCCAGTCCTGGACAGCATCAGCATAATTGACACCCCTGGAATCCTGTCTGGAGAGAAGCAGCGGATAAGCAGAGGTAACACTTGGGCTGAATCTAGACATATATTTTAAAAAACATGCACTGTAAAAATGCTTTTAAAAAAAAAGTTTTTAAATACCGTATTTTTTGCTCTATAGGGCGCACCGGACCATAGGGCACACCTAGTTTTTTGGGGGGGAAATAAAGAAAAAAAAAGTTATTTCCCCCCCCCCCCAGCCTCAAAGAGCAAAGAAGCCAAGACAGCCAGCGGGATAGCTGCCCAAAACCTGGGGTGCGCAGCGCTGCGCTCCCTGGGCGGCAGGCTGCAGGCTGCAATCCGCCTTGCTCTCCAGGCTTCAGCGAAAGCCTGCATTCGCTCCATAGGACGCACACACATTTCCCCTTCATTTTTGGAGGGGAAAAAGTGTGTCCTATAGAGCGAAAAATACGGTATATATTGAATTTCCCATTAGCTCACCATTGCCACCTAGGGTCACATTTGGTAATGCGCTTAAAACACACTTCGAACATTATATTTGCAGCTGTATAGCTGAGTCCTTGGGGGCTGTGTGTGCAAGAACTTGATGTTTCTTTGCTGGGGGTTTTGCAGGGCTCTTCTTATGTTTCTATGAGTGTGGCCCTATCTTCTTGGTCAGACAGACCTCATAGCTACAGCCCCACCATCTTACCTGAGTGAGCTTCAGAATATTAGCACCCGTCCAACCTGCTACAGGTGCTTGTTCAGCAAGTCCCAAGACCTGGACGGGAGAGCTGAGCATTGCTGCTATACCGAGGGCACTTTATTCCAGATCCTTGGGCGAGCTCACTCAGCGGCTTCATGTAGGTGTTCCTGGGTGGCTGCTGTGGAACACCATGGTGCTAATGCTAGAACCAATTTGCTGAATAGGAGGAGCATGACCTACAGGGGCACAGTTTCCCAATTCCCAGCCCTGTCCAGAAGGATGTCCTTCTCAAAAGTATTGAAAGCAGCTACGCTCCCAGTGATGCTCCTCCATCAGTGTAACATGGGAGGTCCGGAGGGTATCAACATGAGAACAGGGCCTTCCCAGTGATGGCTCCCTGCTTGTAGAATGCTCTCCTGGGGGAAGCTTGCCTGGCACCAACCTTACATAAAGGTAAAGGGACCCCTGACCATTAGGTCCAGTCGTGGCCGACTCTGGGGTTGCGGCGCTCATCTCGCTTTCTTGGCCAAGGGAGCCGGCGTACAGCTTCCGGGTCATGTGGCCAGCATTACTAAGCCGCCTCTGGCGAACCAGAGCAGTGCACGGAAACGCTGTTTACCTTCCTGCTGGAGCGGTACCTATTTATCTACTTGCACTTTGACTTTATCTACTTGCGCGTTCAAACTGCTAGGTTGGCAGGAGCTGGGACCGAGCAATGGGAGCTCACCCCGTTGCGGGGATTCGAACCGCCGACCTTCTGACCAGCAAGTCCTAGGCTCTGTGGTTTAACCCACAGCGCCACCCGCATCCCCAACCTTACATAGCTTCAGGCAAAAACGTTTCTTTTCTGCCAGGCCCTTGGCTTCTAATTTGCTGCAGCCTCCTTGAGTGAGCAGGATGTTTTAATCCTGCCTTTAAAAAGTAGGATTGTCTTCTAGAGTTTTATAATGGTAACCAAATCTGGGTCAGAAAGCTCAATTTGATGTTGCTCTCAATGCCTGGAGCTATGTTGCCTCCTTTCCCAACCAAACTCCTTGCCCGGAAAGGAAGATCTGGGGCTGTCCCAATAAAACAAACGTTTAGGAACAGAGGATAGTTTTTTAAGAGGGGCTGCCTGACCACCTCCCCCGTTGGGGGCGGTGGGTTTTCTAACCCTTGGTTGTAGGCGGTGGGTTTAAAATTAGGAGGGTTGCTTCGATGGGGTACATAATCTGGGAGGTTGAATGTACGCCCAGCGTGTTGTGGCTTCTTAAGTGAAATGTTCCGTCCTTGGGAGGGGCAGAGAAGAGCCTCCCCCCCCCCCTGCCATTGGCCTATAGCCTGTATCTCCTGGCCAAGTTCAGGCCTCCTTGGAGGAAACTCTCTCCCCCCCCCCCCAATTCCCCTCGCTGAAGTTTCCAGGCGTAGCTTGAAAATATGTGGCTGGCACGAGAAGGGTGTTCTAGGTGGTGTACATGCCTCGCCAGGAAGGAGCAGCATTCCTGATGCCTGGGGAGTGTCGCTGCCCCCCTCTCCTTGGGCCCGGGGCAAGCGGAGACGGCGTCTCGTGCTGCGCTGATAGCGAAACTCTGCTCCTGCCAAGCAGATGGACGGCAGCTAAAAATAGCTGCCTTCTTCCCAGGCTCCTGTCTCGGCCATCTTCCCTCTGCCTGTCCTACTACGTCTTGAGACACACCCCAGTTTGACTTCCATCATCTCCTGGCTGTGCTACGGTCTCCTTTCCAGGTGGGGGGCCTAGCACCTCTGCTGCCTTTGGGGTTGGGGGCAGAGAAGGGAACCAGGCCTTGCCCCAGAGGAGAGGTTATAGGGAGATGGAGGGGCCCTTTGCTGTCCTGCTGCCTGAGTGGGACAGAAGTGAAATATGTGTCTTATTGCAGGCCTGGAAATTGGACTTTTCTCCTTGCCCTGCTATCAGGAAGTGCTGCAGATGAGCGATAAGGCTCCACTTGACCCTAGCAAGCAAGAAACCAGGATGTGGTGGTCATTGAGCTTTGGTTTAGCAAATGCGCGCTCATGCACATTTTATTTTTTTTAAACTATGCATTAATATATGGAATCTCGCAGTCACCGAGAAACTAGCTCGCAAACTTCATGTGCTCATGAAGAACCTATAAAACGCTTTTGTAAAGTTTGGTGGACCTTTGTGTCTTACGCATCAACTAACAACTTACACGACCTGCACGTAGAAAAGAAATAATGGACTCTGATTTAATATCTATTTAAATTGGTTGTATTAACTGTACTGACCTGTACTGTATGAATATCTCTTCAGTGGCTTCCCAACTTTTTTGGGGTGGGTGGGTGTGTTTCCTTCACTTTTTGTTGTTGCCTGCAAAAAGAAAAAATGTATAATGGTCTAACTCTTGGGAGGCTTAGTTTGCTCAGAATCAAGCAGTCTCAGCCAACTCCTGCCCTTGCGGAGGCAGACCTCTATGCGTGCCTTCTGTGCCCTTTGCCCTCTCTCACAGAGATATGTGGCCAAGCCAGTCTGAGCTCTGCTGGGAGCTGGATTCCCTTCTGGTGCTGGTCTGGCAGGGGCCTCCCAGAGGGTGCTCAGGAGCCGTTCTGCTGAGCGCCGGAGGGCAAAACCAGTGTGTGTTGATCCCCTCCGTCACGTTCCACAGGCATAGGGAGACAAGGATATGGCAGTGGTTGGACTGTTGTGCTTCAGGGTATCTTGCGTCCTGATCTCTGCCACCAGCAAGGTGACCAAGTCCCCTATGGGAAGCTGCAGCCCCTGCCTTGCAGAAAGAACGCTGCGGCACGAGGAAGACCAATGTGGCTCTAGGCGTTGGCCAATGAGCTTAGAGATGCTTCAGTGTTTGCTCTCCTCTCCTCTGCCCTCCTCATTCGTTTTTCCTTTTATAGCTTGTCTAATAGATGGAGAGCCGCCGGCAGGAAGAGGAACTGTTGTATGTTTTGCTGAACGTAAGCTTTTGTGCTTAGCAGCAGCCTTAAGATGAAGTATCTTACAGCCCTTCAGGTACGCAGACAAATGCTGCAGAAAAAAGCAGCCTGGCTAGCTCAGTTGGATAGAAGTGTTCAGGAAATGCTAGTGGCATTTCAGAAGCCAGGGAGACAGGATTGATTTTGTCAACCTCTGTCACTATTATACCTGCTGGAGCAAAAGACACCCCCCCCCCCATTTATTGCACCTTGTTCCCCTCCCAGTGTCGGGGGGTGGGGATCCAGTTCCCTTCCCAGCACTGGATTTCCAAGACAGGATCATCTGTGAAGCTGACCAGCCTTTGATGATGCTTTGGGAGTAAACGTGAACGAGTGTATAGGATTAGTTCAACTTAGAGCCTTGGTGCTCTGGTTTGTTTTGCCTTCTGTTTCAAGGTTCTGCCTGCTTTCCCACTACCTTTGTTTCCTATTTAAGTTTCTTAATTTGACCGCTGAGCTGTGTGTGGTTGGCAGCCTCCAGCTTTCTGAATCCCCATGTGCCCAGATACCTGGCCTTCAAGCTACTGGGAGTTTGGGATTGGCATTGTAAGCAGACCAGCGCACTCTTCTGTGGGTCTGGGAGAGAGTGTGGACTTCCATTACACTCTGAGCAAACCAGAAAGGTGCAGTTTGGACTGAGGAGTCCTGGGTCACTGGCTCAGAACCTTTTAAATAAGTAATTGCTTTAGTGCATCCCAGCTTCCCTCCCCTCTGGGGTTTCAGGAGTGAAAGGGTGGGTGGCATCGACGCAAGGCTGCTGTGTCACAGTTGGGCATCCGAGAGTGTGGGAGAGGCTCTCTGGAACACCCCTGCTTCGTCACACCTTCCAGCTCTACAGTTCCATTATTAATCTTATTTATTTTCATATATGCCCCTGTGTTCGCTGCCAAGGTAATTTTTATATGCAGCGCTTTGCAGATTCTTAAAATAAGATACCAGTAAACTCGGAAAGCCCCACATTCCTGGCTGTTTGCTTTGCAAAGTGTCTCTGGGCGTGTGGGGCAGTGGTGGAACTTCTCTTCCGCCCCCTGCCCCAATCACTCGCCCTGCTTCCACCTTCCTGCCTGGAACACGGGAAGGAATGGGGAACAGGGTGTCCAGCTATTGCCTCCCAGGCCACTGCCCCCCCCCCAACCTCCTTTTGCCTTTCCTCATTGCTGCATCTCTGGTCTCCTCTGTTGGCAGGGAGCCTTTTGCAAAACGGTGGGTGTGGCTGTCCGGTGATGTCAACGCTTTTTGCAGTGACTCACAGGAAGTTGGAATTCTTACTCCTATTGTTTTTCAGGAGGGCTGGGAGGGCCTCACTTTTTCCACACCTCGTCCAGGCCAGGAAGTTTAGCCTGCGAGAGGTTTACCTGGAAATGTTTCAGGGAATCCGAAAGGTGGAAAAGCTTTTCTGGGATGGTGATTCAGTGTGTGTGTGTGTGTGTGTGTGTGTGTGTGTATATTTAGAGGGGAAAAACCATTTGAGGTATCCCCTTACAAAACCTTCCTTCCTTCCTCCTTCTCCTCAAACATTCCAAAGAGAGATCTGGAAAAAGGAAGCTCTCTTGCCCTGAGTCAGGCCACTGACTCACCTGACCCAGTGCTATCTGCAGAGACTGGCTGTGCTGGTTCTCTGGGGTTTCAGCGCCAGGCCTTCCTCCACGTGAGTTCAACTGGGGATCCTTTGTGCGCAAAGCAAGGTGCTCTTCCCGTCCGCTCCGTTTGCCTCCCTCCCTGGCACTGGTGCTTTCTCTTGGCCTGGAATAGCTTAACTTCCCCAAATGACACTTCCATTCTAGGAAGCAAGATGTGCACATCAGCATGGGGAAAGTTCCCCCTTTTCAGATGAATTGGAAATCACAGGGGTTTCTTTTTTCTTCTTCTTTTTTTGCAAACAAAGGCGATTCTGCTGTGAGGGAGATTTGGCACATTCTGGCCTCCCTCTTCCCCTTGCAGCATCTGAGAGCGATAAGCCTTTGGTGTCTGCTTCCCATCTCTCGCCAGCCTCCTTTGGCTGCCCTGAATTCTGCTCCTGGGCTGGGGCTGGCATGACCACCGTTTCTCTCTTGCAGCTGAGCTTTCGAATGCCAATAAAGTGGTACTTCGAGTTACAAATGCCTCAGGTTACAAACTCTTCAGGTTACAAACTCCGCTAACCTGGAAGAGTTACCTCGAGTTGAGAACTCTGCCCCAGGATGAGAACGGAAATCGTGTGCCAGCGGCGCAGCGGCAACAAGAGGCCCCATTAGCGAAAGCACGCCTCTAGTTAAGAACAGTTTCAGGTTAAGAACGGACCTACAGAACGAATTAAGTTCGTAACTAGAGGTACCACTGTACAAGGAACATCTGCTGGGTCGGCCAATGGCCCACCTGGTCCAGCATCCCATTCACACAGTTGCCGGCCAGATGCCTCTTTTGGGAAACTGGCAAGCAGGATCCGAGTGCGAGTTCAGCTCTCCCCTCCTGCGGTATTCAGAAGCAGTGCTGTCTTGGTGTGGGGTTGGGGGGAGAGGGGCAGAGCACAGCCGTAATGGCTAGTAGCCGAGGATAGTCCTCTCCTCCATGAATTTCTCCAGTCCTCTTCTGAAACTATCCAAGCTGGTGCCCGTCAGGGTCTCCTGTGGGAGTGAGTTCCATAGGTTAAATCTGCACTGCATGGAGAAGGACTTTCCTTTTATCCGTCCTAAACCTAGCGATGGCTCCAATTGCAGTTGCCTTTCTTCGTAAACCTCCGGTGGTGGCTGATGCACGTTCATAGCCTGGCTTTTGGAGTGTGAGGAGAGTGCCTCTGAGCATGCATGAAGTGCACACCCCCTCATTGCCTGCAGTGTACAAGCCAGGGAACCTGAGCTGCAGGGTGGCTTGTTGTGGTAGGAATGTGAGCAGAAGGGTTTGTGAAAGCCTAGTTTGGTATGATATGTGCCACTCCGGGGCAGGGATAGAGGTGGGCGTGGGGAGAGGGAGGCAACATCCCTCTCTGCACTGGAGGGCACCCAGCCCTGGCTTGTGGGAAAGCCTTGGCCCTTGGTGACCTCCTGCCTGGCAGCCCAGTAACCTCGCCTGGAAGCTGCCCTTGGGAAAGTTCCTCTACAGCTGGTGAGCCACAACTTCCCCCTTCAGTTACAATGAGTGTGTTCCTTCCACCGAATAGCTGATGTAATAAACAAAAATCTGCCCTTATTCCCTTATGGGGGACACAAGAGGCCTTATAGAGTCCTTTGTAGGTTCTCCATCGGTCGGAGAAAATAACAGAGGCCAACCAGAGAATACTGAGAAGCAAAGCAGCTCGTAAGCCTGATCTTTATTGAACTGTTGCAACAGGGTGCTCCCCTCACACGCAGGAAAGGAGGAGGACCCAGAACCCAGGTGTGCCCGCCCTTATATAGACACTTTAAATTCCCTGCCCTGGAGCTCAAGACCACCCCTCCATACATCACAGAAGGGGTATAACCCAAGACCTACCCCCCACAAACATCATACCTACATCACAGAAAAGGTGGTCTACAACAGAAATTTGAATGTTGTTGTTTTTCCTGTCTGCCAGGTTATCTGATAATGCCTTATCTGATTGCCTTTCCTGGTAGTCTGGCCATTCCTTTGAGATGGTGATTACCCACTTCCTGAGACAATGGGAAGGTTCTCTCCCCCCCTCCCTCCTCGCAGAGAAAACATTTGGTCAGTTGGGGAGTCAAAATGGTTTCAGGGCGGTCTTCCTGTGCTGCTCCAGACATGTGGTCCCCATATCTATGTATGTGCTAGATTGGTACATCTATGAACATTTATTATATATATAAAAAATACCTTAAATTTTTTATTTCACTAAAAAAAGGAAGAAATTCCCCAGCCTCACTTCATGCAGAAATCACCCGGCTGGTGCCTGATGTCTAATTCTCACTTCTGCCGCTCGAAGTTAGCCCTTCGAAGAGTGGACAGAGAAAAGGTTTTTTCCTCCCTCTCTCGTAACACGAGAAGTCGTGGGCACCCAGTCCTGGAAGATTCAGGAAAGGTGATAGCACTTCTTTGCATAGTGCCGAGTTAACCTGTGGAACTCCCTCCCACAGTGATGGCCGCCAACCTAGATGGCTTTAAAAAGGGGACTAGACAAATTCATGGGTCAGAGGGCCCTCTGGCTACTAGCCACAATGGCTCCGCTTGGCTTTCACCGTTGGAGGCAGCGACACTGGGCTTAGATGGGCCATCAGCCTGAAATCCACCAGGTTCTCCTGAAATTCTTGCGAGTTTCAGCCCCCCACTTCCAAGTGGTGGTGGGATTTCTCCCTTTTCACTACCCTGATTATCATGAGTTAAAAGCCTCTGCTAGCAGCTATGGGACTCTGATCCGAAGCAGCTGAACTGGAAAGGAATGCAGATGCCTTTCTCTGTGAATTGTCGTCTCTGCTGCACCAGGACCTCCATTATTCTGAGTTCTGGATGTGTATGGAGGCGGGGGCTGTCGTCATCCCGTCTGCCCTGAGTTGGGGCCTCAAGCAAGACCCATAACTGAGTGGCAGGGCACCTGTTCTGCTTGCAGAAGGCTGGGAACCCTACCCGTCCCTGGAACAGTGGGAGAGCTGCCATCAGCCACCCCAGACTCTTAGGCACAATTGGAGCAGCAATGATTCTGAATTCCAGTTTCTGGAAACCACGAGAGGGGAGAGGGCCTTGTGCCAGGGTCCTGCTTGCAGATTTCCCACAAGCTGGCCACCACGAGGACAGAACGATAGACTAGATGGGCCACCAGCCTGATCCAGCAGTGTCGCCTTATGTTCTTACATTTTCCTTTAACTGCTCCATAAGACCCACCAGACCACAAGATGCACCTAGTTCTTGGAGGAGGAAAACAAGAAAAAAAATATTCTGAATCTCAGAAGCCAGAACAGCAAGAGGGATCACTGTGCAGTGAAAGCAGCAATCCCTCTTGCTGTTCTGGCTTCTGGGATAGCTGCGCAGCCTGCATTCGCTCCATAAGACGCACACACGTTTCCCCTTACTTTTTAGGAGGGAAAAAGTGAGTCTTATAGAGCAAAAAATACGGTATGTCTTAGGGTTAGGAAGTAAAATGTGCACCTTCTAGGTGACTTCTGTGAGATGAGGCAGCCTTGCTGCTCCGACCTTTCAGGATTTTTTAGCCAGTGAGGAACATTGGGGTTGTGACTGACGAGTGAGTTGTTTGGACACCAGGCTATAGAATCTCTAGGGTCCCAAAGAACTGCTGTCTGTCCCCCCGACCCCATCAGTCGCTGTACTCTTTCTGTTTGTCTTGTTCTCCAGTCCTTGGAAAAGGCAAACTATGTAAATTCCAAGCAACCAGAATGCCTCTTTCCTGTGGTGAGTTTGTTTGAGATGAGGTACTTCCTAGAAATCATTTTCTGCAAGCTCTACTCCAAAATAATTTTGAGTGGACGTTAAAAAATTCCACCCCCCTTCCGGTCACTAATGCATAGCTGTCAACATTCTCCTTTTTTTAAGGGTAATTCCCTTATTCTGAATAGGATTCCTTGCAAGAAAAGGGAAAAGTTGACAGCTATGCACTAATGTAAAATTTGAAAACTTCGCAAAGAGGCTTAGCCATGTCTGCTATGTATGAGCGGAAGAGCAGGCACTCATTAAGAATTCACATCACTATTATTAACTTTATTACCCCCAGGCCCCAGGATGGGTTACAACAAATTAAAATTCAGAATTATAAACCATTGAAGCAAATCCCACACAGGAATATGGTTAACTTACAGTGCAATTATGTACATGTCCACTCGGATATAACTTTAACTAAAAACAATAGTTAAGACATCATAACACTGTTAGAACCAGTGATTAAAGTACAGAATGCCCAGTGTCTTGCCTCGTCTGCACCTTAGTTCTACAAGGCCCCTCTGAACAGGAAACTCTTAGCCAGTCCAACCTCCCTTGGGGGGGGGGGAATCCCTCAATCTAGGAGCAGCTACAGAAAAGGCTCCACCAAATACCACCACCAGGCCTACTTCTTGTGTTGATGGGACCGAGAAGGGGTTCACCCAAGGATCTTGGCACCCAGGCAGGTTCATCCAGAACCGTCTGGGTGAAATTGGACTACAGCTCCCATCATCCCTGGCCATGTTGGCTGGGGCAACAGTATATGGAGGACCACAGATCTTCTCCACCCTATTCTGGGGCTCTCACTACACCATCTAGGAGAGCTTCCTGTCTGATTTATGAGCTTTGGCTGATTCTCCAGCTACGACCGTTCCTGACCCACTGTAATCCACGCACTGGTAACCTCAAGGCCAGACTACTGCAACACGCTCTGTGGGGCTGCCCTTGGAAGCTCCAGACGGTGCGGAATGTGGTGGCCAGATGGGGGCATCTTTCTGACAACATGCAAAGCCCTTGTTAAAACATCTGCACTGGCTACCCATCTGCTGCTGAGCCAGGTTCAAGGTCCTTGTATTAATTTACAAAGCCTTGAGCAATTTAGGTCCAGAGTAACTAAGAGGTCACTGAGATCATCCACAGAAGCGTTGGTGGCTGGTTCCAGAGTTGGTGAGGCACATTTGACAACAAGAACAACAAGTAAACAAGCCTTTACTGTCATTGGCTCCAATGTCGTTCCTCTTCATTCCACCTCCATGTGGAATGTCTGTGGAATGTGGAGTTGTGGAATGCTCTGCCACTAGAGATTCTGCAAGATGCCTTCAGTTTCCTGTATTAAACACCTGCTGAAAACTTTTCTGTTCTGTCAGGCTCATGGAGGCAATTAAGAATGAATGCATCTTTCCATAATCATCAGCTGATTTCTGATTTTAACTTTGTTAGGTTTATCGTTTGGCCTTTATATAGATGCAGTAATTGTTGTAAACCACTCTGGTACTTTTTAAAATGAGTATCGGTGTATAGATAAATAAAACAAATGTCTGGCAGCTTTGCGCGGTCAGGGAGAGAGATTCAGCTTCTCTTGTTCAGCCTTCTTCCTTGTGTGAAGCTCTGTTAGCAAGAGTGAACAGGCTCTGCAAATGCAGCTGCTCATCTCTCCCTCCCAAAGTCTCCCCCCCTCCACTTCCTGTTTTCAACCCATTGTCTGTAAATTGGCTGACTTTGGCATGAGATGAGCAGATAAAAGATTGTCAGGGCAGGAGATCAAGCTGAGCACAGCAGGGCCACAAGCATCTAGCGAGTCCAGAGCAAGGGGACAATTCCGGGCTTTGGGTTAAAACCCAGAGGCAGGTTCAGGCAAGCCAACAAGGGGAGGGGGGAATTCTTTAGATGTGCTCAGACTTGCAAGGGTCGACCTGAAGCAGGTCTTAGTCTCTTTTTTTCAGTAGGTTGAAAATGGCTTCCGACCCATTTAACAGCAAAAAAAAAGGCTTCTTGACCACCCCCAAACAGCTGAGCCAGGTTATCAAGGCATACCCTCCAACATTTCTCTGATGAAAATTTGTTGTAGTTTAGTCGTTTAGTCATGTCCGACTCTTTGTGACCCCATGGACCAGAGCACGCCAGGCACTTCTGTCTTCCACTGCCTCCCGCAGTTTGGTCAAACTCATGCTGGTAGCTTCGAGAACACTGTCCAACCATCTCGTCCTCTGTCGTCCCCTTCTCCTTGTGTCCTCCATCTTTCCCAGCATCAGGGTCTTTTCCAGGGAGGCTTCTCTTCTCATGAGGTGGCCAAAGTATTGGAGCCTCAGCTTCAGGATCTGTCCTTCCAGTGGGACATCCTATTTAATTATTATTATTATTATTATTATTACTACTACCATTATTCTTATTATTATTCTTATTATTATTATTTATTAATGTTGCTGTTTATACCTCACCCATCTGACTGGGTTTGCTGCAGCCACTCTGGGCCGCTTCCAACATGAATAAAAACATAATAAAACATTAAACATTAAAAAAAGCTTCCCTATACGGGGCTGCCTTCAGATGGCTCGGGTCAGATAACTCCCTAACCTCCAACATGTCTCCGATGGGAATAGAGACATCCTAAGGAAAAGCGGGACATCTGGATCAAATCAGAAACTGTCATGGCTTCTGTAAATCTGGGACTGTCCCTGGGAAATAGGAATACTTGGAGGGTCTGTCAAGGCTATCGGTGGCTACTAACTACCATGCTGTGCCTCTGTGGTCAGAGGCAGTAAATGCTTCTGAATACTAGTTGCTGGGAAGCACAAGAGGGGAGAAGAGTCTTGTGCTCTTGAGTTCTGTTTGCCAGTTTCCCACTGGGGCATCTGGTTTGGCTGCTGTTAGAGCAGGATTCTGGGTTTGATGGGCCGCCATTGGCCTGATCCGGCAGGGCTCGTCTGATGTCTATTTGGGGGAACCTCTGGCCAGTGTCCTGGGCTGGCCGCATTTGCATTTCTTGCAGTGTCTCAAACTTTGGGTCCCCAGCTATTGTTGGACTACAACTCCCATCATCCCTGACCACTGGTCATACCTAGCTAAGGATGATGGGAGTTGTAGTCCAGCAACAGCTGGGGACCCAGGTTTGAGAAACACTGCAACGCTATGGATTGGCTGGTGACTGTCGAATCCCTTGAGGCGGGGAGCCCAGCATCACCAGCCCATCTGTGAAGTTAGAGAAATGCAAACTCAGCCAGCCCACAATAGCCAGATTGTGCCTTTCTGAGCTTTGCTGTTCTTCAGCTGTAGAACGGGACTGCATGCTTCAGTGCTGACAAAACATTTCTCTTCCCTTTTTTAAAAAAGTTACTCTTGTGATTAGCCATGCAGAAGCCACTTCTTTCAACTGCTCCTTCTCTCAGCCTCAGACCTCCTCACATGTAAAGCAGGAGCATTGACAGCTTGTTGTTTTTTTGATGGGGATGTTCCTTCAGCTCCACTGGCCAGCTGAGATTTCTGTCTTAGAATGCAGTGCGATTGCATCTTATGCAGAGGTTCCGTTCCAATGAGGGTTCCATGTACACATCAACATTGTGTGTACATTGTGAATCCCCCATACTCTATGAGAGCCAGCATGCTGAGCAGGCCTTGCCCCTCCAAGCAAGACAGAGAGCTAAAAGTTGTTCCCCTAGCTCTTCTCCAAAATCTTCCTCCTATTTTAGTCTTAATGAGATAAGGGGAGGGGTGGCCAATTGTTGAGAAGGTTTTATATAGTTTGAAAACAATTCCCTTGAGGATAATACTGGGTTTTTTTTATATAAGATATTTATTGAAATTTTCAAAATATTACAAAAGAAAAATAGAAAAAAGAAAAATACAAAATAAAAATAGTTAAAAACAACTCGATCTTTCCATTACATATTTTTCATTAGCTTATTTCCCGGACCTCCTCACGCCTCCCTTTTTTGTATTCCTGTTCGGTTTGTTGGTTCAGCAAATACTTCCCCTCTTTGTTTATCCAAGTCTTAAATCTTAAAATATTATAACATTAAATTTTTACCTGTTAATAATCCATTTTTCATATTCCCTTATAGTATTACAGCTAAAAACCACTTACTTTCTATCCAACATCATTCTAACATTCATTGATTTTACAATATTTCTGTAAATAGTCTTTAAATTTCTTCCAATCTTCTTCCACCGACTCTTCTCCCTGGTCTCGGATTCTGCCAGTCATTTCCGCCAATTCCATATAGTCCATCACCTTCATCTGCCATTCTTCCAGAGTGGGTAGATCTTGTGTCTTCCAATACTTTGCAATGAGTATTCTTGCTGCTGTTGTGGCATACATAAAAAAAGTTCTGTCCTTCTTTGGCACCAATTGGCCGACTATGCCCAGGAGAAAGGCCTCTGGTTTCTTCAAGAAGGTATATTTAAATACCTTTTTCAATTCATTATAGATCATCTCCCAGAAAGCCTTAAGAGGATAATACTGGTTTAAATGGTTAGTTGATGAGGTTGTCATAAGACTGTAGAGATGGAGGGAGCCAAAGGGTGATTAATCTAGTCCAACCCCCTGCAACCAGTGTTAGAAACTCGGGTATATAAGCTGGGCGCCAAATGGCTCCTTAAACCAGGGTTACAGTCGCCAAAGTGGAATGCCTAGCTGCCATTTCGGGCGCAGATGGCTTGAAAGTTGCATCCTGGCACCTGGGCATCTTCACTTGGTCGCAAGTGGCCAACAGCCAGGTGCAAAATGCGCCTGGCGAATTTCAAACGCTGCCTGCAATGCCACGCATTGTCACGTTTTCCCTGCAGCAAACTTAATCACAGCTGCCCCTCTGGAAACAGTATATGCTTGCTGTCTCATGTATAGTTTATGGGATGCAGCAGAGACTGGGCGCCATCTTGTTTCCAGCTCTATACACAATCTGTGTGTTTTGAGTCCAAGTGCAGGGAAGTTGGGGGGCCCTGCTTGGAAATGTAAACGGGGGAAACCCCATTGAGCAGAAGTGCCTGTAAGCAGCATTGTGCTTCCTGTTAACCCCTCTGTGCTGGGAAACTGAACTGGCTGTCCCAGTGCACAGGCGGGGGTGTTGTATTGGCTCTGGGGAGTCATCCAAAATGGTAAGAATAGGCCTGGGGGCACAGGCGAAGAAGAGATGTCTTCAGTCCTTTATTTTTTATTTTTTTAAAAGCACCATTTAGAAGCAACAGTCAGTATTCAACAATCTCTTTTCACACACACCGAGAGAGAGAGAGAAGAACCAGATGTCTAACTACATTTAACTTTTAACCTTAAGTTTTTCAGCAAAAGTATCATCCCACAAACCTCCATGTGTCCTCAGAGCCCATAAGCCATGTTCCATCAATATTACATATGTAATAAAACCAAGCCAGACTGATTGAAAAGTGGTGATGGTTTTTGTCTGCATGACTGTCTTGGATGCGGGTTGTCTGTTGGTCCATTGGTCTTAAGTCCCAGCGTTGTGAGGTCCAGATCTCAAAATAGGTCTGCATTTAGTGTCTTCCAATACCTTTCAATACTCGGGACATGGGTGGCGCTGTGGGTAAAACCTCAGTGCCTAGGGCTTGCCGATCGCATGGTCGGCGGTTCGAATCCCCGTGGCAGGGTGAGCTCCCGTCGTTCGGTCCCAGCTCCTGCCCACCTAGCAGTTCGAAAGCACCCTTAAGTGCAAGTAGATAAATAGGTACCACTTTATAGCGGGAAGGTAAACGGTGTTTCAGTGTGCTGCGCTGGCTCGCCAGATGCAGCTTCGTCACGCTGGCCACGTGACCCGGAAGTGTCTCCGGACAGCGCTGGCCCTCGGCCTCTTAAGTGAGATGGGCGCACAACCCTAGAGTCGGACACGACTGGCCCGTACGGGCAGGGGTACCTTTAATACCTTTCAATAGATAGCAAGCCACGCTGCTGCCTTTATATCTCCAGCCAGGAATTTATATTTTAGCTTGTAGCATGGAAGGTTAAAGGTGGGCCTGCCTTGCCTCTACTGCCTTGTCTCCACTTGGATCAGCTCGCTGAATTGTACACTGCTGCAGATCTCCCTTGGGATCCACCCAGGATGGCAACCCACCTTGCTTTTCAGCTGACCCTTTTTGAATTAACAGGCTGCTTTTGGGGGGGGGTTAGTGTGTCCAAGAAAGCATACAGCTCACAAAAACTGTTTATAAAATCCAATAGTACAAGCACCGTGTACATGTTTAAAAAACTGAGGCCAATTAAAATAAATAAAAAGGCTGTCCATGCAAGAACAAGTCTCTGAAACGCAGCCTAGATTAAGGAAAAGGCAGGACAAAATAAACGAGGCTTTTGGAAACACAGCTTAAAATAAATTTGGACACCTAGGAGGGAAGAAGAGGCTGGGTCTACATTGACTGACAACTGCGGCTCTCCAGGGGGTCAGGCTGGGGGTGTTCGTACCTGGCGATGCTCGTGGGGATTGAACTGGAGACCTTCTGTATGCAGGACAGGTGTCCTCTGCCCATGAGCTCCAGACCCTCCCCTTTCATGCTATATAGATCAGTGCTTCCCAACTGGTGCTCTGTGGACCGCAGGGGGTCTGCGTAACCCACCCATGGCACCATTGACATAACAAAAACTGCCATACAGATATCGAAAGGTTCGGAAGCAGAAGGTCCATAGCTTGGCTTCTGAAAAACAGGGGTCCGCAGTACTTAGCTAACTGGGAACCACTAGATTGATGTGAGCTTTAATCTGCAATCTAAAATATTTTCCAAGCCCGTTTTGCTGCCCTGCTGATGACTGCATGCAAGACTCAAAACACCCGGACATGTATTAGTCCTGGAAGACAACACTTTATGCTTGGCAGTTGTTTCAATAAAATTTGTGTCACCAGTTAGCTCAGCTGGTGTTGATAATGCCAAGGTCGCAGTTTCAATCCCTATATGGGTGGCCTGCGTATTCCTGCATTGCAGGGGGTTGGGGGCCCTTCCGACTCTCTGATTCTATGTCGTCTTGCTTCTCCCCCCCCCCCAGGCTACGACTTTGCGGCGGTCCTGGAGTGGTTTGCGGAGAGGGTGGACCGCATCATCCTCCTCTTTGACGCCCACAAGCTGGACATCTCGGACGAGTTCTCCGAGGTGATCAAGGCCCTGAAGAACCACGAGGACAAGATCCGGGTGGTGCTGAACAAGGCGGACCAGATCGAGACGCAGCAGCTGATGCGGGTCTACGGTGCCCTCATGTGGTCGCTGGGCAAGATCATCAACACGCCCGAGGTGGTGCGTGTCTACATTGGCTCCTTCTGGTCCCACCCGCTCCTCATCCCAGACAACCGGAAGCTCTTCGAGGCGGAGGAGCAAGACCTCTTCAAGGACATCCAGTCCCTCCCGCGAAACGCCGCCTTAAGAAAGCTCAACGACCTCATCAAGCGAGCCAGGCTGGCCAAGGTGGGTGCCCGTCCCGGGTGGGGGGGGAGCTTTTCCCCTTCCTTCAAGGCCGGGGAGGTGTGTTCTGGCTGCCCAGTGATGGAGGAAGGGTGCCCATCCCAGGTGGCTCCCCGGATTGCAGGGGAGAAAGCTTTCAGTATGTTTCTTAGCACAATTCAAAGTGTCGGTGCTGACCTTTAAAACCCTAAACGGCCTCGGCCCTGTATACCTGAAGGAGTGGCACCACCTCCCTTGTCCAGCCCAGACACTGAGGTCCACCTCCGAGGGCCTTCTGGCGGTTCCCTCACTGCAAGAAGTGAGGTTAAAGGGAACCAGGCAGAGGGCCTTCTCGGTAGTGGCGCCCGCCCTTTGGAACGCCCTCCTGTCAGATGTCAAGGAAATAAACAACTATCTGACTTTTAGGCAGCCCTGTATTGGGAAGTTTTTTAACATTTGATGATCTCAGGTGTTTTTATATTTTGTTAGAAGCTGCCCAGAGTGGCTGGAGCCACCCAGTCAGATGGGCAGCATTTTATTTTAATTTATTCAAGGGCAGAGAGGGCCCATTGGTTCACCCTCATCCAATGTCTTGTTTAGGTCAGTGGTCTTCAACTTCTTGAGAGCTGGGACTCCTCTGTAGCAGGATGGGGACCCATTTCCAAGGGCAAAAGGGGGGCCCTTGGTGTTGGAATGGCATGGGCAGGGCTGTCCTTCTGTTGAAGACCAGTTATCTAGCCCAGGTGTGGGGAGCCTGTCTCCCTCCAGATATGCTGGACTCTTAACCCCCATCAGCCCCAGGACACCCGACCCAAAAGCCAGGGGTGATGGGATTTGTAGTCCAGCAATATCTGGAGGGAGACAGGCTCCCCACACCAGGCCTAGTCCCGCCCATCATTTATTTATTTTTGCAGCCGCTTGTGTCACCTGCAGTTTCTGAGTTCTCAGCCTCTGCTCTCTACCTCCCTTGCAGGTCCATGCCTACATCATCAGCTCCTTGAAGAAGGAGATGCCCAACGTCTTCGGGAAGGAGAGCAAGAAGAAGGAGCTGGTGAGCAACCTGGGGGAGATCTACCTGAAGATCGAGAGGGAGCACCAGATCTCACCGGGGGATTTCCCCAACCTCAGGAAAATGCAGGTATGGAGGGATGTTGACCTGTGTAGTGCGTTTGGGGCAGGAGCGGGCGGGACTTGGGCTTGCCTGGAGAGCAAGGAGGTCCTGGAGTCTTGCCGCATGTTTGTGTGTGTTGCAAAAATCACAATGTACGGGAAGCCAAACGATGCTTCTCTCGATTCCTGCAGCTCCTGTTAACTCTCTCCCCACCCCCACCCTGCGAATCACAAGAGCAGGCCCTGGAAAGAATCACGCGGGGGAAACCGTGTAGCCAGCCAATGCCTCTACATGGCTCCATCCTTGTTTCAGACATTGTGATACATCGCGATGTTTAGCTGGTGATACATCACGATGCTGAAAATTGGTGGCTGGACTCTCCTTATGATGTCAGTTGTGATTTTTGCCTGCCATCTTAAGGACCACAGACCTCCTGCCTCTGAGCACCAGTTGCTATGGGGACAGCAAGTGGGGAGAGTGGTGCTGTTGCGCTCAGGCCCTTTGGACTGATCCTGCAGGTGGGCTCCTCTTCCCCCGCAGTCAAGAGGCGGCAATGCTTCTGAAGACCAGTCGCAGGAAACCACGGGAGGGGAGAGTGTTGCTCTTGTGCAGGCTTCCCATAAAGGTCAGCCACAGTGAGACCAGGAGGCTGGACTAGTGGGGACCCAGCAGCATCCAGTCTGCTTGTTAACATTCCCAATGGAACCTCCAGATCCAGAGGCAGTCTTTCTGAACTCCCAGGTTCTTAGGGACGTTTGGCCACTATTGAGAACAGAATACTGGGCGGAAAAACTCTGGAAAAGTGATTTGCAGTTCGCAGCATGTTATTCTTTGAAGGAGAACTACTTGAAAATGATTTACAGATGGTATTTAACTCTGAGTAGGCTTGCAAAGATGTTTAAGACTGAATCAGATAAGTGCTGGAGATGCAAAGAGGTTGAGGGAACGTTCTTTCATATGTGTTGGACTTGTAGAAGGGTAAAAGAGTATTGGGAAATGATCGATAATGAATTGAACACAAATGTTTAAAAGTACTTTCCCAAAAAAAACAGAGTCCTTTCTTTTGGGGATAATTCAGACTGAAATTCCCAGGTGTCAAAAAAAGGTTATTTATGTATGCCACTACTGTGGCCTGTGTTTTGTCAGCCCAAAAATGGAAAATGAGGTCTCAACCAAAGAAGAGTGGCAGCTTAAGTTGACAGAATACACACAGCTCGCAGACTTAACATATAGAATAAGAGAACAAGAAGAACATACATTTAGAGATGACTGGAAAACGTTTATTGAATATATGGGAAATAACTGTGTACAGCTGAAAACGCTGGCAGCATTAAGATAAATTCAACAGTGTAAATAAGTTATGATGGATGTAATAATGGAATGCTGAATGGTATAGTTTTTGTAAAATATGCAGGGATTTATGATACATAAAATGAACAATGGAAAGAGGAGAAGGGAAATCATTTATATTTTAAGGATGTAAAAAATGAGTACTTTAGATTGTAAAACAGAAAATTTAATAAAAATTATATACAAAACAAGAATGGAATGCTGGATTTTACTTCATGCTCTTCACATGCCCACCTTGTTGTCCCCCCAGGAGCAGCTGCTTACGCAGGACTTCAGCAAGTTCCAGCCGCTGAAGTTGAAGCTGCTGGACGCGGTGGACGACATGCTGGCCAACGACATTGCGCGCCTGATGGTGATGGTGCGGCAGGAGGAGGCTCAGATGCCCACGCAGGTGGTGAAGGGCGGGGCCTTCGAGGGCACCATGAACGGGCCCTTCGGCCACGGCTACGGCGAGGGGGCGGGCGAGGGCATCGACGATCTAGAGTGGGTGGTGAGCAAGGACAAGCCCACGTACGACGAGATCTTCTACACCCTCTCGCCCGTCAACGGCAAGATCACGGGCGCCAGCGCCAAGAAGGAGATGGTCAAGTCCAAGCTGCCCAACACCGTCCTGGGCAAGATCTGGAAGCTGGCGGACGTGGACAAGGATGGGCTGCTGGACGACGAGGAATTTGCCCTTGCCAACCACCTCATCAAGGTCAAGCTGGAGGGGCACGAGCTGCCCGCCGAACTGCCCTCCCACCTGGTGCCGCCCTCCAAGCGTAGGCATGAATGATGCCACCTCCCTGTCGAGCGGGAGGGGCCCCCGCCTCTTGACTCTGCCCAGCCTTGGGTGGGCCGCCTGCCCTCAGGAACTCGACTTTGAACTGCCCCGCCCCACGAGAACAAAAGACGCCACCCCAAACCCACAGATGATTTCGTTTTTTAAAGAAATGTTTTAATACATCTGCTATCTTTGAGGCAGTCGTCTTGTGTGGTGCTGGGGAGGGATCTCTCTCCTGTCGGTATCCTCTTCTCTAGACGAGAGCCCTCAGCGGTGGGGACGCCCCTTTTCCCACCAGGTGTGGTGCCAGTCCCAGCACCTGTCTGACTAGGGGCTCACCTGGGCTGAGGCCCACACCTTGGAGCTTTTCACTCCCACAGGTCGTTTTTCCCAGTCGACGCTCGAGAGGGTGTCCATAATTTCCTCGCATCCAGTGGTGTTCGGGTCCTGGTTCAGGGCCTCTGGATCATTGTGGGGCCAGCCCCCACTTCTTGGGTGATGCCACCCAGCCTTGGCAACCTCCTCACTGCCCCCCCCACACGCTATCACAGTCACTTTCTGAGAACATGCACCACCACCTGTTTTGACACCTCAGACGGACGCATCACTTCCTGCTTTGCCCAAGAGGTGGTGGTGGTTTTTTTTGACATCACTTCCCCCTCCACCCACCCACCCACCCTGTGCCTTTACAAAGTGGTGCTATAATGGGATCTAATGGGACCAGCTGCTCACATCCCGGTGGCAAAGGGTTGACGCTGCACCAAATGCATCTCCCCTTCCCCTCCACCCCACCCTCTGCCATGCTATGCAGGCACTGGGCAAGAAATTGATAGGGAGGTGATGGGAGGTGGCATTGATTGGCAGGGGGGGCGGGTTCTCCATATTGCACTGATTTTCTGGCAGGGGTGGGCTCCACAGTGGGCGTGGAGGTCTCCAGGGATGAGCTAGACCCTGCGGTCTGTTTGGCTCAGAAAATCCAGGACTTGTGCATGGAAAAGGATTTGAAGATTTTAAGGTTGTATGTTGTTTCTGAAGAGAAGGGAGGCTTATGATGGTTTTTGTTACCCTCCAGGCCTGCCAAGGAAGGAAGGAGATATATAGTTGGGGGTTGGCATTACAGCCTCCCCCCCACCCCCACCCTCAAAATGACTTCAACCTCTCTCTGTGTGTTTGGGTCGGAGGGATAAATGATTTCGCCCACCCTCTGCCAGAAGGTTGAAGGAAGATGGGCCAGTATCTTAACCCTGTAGATGGAACATGATTGGCTGAGTCTGTCCAGAGCTGCTTATTGGGATTAGATCCTGCTAAGACCTCGGAGGGGGGTCAAAAGTGCAGCTTGGTGTCAGAAGCGGAGGGAGCTGTTGAATGTTCCACCTGCATCCCTTGCATTAAAGTTGATTTTTGGAGATTCGCAGCTGCCTGTTCATTCCCCCCCCCAAACACACACACATCCACACTTTAGTATTTTAAAAGTTTAATAACCCTGTGCTGCTCCAGTGCCAACAAGATGGGCTGTCGTTGGCTACACAGCAAAGCCAGAAACTTCAACCTGGATGAACCTGGAAAGGTGTAGTGCTTTCAGTGGGGAAGATTACTTAACACAGAACACACCCCTGACCATTCATTGCAAGTGCTGCTTAGCCTGAGGCTCCACAAGACACAGCTCCGTAGAGTTGGCATCTTGTCTGTCTTGGGGGACAGTAAAGGAGTGTGCCTTTGCAGCTCCTGCCAGGGCTGTAGAGACCGATATGGGAGAGACATGTTTCATTGCAGCCGGGGCAGATGAAGGCGTCCGGTTCTGCTGCTGCAGATGCACCAGGTATTTCTTCTCTTCTGCGCTCCTCCCACCGGTCATTCCTCCTCTGGTCACTGCTGTGGATGCACGACCCGGATGTCCGTCTCCAGGCACCGCGGTCGTCTGCAAGGGATTCCCATGTGGTGGGGTTTATGTAGCCAGCCGTCCTATCCCCCTATGCATCCATGCCAACAATTGAATTCTGAGGACAAGGAAGCTTGCGTGTTAGGTATCAGGGTGTTGACAGGTGCAAATTATGTTTGTGCATATTGCAAATGCAGAAAACTCCCGGCTCCGTTTCATTGAGGATCGTATGATATAAATAACGAGTCAAAGAACGCACCTGTCTGGTTCGTGGGTTTTTATCTCCGGAAAAGAGTGCTATTTCAGTTAATGTGATGGTTTCCCCTGTTGTCATGGAAATGTTGAAGATATTTGGAATCTTCACCCTGAAAGTGAAGGTGGCCAGGAGAAAGCGAATAGAGGAAAGTTTTTCTCCCTCTCTCGTAGCACTAAAACATATGGCCCATCCCGTGAAGTGAAATGTTGGAAGATTCAGGGCAGATAAAAGAAATTCCTTCTTTATGCAGCAAAGCGTTAACCTGTGGAACTCCCTCCCACAGGAGGCAGGGATGGCCACCATCTTGGATGGCTTTAAAAGAGGATTGGACATGTTCCTGGAAAGGAAAGGGCTATTGATGGCTACTAGCCGGGATGGCTTATGCTCCTGCCTCCATTGTCGGAGGCAGCAATGCTTTATGAATACCATTTGCTGGAAACCGCAGGAGGGCAGATAGAGGGCTCTTGTGCTGAGGTCCCGCTTGCAGGTTTCCCATAATAGGCATCTGGTTGCAACTGTGAGAACAGGATTCTGGACTAGATGGGCCAGATCCTGAACGGTTCTGCTTATGTTCTTACTGCTAACTTGAGGTGCTTCAAAAAGCTCAAGGCTAGGAATAGCCATTCATTAGGAGGTATTTTCCCCTTCCATCTTCAGCCAGAAGGAAGTGATTGGAAGTATCTGTTCCCTACAAACCACCAGTTGCTGTTCTAGCAAAATCAGGACAAACTGTAGTTAGAATCATAGATTTTCTTTGGAAGGAATCCTGAGGATCATCTTCTAGCTGCGCAACTCCCTGCAATGCAGGAATATGCAGCTGACCCATACGGGGATCAAATTTGCAAACTTGGCGTTATCAGCACCATGTTCTAACCAACCGAGCTATCCAGCTGATCAGTCGATTTAAAATAGGATTGGCTTTGTGCCAGCCAGAACGGGAAACTGTGGTTTGGAGGTGAGTCGTTCAGACAAGCCGTATTTTAAAATAAAGTAGTTTTTCCTGGTTTGCACAATAGGATTCTCATCTGAAAACGGGGGGGGGGGGGGGCTTCTGCTCTTGCGTAAGGTGGGAGAGGAATTGATGTAGCACCAAAAAAACACACACACAACAGCTTAGGTGTTGCATCTAAGCACAGCCACTAAGTTAGATGTGGGGTGGAGGAGGGGGAGTTTTACACTGGTGGCTCTCAAAAGGAGGAGCAGGCCAGGGAAAAGGGGGGGGGGGTAGAAATGCAAATGAAGAGATTATGAAGAAGGGTGTGTCCTTATTGGGGAGTGTGAGCAAATTACCCCGTTAACTCACTGGAGATAGTGTGCTGGGAAAAGTGACGCTGGCTGCCCAGAGAGAGAGAGAGAGAGACACGGAAGTCTCTCTTGTGCCCTTAAAGGACTTTATGATTGGAAGCTGGTCTGATTCCCGTCTGGTGCAGTCACCCCCAGGAATGCCGGTGTGCGGCTCGATGAGGCATTCCTTCCCATCCCCATTTAGAAAAGGGTTTCCTGCAGTCCAAGCATTCCAGCTTATCTTTGCCCTGGGTTCATGCCAACATTCTTGCTTACAGCTGGTCTCAGGGGCCAGAAAACAGCCCGGAGCAAGCGAGGAGGGGGTGGGTGGGTGGAGACCCGCAAGGCCCAGAGACCCTGCGGAGCAGCCGGCTCATGTCTGTAATGCCACATTAGCTTTGAAGGGGCTGGCTAGGCAGGTGGGGGCCATGGCAGCTGGAAGATTCCTTCTTGTCAAGCCTTGATCTGCCCCTGCCCCAGGATCACAGCTGGGCAGCGAGGGGGCACTTTCTTGGCTGGCAGTGTGTGTGTGTGTCTGGTGCCACCACCCAGCCCTCACCAAAGCCAAGTGCTCTGTGACAGGTGATCAGGGGGCCAGAGGGGATTCCAGTTGCAGTCAGGTGTGGGTGCAGTTTTTCAGAGCCGTAGCCACAGGGGGACTAGCTATGTTTTTTGCCCCAGGTGAAACCTCCAGAGGGGTGCCATTGAGGCTCCCAGCCTGTGATTTTCGTGTACGCAAATGCGCATGGGGATGTGTGCCAAACTGGGTCTTTGACCCAAGTGAAAATCAGCCTCGTTTCCCCCCTGCAGTTTTTTTGGACTTGAGAGTTTCAGGCATGCAATAATCTGTTCTGGTCACCACCATTTCTCCCCCACCCTCTTCACTTTCTTCTTCACCCAAAAGTTTGAGCCAAACCTAGATGTTCAAATTATTTCCTCGAAGGAACCAGAGTTCTCTTCCTATTTCCAGTGAGTTCCTTTTTTAAGAAGTGCCAGAGTTCTCTTCCTGTTTTATCCTCGCAACTCTGTAAAGTTGGGTGGACAGCCTGTGGCAACTTATCTCTGCCATCTGATCAGCCTGAATCAGTGCAGGGTGTACATGCTGGCAAGACTGAATGTATTACTTTCAGCAATACTACAGGGGAGATTTCAGAAAATACCATTCGCGCAGAGACTATGACTCTGTGGACAGAGACAAACAGAATCAGTTGCGCACAGTGCTTTTTTCCTAAAAAAAAATGTTTTGGGGTACTCTCATTTTGACTCGAGGAAATCACCATTTTATAGTTCAAATTGGGAAAAATAAATATAGTAAATGGACAAAAGTACAAAGATTCACACAAAAAATTAGGGATATGCATCCCCCTGCATCCCCCCCAGAAAAAAAGCACTGGTTGCATGTGTTCTTTTGCCCCTGGTATCAAACAATTTCATCTAAGTTCATTAATCGGTTGTTAGCAGGGAGTGGCATTCAGATGAATGCAAGGTAGGCTTCCTTATGTTTACTCAGGATGGGGCTAAGGTGGAGATAGTAGCTAGGTTTCTGCAACACACGGTGAAGATTCGTGAAGGTTTTTGCTGAGTGGTTTTATTGTACCGGCCCTTATTGGAGCCTTGTATATACGCCAATAAAGGTTTTGAGAATTTGAAATATGGCTGGGGTCAGATTGTGCCTGGCGCCTTCTGTGTGCCAAGCAGCTTCCCTGACACTGAGCCTCGGCCTCCCCTGTGAAGCCTGGGATCAGGCGAGAGGGGGCAGCAAGAATAGGGCTGGGGCTTAAGAGGAAGAAGCTAGTAGTGCTATGGGAGGGGCTTCTTTTGGCTGCTCTCCCCTCTTAAAAAGCAAAAAGATTCCTTCCCAAGTTCCAAGGATAAGTCTGTTCCCTGCAGAGAGAATAATCCTGTGGATGCTTATCTCTTTTTCCCTAAAGGGAAGAAGGTCACATCATCGCACAGGCCATCTTGAGCATCTGGCAGTATTCTTGAGCCCATCATCTTCTGCCCTGTTTGGAGCAGAGTCCAAGGAAGGAAACTCACAAGAGTCCAAGTCCTGCTTCCTAGCAGTGTGTGTGTGTGAGAGAGAGATAGAGAGTCTTGCTTGCAGGAGCAGAGGTGGGGCACACTTGCAATCTGGGCATGCGCACCCATTTTTGTGGGTGCCTACCAAGGGGAAGCATGAGGCTGCTGCCCTCTGCTGGCTGAAGTCGCTGTTTGCATGTCTAAACATAGAACCATAAAACTGCAGAGTTGGAATTGTTTGAGTTGGAAAGGGAACCCCAGCGGTCATCTAGTCCAGCCCCCTGGAATGCAGGTATCGCAGCTCAGTGATTCCTATGTTTGTGATACAGTTCCAGACTGGAGGGGTGTGACTTCATCCAAAGCAGGGTACTTGTGTTGAGACAAACTTCCTCAGTAAAGATAGGAGCGAGGGGTGATATGACTGGGTCTGGCTGCTTTGAAATTTAGCCACTCCCAGTCAGTAACCCCTGCTAGGCCAGGGATGCTGTCCGCATAGCCACATTGGGAATACTTTGTACAGGTCTGGTCTCTCGACCTCAGAAAGGATGTTGCAGAGTTGGAAAATGTTCAGAAAAGGGGAACTTAAAATGATCGGGGTGTGTGTGGAGCAAATCCCCTGTGAGGGAAGCTTGCAGCATTTCAGATTTTTTAGTTCAGATTCAGGAATCAGCAAACTTTTTCAGCAGGGGGCAGGTCCACTGTCCCTCAGACCTTGTGGGGGGCCAGACTATATTTTGGAAAAAAATGAACGAATTCCTATGCCCCACAAATAACCCAGAGATGTGTTTTAAATAAAAGCACACATTCTACTCATGTAAAAACATGCTGATTCCCGGACCGTCCGCGGGCCGGATTTAGAAGGCGATTGGGCCAGATCCGGCCCCTGGGCCTTAGTTTGCCTACCCATGGTTTAGAGAAAATGCAAGAGGCAGCATGATAAAAGGTTATACTATTATGCATGACACAGAGAAAGTAGGCAAGGGGAAAGCTTTTTCTACCTCCCTCCTAACATGAAGCTGAATGCTGGAAGGTTTGGGACAGATGAAAGGAAGTCCTCCTTAACGCAGCACATGGTTAAACTCTGGAACTCCCTGCCCCAGGAGGCGGTGATGGCCGTCTACCTCGATGGCTTGAACAGAGGATGAAAGAAATTCATGGAGGAGAGGGCTATCGATGGCTACAAGCCGCAATGGTTGTGCTGTGCCTCCCCAGTTGGAGGCAGCAATGCTTCTGAATACCACTCGCTGGAAACCATGAGAAGGGAGAGTTGCTCTTGTGCTCGGATTCTGCTTGCAGGTTTCCCACGGTCATTTGGGTGGCCCCTGTGAGAACAGGATGCTGGACTAAGATGAGCCATTGGCCTGATCCAGCAGGCAGGCTCTTCTTATATCTGTATGAACAGCCTCAGGCTCTAAGGCAGGAGTCAGCAAACTTTTTCAGCTGGGGGCCAGTCCACTGTCCCTCAGACCTTGTGGGGGCCAGACTGTATTTTGAAGGGGGGAAGAACAAATTCCTATGCCCCACAAATAACCCAGAGATGCATTTTAAATAAAAGGACATATTCTAATAATAATAATAATAATTTATTTTATTTATATCCTGCGCTCCCCAGCCGAAGCTGGGCTCAGAACAGCTAACAACAATAAAAGTAACACAGCATTCTAAAATCAATTTATTTTAAAATCAATTCAAAATCAAATTAATGGCAACCATTGGGCTAGTGTAAAAACATGCTGATTCCCAGACCGTCCGCGGGCCGGATTTAGAAGGCGATTGGGCCGGATCTGGCCTCCAGGCCTTAGTTTACCTACCCATGCTCTAAGGGCCTTTTGTGGCAAGTGGGTACAGAACCGGCTGGCGTTTGTTCTGCTCCCCAAGTGTGAGTATTAACTATTGTTGCTGTTTTTCCCAGCAGAGGGCAGTGCAGTTTCATGCAAGCTGGAAACTCCCCCCCCCCCATAGGACTTTTGGATTGGGCATGTAGACAGGCGCCGGGCAAGGGGGTCGGGTTGATGATTGCGCAGCTGGAAGAGGTTGGATTAGGTGAGCCCTGTGCAGGAGGCACAGCAGCGGCAGTGGTGCTAATGTATGGAACTTGCAGTCCCCCGGTGCTTAAATGTCTTTGGAAAGGGAATTAGATGGATCTAAGTGGGACGTGGGTGGCGCTGTGGGTTAAACTACATAGCCTAGGACTTGCTGATCAGAAGGTCGGTGGTTTGAATCCCCGCAACGGGGTGAGCTCCCATTGCTCAGTCCCTGCTCCTGCCAACCTAGCAGTTTGAAAGCACGTCAAAGTGCAAGTAGATAAATAGGTACCGCTCCAGCAGGAAGGTAAACGGCGTTTCCGTGCGCTGCTCTGGTTCACCAGAAGCGGCTTAGTCATGCTGGCCACATGATCTGGAAGCTGTCTGCGGACAAACGCCGGCTCCCTCGGCCTATAGAGCGAGATGAGCGCCGCAACCCCAGAGTCGGTCACGGTCTAAAGGGTCAGGGGGCCATTTACCTTTACCTTTAAGCAGGCATAAGCAGTCCGTGGCTATTAGTCATGGTGGCTATATGCAACTCCAAGGCTTAGGGTGGCAACCCAGTGCCATCTGCTGTCGAAACTGGAGGGGGGCTCAGGTGACACCTAGATGCAATTTCTGAATGCCTAGTGCAGATGGCTGATCAGTCTCCATATGCTGACTTATTGAGCTATGATTTGGAATGAGATAAGCAGGGCACCTGCTTTGCACGCAGGGAGGTCCCAGGTATCTCCAGGTAAAAAGATCAGGTAACTGGTGATGGGGAAACCTTTCTCCAGAGGGAGACCCTGGAGAGTTGCTGCCAGGCAGAGTGAGCAAAGCTGGTCCAGATTGTATTTGCAGCCCTGTGCAACAGGTGTTCTCAGGGCTGCTCTTTGCAAGGGGAGAGTTGGTGGCCAATGGGCATCCCTCCAGTGCAGGGCCGGTGCAACCATCTCTGCCTCAGGCGGCGAGATCCACAGGGGCAGCAGAGCCCAATGTAGATTTTCATTCCCTCCTTGTTCCCCTTCCTCCCAGGTGGGGATGGAGGTGCCATTTTGTGCACCAAAGGGATGCGGGTGGCGCTGTGGTCTAAACCACTCTTGGGCTTGCCGATGGGAAGGTCGGCGGTTCGAATCCACACGACGGGTGAGCTCCCGTTGCTCTGTCCCAGCTTCTGCCAACCTAGCAGTTCGAAAGCTCACCAGTGCGAGTGGATAAATAGGTACCACTCCGGCAGGAAGGTAAACAGCGTTTCTGTGTGCTCTGGTTTCCGTCTCAGTGTTTCCGTTGCACCAGAAGCAGTTTAGTCATGCTGGCCACATGACCCAGAAAGCTGTGGACAAACACCGATTCCCTCAGCCTGAAGTGAGATAAGTGCCGCACCTCATAGTCACCATTGACTGGACTTAAATCATCCAGAGGTCCTTTACCTTTCCTCTTTTTTTGCCATTTTATGATTCCCATTAGGTGTCAAAATGACAGTGGCCTGTGATGAACACCTCAGGTGATCTAATAGGAGGGCTGGACCTGACATTCTGTCCCTGCCACCATTACCCTTCCCTCTCAGTTTTAACCCTGTGGGGGGGGGAAAGCACAGAATCATAGGATTGTAGAGCTGGGATCCCAAGGGTCATCTAGTCCAACCCCCTGCAATGCAGGAATGTTATTTGTTTACTATTCAAATCCTTTGCGACTGATTCAGTTGGAATTAGAGGAAGGGTCACATCTTGCATCCTATATCACCAGCTATGCATGCGGATGGTCCCAAGAGCTCAACCACAGGGATGGAACTGGGAGCAGAAGGTTCCTAATTTCAGGGTCGTGGGTTCGAGCCCCATGTTGGGCAAGAGATTCCTGCGTGGCAGGAGCTAGACTAAGATGCCCCCGTGACCCTTACCAACTCTAGGATAGGAGCCTCGCTGCCCCGTGGCCCGGCATCCTGTCTTCACAGTGAGCCCCGCGTGGCGTCTCCGCGTTGGGCTGTGAAAGAGCCCACACCTGCAAGCCCGGCGATGCGCTGCTGCCAGCCCGTGCCGGCAACATAGAATAACCGCAGGGGCGCGTCTGGGGCATCGGCGCCCGGGAGGAGGGTGGCGCTGGTCCCTGCGGGCGCTCCCGCTCCGGCGGCGCCCTCGCCCTCCTCCTCCTCCTCCTCCCGCTCCCAGCTGGGCCAGGTGTCGGGTTGCGCCCATCCCACCAGCATCGGGGCGGGGCGCTCCTCTGGCTGCTCCAGCTTCGGCGGCGGCGGCGGCATTGCTGGCCGGGCTCCCGCGGCGTCCTCGCCTGTCCCGCTCCAGCTCCGCGGCGGCGATCATGTGCAGCCCGGTGGAGCGGCGCCTGGCCGGGCTGCGGGAGGCGCTGCTGGGCGAAGGGGCGGCGGCCGAGCCGGGGCTGGAGGCGCTGCTGGACCTGCTGCTCTGCGTCCACCAGGAGTGCAGCGGCGCCCCCCTGCGGCGGGAGAAGAACGTGCAGCGCTTCCTGGACTGGGGTGAGTGGGCAGCGGCAGGACTCTGGGCCGGAGGGTTCCTGGGCGCGTGCAGAGCGCCTCTCCGGCGCGACGGGTGGCTTGCGGGGCCGGGGCCAGTCAGTTTCTCGGAGTTAAGACTTCTCCCAGGTGGAGAGCAAGGAGCTTGTTTAGCGTGGCGGAGAGGAAGGTCTGAGGCTGAGTTCTGAAGCATGTAAAGTAGTAACATAAAATACCCGAAGAGGTGAAGGTGGGCCGCGGTTCATGAAGGCGGTCTAGTCCAACCCGCTTTTTGGCTGGCATGTGTCCAACAGGTGCCTCTGCTTGAAGATCTCCAGCCAGGGACAGCCCCACCACCATCAACCCCTGGCAAGGCCATTGGCTCCCTTGGTGAACCCCTCTTGCTGTCAAGAAGTCTCTCCTAATGTTCAACCAAAATCTGGTGCCTTGGATCTTAAAGACCATTAGATCAAGGCTTTCTGGGACAGCAGAGATTTAATACCTAGATGCATACCTAGTATGCACATGGCTTCCCCTCTCTCAAAGGAATTCTGGGAACTGTAGTTTGCTGTGATTCCATGGCACCTGTATCTCTGTGAGGGGGGAGCCGCAGTTCCCAGGATTATTTGGGGGAAGGCATGTGTTTTAAGTGGGCCTTAAATGTATGTTGTGCATCTGCCACACTGTCCACTGCTTATCTGACACTCATTCGAGTATCTGAATTGCAGAGGTATCACAACCTGCAAACCCGCACCAATTAAACACACCATATTTTGTTCAGCTTTACTACCTGGAGCTCATTTTCTATACCCCTGACCATCTTTGCTACCTCCCTCTGGACCTGTTCCAATTTGTCTACATACTGCTGTAGAATGGGTACTTCTCTTTAAGCATGTGCAGAGTGCCTCCCTTCCACTGATTCAACCTGCGGGATTTGGAGAGTAAAAACACCCACAGAATTCTCTGCCACGAGGGACTGAGAGCTACTGAAGGGACCACCCAAGCCTTCTTCTTTCACCCACTATAGACTAGGGGCCGTCAGTGGGGCTTCTCCCCAGATGTTTTGGATTTTTAACTCCCATCCGCTCCAGAATCTAATATGGCCAATGGTCAGGGGTGATGGGAGTTGTAGCGTGCATCATTTGGAGAGGGTACCCAGCCTTTGCTGTTGACCGTCATGGCTGTGGGAATAAGGAAACTGGTTGCTTGGGGTGAGTGGTGGACAAACCGGACTGATGCTTATCGCAAGAATGGCAAAGCTTCCTTAGCTACGCAGAACTCATCAACATGGGAAGCCAGTTTATACTGAATAAGACCATTGGCTCTAGCTAGCTCAGTGCAGATTGGCAGCAGCTATCCATTACTGCTCCCAACCCTACCTGGAGATGCCAGGAATTGAATCTGGGAGATACCTCCGAGCTTGATTTTGGTGTGTGTGTATCTAGAATGGAACAGGTGAAGCCTCCTTTTGGCTAGTTTCCCCGCTAGGGTTGGCCTGTCCCACCTCCGCAACAACCCACAAGTTATCCTCCCTGCTTGGGACCACCCACAGTCATGCCCCAAGCAGGGCATAGTAGGAAATGAATGGACCGGCTGTGCCCTTGCGTCACAGAGAGGGGAACTGAGTCATGGAGCAGTGTGGCGATGTCACACGCCTCAAGTGATGCGCTGAGAATGTAGCCAAGCCAGAAAGGGACCTTCCTATCTCTTGAGATGCCAGCCTTTGGTGGCTTCTCTATCACAGTCAGGGGCTTATTCCTGCATTTCAGAGGGTTCTGCTGGATGATCCTTCAGGTCCCTTCCAGCACCATGATTCTATGGCTTGGTAAAGGAGGGCAAAGACATGGCAGGGCAAATGCCAGCCATGCCACCTGTGGGCTTTGCATCCTGTCTCTTGCTTGTAAAAAGGACCTTGGTGACAGGTCCAGGGGTGGAAATTCAATCTCTCTGAAACAGCAGGACTCTGTGGTGGTTTTAGGGACATCCGGACCCTTTCATGCCAGGTTAGAATATTTGCTGCTGTGACTGACAGCCTTTCTCTGGGGCATCTGAGGCAAGGAAGGCTCTTTCCCACCTCCAGTTTCTTTAACACATTCGCACACTCAGGATTTGCATTATTGCCCAGGTTGGGGTGTGGAACCATCAATGTAATGGGCATTCTTTGCCATGCTGATGGGGGTTGTGGTCCGAAACATCTGAGGGCACCAGGTTGGTGAAGCCTGTGTGGTTTTGCTTGATCCTGGGAGATCCTCTTCTCTTCCTCCTCTCATCAACATCCACGGGGTGTGTGTGTGTGTGTGTGTGTGTGTGTGTGTGTGTGTTATTCAGCAGTTTATTCCTAACTTCTGAGCATAAACAGGATAAGCACACCTGTTTTCCCCCACTACCAAGAAGGCCCTCTGTAACTTCACTTCTCACAGTGAGGGAACTGCCAGGAGGCCCTCGGAGCCAGGCCAAGTTGCTCAGACACAACTCTGGGGGTGTTTCTCTGCTCTATGAAACAGCCCTCCTGGATACTTCTGACTTCTGTTTCACTCAGAATAGTGAGGGTGCCCCGCTTTCCTGCTTCAAAGCAGTCAGGGCAGCTTGGAACAATGGTGTTTGAAAACAAAAAATAAAAACCTGAAACAGAGAATTTAACCTAACGGCAGCAAAGGAGGCCAATGCAACTGTCCGAGAAGCCACGAGTGTGGTGTTAAGTCGGCGCCTAAAGGCAGGGCCAGCCCAAGACATTTTGCCGCCTGAGGCAAAGGGCCGGCTGGTGCCCCTCCTTCCAGAAGCCAACCAGAACACCATTTTGCTTCAACAGTGGTGACGGGACAACCACCTCCACAGTCCCTGAAGGCAGCAGGCTAATTGCTAGCTGGTGGGTGAGCGCCTCGCTTTGCTTTCCATCGCTTTGCTGCTGCCACCTCCCACAACCTCACTTTGCCTAATAGTAGGGCTGGAGCTGCCTAAAGGATGACAAACTTGGCAAGGGAGAGGGATTTCTGACGAGAGAGTCCCATAAACCACGATGCCAACAGACAGACTGCCTTGTCCCACTTGCCACCCTGAGAGCCTCTAAAGGTGTGGCCGGGGGGGGGGGAGCGGATTGGGGCCACCATAGATCTGAAGGCCCTGGGCAGGTTCATACGGGAGAAGACACCCCTTTAGGTAACTTGGTCCCTAAAGTTCTGCAGCTGAATCCACCCCTTTGAGTTGCACCCAGCAACAGCCTGGAGGCCAGCTGAGATCTCCAAATGCCAGCTGCTTCTGCTGAGACTGGCAAGCCTTGGTTAACCGCACAGCTGTCTTGTAGCACCTGTTCCTATTGAGGTAAGAGCCAGGATGCAACAAGCAGATGGGCTCCTCTTCAGAGTGGAGCATTTACCCCTCCCTCAGCATCATTTGTTAAGGACACAGGAGGCTGCCTTAGACTGAATGAGACCCAGGCCCTCACGCTGGGAAGTGGAACTATAAGCAGAGGTCAGAGAGGGCTTGCCCCACAACTGGCGATGTGAAGGCCTGGGGGGGGAAAGGGGGGGTTGGGGTGACAGTTCCTGCCCTCCCATGTTTATTGTTTTCCCCCTGAGCCTTCACATCTTTAAACCACACCACCAAATACTGCTTACACCAGTTTGTCCTGTTCTGACTGGCAGCAGCTCTCTTATGTTTCCCATAGAGAGAGAGGTTTTTCCAATTACAGTCATACCTTGGGTTGCGAACGTGAACCCGAAGTGCCGCGTCTGTGCCGAAACCCGGAAGGAACCCGTTCCAGTACTTCTGGGTTTGGTGCGGTCCACAACCCGAAAACGTGCAACCCGCAGGGTTCGTAACCCGAGGTATGACTGTATCCATTAACACTGGGTTTTAAAGTTGGAAAGAAACATACAGCCTGGAGACTTAGATGGGTCCTTTGTGCCTTGGACGTAGGACGTTGGATTTTGGTTCCAGAAATGTGATATTTGCAGTGGCTGTGGACCAGAAACATTTCCCCAACCCTATCAGTGTGCATATGTGTTCAACCCCCCCCCCCCCAATAGCATTAGGCCCATCCCCATCCCCTTTTCCCAACACCAATGCTGGCACAAAACAATCCCCTTTTGTGACGGTTACAAAAGAGCTGAATTGTATTGTATCAGGAAATATAATTCTATCACATATAAGGACTTAAGAAGAGCTTGGTGAATTCCCCCAGGGACCACCCAGATGCCCATATGGGAAACCCACAAGAAAGCTCTGAGCACAAGACTCCTCTCCCTTCCACTGTTTTCCCGCAAGCATAGCTGCCTTCAAAAGCGGAGGCAGAGCATGGCCATCGTGGCTGGGAGCCTTTGATAGCTGGCTTCTCCTCCACGAATCTGTCCAATCCTCTCTTAAGGCTATCCAAACTGGTGACTCTCACTGCCTCCCGCAGAAGTGAGTTCCGCAGTTCTCTAACAATGCATTTTCTCGCACAGTCTTCTGGCTGGGACCCATGCCGTCTGCTGTTTTGTGTTGCATGGTTTTTATTCACACATTTGTACACAGCCCCGGAATTTTGTGTTGAAGGGGCAGAAGACGAGAGAGAGCAGAAAATCCCAGGTATGACCCCCTCCCCAGGTGTGACACACACACCCCCAACAGCATCTCCAGGTAGGGCAGGGAACAACTGCCTTCCTGAAATCCTGGAGAGAGAGAGAACCTCTGCCAGTCTGTATAGCTGACACTGAGTTAGCTGGGCAAATAGTCTGGCTCTGCATATGGCAGCTTCCTATAATCCCTAGATAACCTCCCCCACCTCACACACACCCCGCTCCAAAATGGGTTAGTCCTGTTTTGAAGATAGTTCTTCTGTCCATGGTCACATCTGAGTCTTGGTCAGCCCTGTGGGAGTCCCTCAGAGCAAGCAAGGCAGCTTATCTGGACCTTGCAATATTCAGAAATGCAGCTTGTAAATATCTGCATGACTTTGAAGTCTTCTATGAGCTGTTCGCCGGCCCGGCCCTATCGTTAGACAAAGTAAGGCATGTTCCCCTGTTCCCCAGAGGCATTCCTCTCTCAGAGGACAGTGCTGGGTGGGAGTGCCCTCGTGGCCTGTCCTGGAGTGCCTAAAAGTGCTGCTTGTCCTCCGGTGTGACAGAGGACAGGAACCCACTGCAGGCATGGAAGTAAGGTTCGTCTCCCAGTCCCGTCGCCTTGTGTGTGTGGATTTAGTGGGGGCACCATCTTGCCTTCCTCCAGGCAGCAAAATCCCTCAGGACCGCTCTGCCAATTGCAAACCATAAGGAAAACTGATGGCGGCAGAGCGTTCTGGCTTCAGGCGGCCTCAGTCCTTACACGGGTGTCTGTTCTACCCTCTTTCTCACTCTGAAAGGGTGCAAAGGCTGTCCAGATTGTTATGTGCTGAACTCTGTAGAAGGGGGCAGTTCAAGACAAAGAGGCCCATTGGACTGTCTGCTCAGGGCCAGCCCAAGTTCTTTTGCTGCCTGACGAATGGCATAGTCTCCTCAATTGCACCTGGAATTGGGCTCAGGGCAGGCCATGTGGCATGCAAGCTCTATCCTGCAACACAGGGGTAATGGCTGGGGGTGGAGAGGATGCTCAGGCAGAAGGGCTGGGCGATGCTGATGCTGCCCTCAGTTGCCTCCTTCTGCCCAATGATAGTGCCGGCCCTTCCTCCAAACAGCTTGAAGCCATTCTCCACGAATGTATATCCATACCCTCCAACATTTTTGGCACCTAAATCCGGATGCTCTATTTTTGGTTTCAAGCTCTCACGAGAGCATGAAACTGAAGCCGCTCTGTTTTTTTTGTCCTGCAAGACCAACAAACGAGTGGCTTTCGTTCCAGTGCTCTGGCACAACCCTGCCGACTTGCACCAGAGTGAGTGTCTTTTGGTCCGGCGCTTTTGGACCAACAAATGGGAAATTCTGGGGTCCAAACAGAAGCCGGGATTGGCTTCTGTGATTCTGGGATTTCCCGCTTTAAATGGGACAGTTGAGGGGTATGCATCTCACCTGAAAAAGCGTGCTTCCCTCTTCTGCCTTTTTGCAACTAGCCAGTCCCAGAGAATTGTGAGAAGGTCTGCAGCCCATGGATGACAGAGCACCTGCCAGGTGTCAGAAGGCTGTGGGTTCAATCCCTCCTTGAGGCCCTGGAGACCTGCTGTCAGTCAGAGCAGGCCAGAGTGGGCTAAATGGGACAGTAGTTTGGCTGGCTATGAGGCAGATGTTCTAAGCCTGCTAGTAATTATATGCACATCAGTGTGGTGTTGTGAGAGTGTTAGACTAGGAGCTGGGTCCAGGAACACTGAGCAGTTTACAGCTCTTTAGGGTCTCTGCCACGACCGGGCAAGACTCCTCTTTGCAGATGCCATCAGAGATTGAACCCAAGGCTTTCTGTGAGCCAACAGCCACAATGACCCCTTCTCTCACTCATCTTCATTTCAGTTCAGTTCACTTTTAATTTGTATACCACCTTTCTATATTACTATACATGCGGCGATTGGTGCAAGGGCATAAGAAGAGAAGCTTTTTTAGGGGCTATCTTTGGCTGGGTACTCCCCCTAAAAAAAGGTCAACAAGCTCCAACACCTCTTTTTCTAGAAAAAAATGCCCTGCATGATAAAACCATAACTTTAAAATAAACAACTTACACTGAATAAAGCAATCTTCAATAATCCATTAGAGTATAACAGTAAACGGTAAAATTAAATACCAGCAAACAATAATTAAACAGTTTACACGTAACAAGTACAATAAAGAATGACTAAACTATAAGCAATGAAAATAACGGCAAGTCACAATGCATAAAACACCACAAAACCATGTAAATGGATCGAATTGAGAAACAAGGACACACAACTTATAAAATTATTATTTTTTAAATATCCCTAAACTCCTCCCTTCATTGTCAAGAGAGGAAGGAACCAGCAGGTTGACGATGTAAAATCTGAAGGCTGTTTCTCTGGCTTCCCCAACAAGTGCTAAAGCCAGTCTGTACCCGCCTTGACATTGTCACAACTCCCAACTTTGCCAATGGTCAGGGATGCTGATGATGGGGGTACTAGTTCGGCAGCATCTGGGGGGGCACAGGTTCCCCACAACTGTTATATTGAGACTAATTCTGCAAGCAGTGGGGATGTGTAGGTCAAGGTGGTAGTGGTGGTGGTGGTGGTGGTAGGGACACTGCCTTTTTCTCGGCGCCTTGTTCCTAACCTCAGTATGTTTAGGGACTGGAGAGGTTGCAGCATTTGCGACTTTTCAGCTTAGGAAACAGGCAAGTAACGGGTGACACAACTGAAGTATACAGAATTGTGCGTGGCATGGAGAAAACAGACAGAAGTTTTTTCTCTCAGAACACTAGAGCTAGTGAGCATCCAATGTGGCTGAACATTCTTAGACCCAGGACAGATAAAAGACCTTTTTCAGGCCGTGCATGGAACTCACTCCTGCAAGAAACAGTGAAGGCCTCAAACCTAGATGGTTTTAAAAGAGAATTGGACAAATTCATGGAGGAGAGAGGGCTATTGATGGCGACTGGCCATGATGGCTCTGCTTTGCCTCCACAGATGGAAGCAGCAATGCTTCTGAATACCAGTACAGTCATACCTCATGCTGCGAACGCTGCGGGTTACGCTCTTTCAGGTTGCGTCCTGCGGTGAACCGGAAGTACTGGAAAGGGTTACTTCCAGGTTTCGCTGCTCACGCATGCGCAGACGCGGTGAATTGCGACCTGTGCATGCGCTGTGTTCCTTTCAGGTTGTGAACGGGGCTCTGGAACGGATCCCGTTCGCAACCAGAGGTAGCACTGTAGCTGGAAACCACCGGAGGGGGAGGGGGGCTCTTGTCTTGCTTGTAGGTTTCCCGGTTGACCCCTGTGAGAACAGGACTAAGAGAGCCATTTCCCTGATCCAGCAGGGCTCTTCTGTTCTCATTCTGAGAGCTTTTGGTGCAGGGGGCGGCCGGTGGCCTGAGAGCACTCCAAAAGGTCTGCAACAAGCCATTGTGATCATCTTTAAAAGCCAGCTCTCCCTTGCCTTCCTGCATCCCCACTCCCCTCCGAAATGGGCTTTCGCTGCTGTCTGGTTGGTCGTGGAACTGCTCCGCAACGCTGCAGCTGTTCAGAGGGGGAACTGGCAGCCTCAGGATGTTGACAAGGAGGGGAGCTTCCTTGCAGGCAGGCAGGAAGAGAGGAAAACTTCACGCTTGGGCTTTTTGGGTAGTAGGAGGGGAAATGAAATGTTCCGGTGGCAAGAAACGAAGCCTTGGGAACTGTCTCTCTCAGATAGCAGTAGAAACACGTGGACCTCCAGTGAAGCAGAATGTTGGAAGATTCAGGACAGGCCCAAGAAAGTGCTTTTCCACACAGCACGTAGTTAAAACTATGGAACTCCCTCCCACTGGAGGCAGTGATGGCCACCAAGCTAGATGGCTTTAAAAGAGGATTGGACAAATTCGTGGAGGAGGGAGCAGTCGATGGCTGCTCCATCGCTGGAGGCAGCAATGCTTTTGAAGACCATTTGCTGGAGAACCCAGAGGAGGAAAGAGGGCTCTTGTGCTTGGTTCCTGCTTGTGAGTATCCCACAGGCATCTGGTTGGCTGCTGTGAGAACAGGATGCTGGACTAGATGGGCCATGGGCCTGATCCAGCAGGGGTCTTCTTAGGCTCTTCTGCCAAGCAGGAAGGCCAGAGAGGTGTTTCGGCACTGTGTTGAATTTGCCCCATTGGAATGAACTTAGCAGCTCTCATAGCAGAGGAGGTTCCTGTGGCTTCCTGCCCATAGCATGATTTAACTCAAAGGCAAGGAATAAACCCAACCACCAATACCGCCACCACCACCTTGGTCTTCCCCTATCTTAATAACCGGGGCCGCAGCCCCCACCCTGCACAGGGGCCTCCCTCCTCTTTGCCTGCATGGATCCATCTCCTGCCAGGATAACCACTTGAGCGTTCCTTCTGAGCAAGATGTGATGTAACTCTCGCCACCCAACCCCTTTCCCCCTGTGGCTCCTTCTTACCACGTGAATTGCACTCCGCAACCAGACAGGACCTGTTCTTCAAGTCTGGGTGCTGGGTGGGTGTGTTCTTGATCTTGCAGCGTAGATATTTTTAATCTGGGACCCAAAGTGTGCTCCCTCGGTGACAGTGGTGGCTGTTTGGCAACGGATGTGCATCCATTCCTGAGGTGGATGGAAGGAGCAGAGGGGTTGCCTGAGGACTTGGTACAGAAACCAAGGAAGCTGCCAGACCCTTGACCCTCCCATCTAGTTCAGTGTTGCCTACATTGACTGGTGGCGGCAGCAGCTCTCGGGGGGTCTTGGCCCAACCCTCCTTGGAAACGCCAAAGACTGAGCCCTGGGCCCTTTTGCTTGCAGAGCATACACTCTGCTCCTTCCCCATAAAGTTGAGCAAGCTGTTAGTCCTCATGGAGTTTGAATAAAGGGCAGATTTTAACAAAATGCAGAAAGCCACCTTCTAGCAAGCCCGAGCGCTGCTCCAGGTGCACTGGCTCTCTGGGGTTCTGCAGGGGTCTTCCCCAGCCCTTCTGCATGCAGAGCTGGTGCTCCAACTCCTTCCTGGGGTCTGCAGAGACTTCCTGAAGTGACAGCCTGCCCACTTCCTAGCTCAGGCTCTTGGGGGGGGGGGGAGCTGCTTGTGCACTGCATGGCTGGAACAAGCCAGTATCTATGCAACCTGGGCTGTCTATCCACAGAGCTGCCTGCCTGCCCCTCCCATGGGATCTCCTTCCTGCCCCACCAATACTCCCTGAGTGGGTGTAAAAACCAGTGGCATTTCCCCTCTCCACCTGATAGGGAGCTGCTGCTGCTGCCTGGACTGGCTCATGATAGAGGGTGATGCATCATCCGAGGGGGGGGGCAGGAGGAATACCAGAACTGTTTGTTGCTCCTGTCGTCAGGGCAACCTGGCCAGGTCTGGCAACCTGGTAGGTAGGTTTTGGATTCCAACCTGTCTGTCAGTCTTCAGGAGGGCTGTTTTTCTTATTTCAGACGGGAGGCTTTTTAAGGTAGCAGCAGCAGCAGCACATCTAGCCAAGGCCCCACAGAAGCCTCTCCCCCCACCACCCGCCTCCTTGTGCATGAAGGGTGCACATGCCTGAGGGTGGGTGTGCGCATGTTCACATTCTCTGCACTGAAATAATCCACATTCTGTGCTGGGAAAGGGTGGTTCGCATGGCCTGGGTCAGCTGTTGGTCTCTATGGCACAAGCTGGTCTGCTTCCACTATTTGCGGGTGCGAATGAAGAGGCATCAGCTACACACACACACACACCGAATGCTTGCAGACATGCTCATCAACCCCTTCTGACTCTTGAAATTCCACTAAGCACTTCCCTCCCTCCTCTGTGATAAGGCCTGAACCGCTTTTCTTTTCAGTGTTTTCTTGTACACTGGCCGGCAGCAACTCTCAAGGGTTTCAGGCGAGTTTCTTTCCCAGCCCACCTTGGTGCTGCCGGGTATTGAACCTTCTATCTGAGTTTTGCCATGAGTCCAACTAGCAAGCTGCCTTATACCAGGTCCTCAAGCTCCCCATCTTCATATCTGACTGGCCATGGCTTCCCCTGCCCCAGGTGGACTCGGGCAGAGAGAGGGTCTTTCCCCTCACCTGCCACTACCTGCCCCTCTTATTAAGGGATAGAACCTGGGACCTGTCCGCATGCAAAGCAAATGCTCTTCTATTGAGCCATAGATCTTTGCCACTAGGCACACTCCTCCTGACAGGGTGGGATCCTGCATTTTCTGACAAATTAACTTTTATGAATCGGGAGCCACCTTGTGGCAAGGCTCTTCCGGGATGTCCCAGCACCTGCTGTCCCCTTTCTTGGGGGGGGGGGGAGCAGGCAGCTAGGCCTGGGAGCAGGCAAAAGGGGCAGTGACCCATGGGAAGGGGCTGCCTCTCCTCTCTTCTCTGGCGTGTGGGGTTCAGACCTGGCTCTTGTCCCCACCCTGCTCGCCTTGCGAGGAATGTGGTCCCGCTGGTTCCTCTGGGCGTGCCTAGGCCAGCGCCTGGTTTTCCACTGAGGAACTAAGACTGGAAACTCTTTGGGAGCAGAGGAACACCAGCGGAAGAATTTGCGAAGGAGGCCCTCTCCTCTGGGCCAAAAGAGGGCAGGCAGCAGCTGCTGCCGCTGCCACCATCGCCACACCTCCTCGCCTTGCGAAGGCACCAGCTCTCTACACCCCCTGCTCTCATTCAGAGGCTGTGGGTTCATAAGGAGAGGTCTGCAGGAGAAGGCCAGTGGCCTATCTAAGCTCAGCGGCCAACCAGACGCCTGCGGGGAAACCGGCAAGCAGGATTCAAGCACAAGGGCCCTCTTCTCCCGTCCTGAGGTTCAAGCATTCAGAAGCACTGCTGCCTCGACTGAGCAGAGCCACCATGGCGTTTCACCATAGCAAACCCCTCTCCTCCATGTCCAATCCTCTTTTAAAGCCCTATATCTTCCAACATTCCTCTTTGTTGGATATTAATGGGCTCTAGTGTCCTGAGAGAGAGATCAATGAGTTTCTCTATACACTTTCTCCAAGCCGTGCATCCTTTTATCATCCCGCCTGTGACTCGCCTTTTCTCCAAACTAAAAAGTCCCAAACACCGTTTTTCATAGGGGAGTTGCTTCTCCCACTTCATCATTCGATTGCCCTTTCTTTAATTTTTACCCATAATACAGGATCCTTTTTGCGGCAAAGTGGCCGAAACTGTACACTGCATGCCCCTGCCCACATGATTCTCTGAGAGGTCAGCTGACATCCACAGAGATAGAATCAAAGGGTCATCTGGACCAGGTTTTCCCCAACTTGGGTCTCCAGCTGTTTTTTGACTACAACTCCCATCATCCCCAGCTGGCAGGCCAAGTGGTCAGGAATGATGGGAACTGTAGTCCAAAAACAGCTGGAGACCCAAGTTGGGGAAACCCTGATCTAGTTCAACCCCCTGTGTTGTCATTTTCCAGTTGGTGGGTAGAATCATTTCAACCCAACACTGGTGCTGTGTTTTCTGAAACAAATGAAGTAGGAATTCCTCTCCAGCTACTTTCACAACTGCAATTCAGTTCTGTGCAGCCCCATCTCTTCTGATAATAAATTTATGTTCTGGAAGAAGCCAGCTTTCCTCCACCAGATCATGTGACAGGGCTAATAAAGGCGATCAGCAGAAGGACCAGAATGACTGGATGCGCCAGGTGCCACTGGAGGCGAAATTCATTAGAGGGAAGAAGCTCGTTAGTGAAGTTGTGCCAAATTTACAAACAGAGAACGAGAAGGATCTCAAGGTGTTTTAAGTACATTTGCTGTGATTTATCTGCAGTCTTCTCAACGGGCCACCCTGTAACAAAATTCTCCAGGCTGCACGCGAGAAGGGGATTTAATTAAAACAGGTTGAATTGAAACAAGGGGATGATTTTTAATGCATTTTTAACATATCGTGCCAGTTCAGGTTCACCAAGGACAGAGAACTTCAGCCCCCTGAAAACGACACAATTCCCATTCCCCAGGGAAAACGCTGACTGCCGGACCTTGTCCAAACTTACGGAATCTTAGAATTGTAGAGTTGGAAGGGCACCCAAAGGCCATCCAGTCCAACCCTCTGCAATGCATCACAACTAAAGACTTAATAGTAATAATAATAATAATAATTTCTATCCCGCCCTCCCCAGCCGAAGCCGGGCTCAGAGCGGCCAACAACAACAAAAGCAACACAATTCACATAAAAGCTTAAGAGCTTAACATCAGCCCTGCTGGATCAGACCAAAGGGCTCCCATCTAGCCTAGTATCCTGTGCACACAGAGATGCCCCCATGGGACCTCCCCAGTGGAGATTCCCAGCAGCTGGTAGAATTCAGATGCATCCTGAGTTAATTGGAGCTGGGCTTCCACCTTCCTCTGTGCATGCCTCTCCAAAAAGGAGAGCTAGTGGTTAGGGCTGAGGAACCAGACAACTTCATCAGCCATGCTGGCTGCTCCAACTGCATCTGGAAAGCTACAGGTCTGGATGAGAGCCAGGACTCCTGGGTCTCTCTTCCACAGGGTGCAGCCAGGGAGCCAGGCTCAGCAAATCCAGAAATTCTGCATGCAAGCAGCATCTTTGGGTACGGTGCTTGCCCAGTGGGCATTTTCCTGTCAAGCCATGCTGCCTGCCTGTATTTGAGACGCTTGTGCTCCAAGCTTGCTGCTGCCCACCTCTCTTCCCTGTCCCTACATCATAAGAGTGGGCCTTGGGAGTGCCGAGTTCCCAGTTACTGTAGAATTGGAAAAGATTCAGGAAAGGGCATTTAAAATGATAACAGGGTTGGAGTGGCTCCCCTATGAGGAAAGGTTGCAACGTTTTAGTTTAGAGAAAAGGTGAGTAAGAGGCGAGATGGTAGAAATTTAGAAAACGATGCATGGCGTGGAGAAAATGGGCAAAGAAAACTTTTCCTCCCGTTCTCCTAACACTAGAACTCGTGGACGTCCAGTGAAGCCAAATGTTTGAAGATTCAAGACTGGTAAAAGGGAAGTACTACTTCTTGCAGTGGGGCTGCCCTTGAAGCTGACCCAGAGACTCCAGCGGGTGCAGAATGCTGCGACGAGGCTCCTTACAGAGTCCTTGCTGCCGGATCACGTTCATCCAGTGCTTTACCAACTGCACTGGCTCCCGGAGGAGTACAGGGTCAGGTTTAAGGTGCTGGTTTTGACCTTTAAAGCCCTATGCGGCCTAGGACCCACGTACCTACGGGACCGCCTCTCCTGGTATGCCCCACGGAGGGCCTTAAGGTCCACAAATGACAACATTTTGGAGTTCCCAGGTCGCAAAGTGGTTAGATTGGTCTCAACTAGGGCCAGGGCCTTTTCAGTACTGGCCCCGACTTGGTGGAACGCTCTGTCACAAGAGACTAGGGCCCTGTGGGACATGACATCTTTCCGCAGGGCCTGCAAGACAGAGCTGTTCCGCCTGGCCTTTGGTTTGGACTCAGCCTGACCTTTATATTGCCCTCCCCTTATGGTCTTGATCTATCGGCTACTTTTAAAATGAGGCTGCATTTTAAATTGCTTTTTAATCTGTATTTTAAATTGGGGTTTGCCCCCCTATTATGTTTTTACTGTGATTTTATTGTTGTTAGCCACCCTGAGCCCGGCTCTGGCCAGGGAGGCTGGGGTATAAATAAATAAATAATAATAATAATAATAATAATTAAACTACGGAACTCACTGCCACTGGTGGCAGTGCTGGCCACCAACCTGGGTGGCTTTAAAAAAGGATGGGGCAAAATCCCTGCAGGAGGAAAAGGCTATCACTGACTTCTAGCCACAATGGCTATGCTCTGTCTCTTCTGAAGACCAGTTACTAAAAACTACAGGAGAGGAGAGGGCTCTTGTGCTTGGATCCTGCTTGCAAGTTTCCCACTGGGGCTTCTAGTTGTCCCCTGTGAGAACAGGGACTGGACTGGACAGGCCACTGGCCTGACCCAGCAGCCTCTCCTTAGGTTTTCTTCTCACCCAACAAACCCCTGCAACTGTTGTTGCTTTTGAGAGACAGAGAGAAAGAGATCCCTTAATGAAATTGGCAGCGCCTGTCACTTTCCACCTGTTCCAAGCCTGAGGCAGATTGTACAGCTTGATTAATTTTATGTACGGGAAAAGGAGTGTGCTGGGCTTATTTTGGCCAGCAAACTTGCCTGCTTTCGGGACTGGGGGTTAGCTTTCCCCATCGCCAAATGAAGGCTGAAAAACAGTGCCTCTGAGGTTGAGCAGAGTGCATTCCCGCCATTAAGATCACCCCAACTTTCCCCCATACCTCTGGAATAAGGGACCAAAGGTCCAATGTTCACCTAGCCGTAGCACATCTCCTGTTTTCTACAAGTTAGGTGCTGGAGGGAAGGGGAGGTTTTTCTGTTAATCATGCACCTCAAGGCTTGGGCAATTCATCAGCTCTTAAGTAGCCTCCTGCTTAATGTCCTCCTGCCAAGAGACCTGGTCGCGGGGGGGGGGGGGGCAGGTGGGCCTGTGGCTCACTAGATGTTGCTGGACTCCCAGTTCCAATCAGCTGCAGCCCGCCAAGGCAATCGTCAAGGGAGATGGGAGTTCAACAATCTCTGGAAAGTCAGAGGCTCCTCACCCCTGCTGTACATAAGAACATCAGAAGAGCCCGCTGGATCAGGCCACAGGGGGCCAATCCTGTCCAGCCTCCTGTTCACACAGCGGCCAAACAGGTGCCCATGATGGGAAACCCACAAGCAGGATTTGTGTCCTGTAGGCGACAGAAGTTTCTATAGTGCCTGCTGTGCACCTCTGACGGAAGCAGTATACTGGGGAAGGTGGTTTAGTGTGTTCCAGTGTGACTTCTCCTTCCCAGAATGGTTGGGTGTGCAAATTCTGCACCGAGACCAGTTGGCTGTTGCAATGCACAGGAGCCTTCCATGAATCGGCTTTTTCTGGATAATTTGTTCTTGGCGGGGGGGGGGGGAGAGTCTCCAAACCTAACCGCTGGACCCCCGGTTTTGCTGTCTTTACTCTGCAGCAATACTTGTTCTGTTTAAAGGGAGAACTACTTCCCCACCCTGTCCCAAAGCTGAGGCTCCCGATCTGGGCCTGACCCTGCATTTCATGCTTGGAGCACAGGAGGCTGGCGATGCTCCAGCCCTGCTCCGAAGCTCCTTCTCCCTGCTAGTCGCTCTGCCTCCTTCCTTCTCAGAGATGCCTCGGCGGCCCATACAGGAAGAGACAGGTGCCACCGCGTGCACAAGGCTGCCAAGGGTGGCATGATGGGGCATGCAGGCATCGGGCCCCACCCCGGGCACCGAAAGGGGCAGGTGAGCAAGTTGAATCACAGCGGCTTTTCACGCCACAGGCAGAGCTTAGCAGCCTCTCTTGGAGTGTTCCTAACAGGGAAAAAGTGTGACAAGCAGGGCTTCAGCTTTGGTAGGAGTGATACCTAGTGGTTAGAGCAGGCATGGCCAAACTTGGCTCTCCAGCTGTTTTGGGACTACAACCCTAGCTAACAGGACCAGTGGTCAGAGATGATGGGAATTGTAGTTCCAAAACAGCTGGAGGGCCAAGTTTGGCCATGCCTGGGTTAGACAAGGAGGTGTACGAATCAGCATGCTGGGATTGTGGCCTGCTTTAAAGGCCCTGAAGGGGGTGATGGGAAATGGACCCCGGCTGCCTCCTGTTCCTTGAGCAGCAAAAGACGGAAATCCAGCTTCCGGCTCATACTTTCCCACCAAGAGGGCTCTTGCGCTCAGATCTTGCTTGCGGGTTTCCCATTGGGGCATCTGATTGGCCACTATGAGAACATGATCCTGGACTAGAAACCGGGATGGCTTCTGTAAATTCAGGAATGTCCCTGGAAAATAGGGACACTTGGAGGGTCTGTTAATGGGATGGGATGAGAAATGTGTGCACCTTTCCGTGCTTGTTGGACTCCAGCTCCCATCATCCCTGACCATTGGCAGGGGATGATGGGAGTTGGAGTCCAATGACATCACAGGCTTTCTGCTGCTGCTGTGAGTTTGCCACACCATCCTAGCCAGCTCTGCCAGGCAATCTCAGAAAGGATCCATTCCACATTTTTTTGCTGTGAATCAGGAACCCACTCGTACTTCAGGGATGGGTCACCTGCATTCTCCCAGGTCTTTATGAACTCCCATCAGCCTCAGACAGCAGGGCCAATGATGAGATCTGTAGTCCAATAACATACCCCCCCAAAAAAAAACCTCCACCCCTTAGTTGCGCAACTGCAAAGACTCAGGAAATTGTTCCGTTGTTGTTTTTTGTAATTGAATTACATTGTTTTGCACCAGCTTAGCTATATTATAATCCGCTTTGTCAAGGCTGCTTGCTTTGAGAAGATAACTAAATAAATAGCGTCCACACACTGATCAAGACACCTGTCTCTTGTTTCTCAACTGTAAAATACACAAAATATTTTCTGCATGCTTAATTCTTTGATGGATGGTGTCATCCGAAAAGTCGCTTCAGAGTCGGTTGGCTTCCTTTGACTTGTGTTTAGAGATCTCTGGCATGGCTTCGTTGGAACTGCAGCTTGTGATCACAACAGTGGGGCTACATGCCAGAGTTGTTATAAACCTCCCCCTGCCATGCGCTTGTGCAGTTTTTGAGCTGCTGGATACAAAAAATGATATATATCACGACGGACCCTAGCGGGAAGGCAAGGACCACCTTATTGCCATTGCTACTACTGTGGGAGCTGTTTCCGGCTGAAGAGGAAGATAAATAGACAAAAATAAAAATAGGAATAAAAGCTTTTGCTGGTGTCACTTTGGGTTGCATATGAACCAGACTGGTGCCTGCAGCTTAGCATAAGCTTTGCAAGAGGATGGCTGTACGAACTGGAGGTTTAGAATTAACAACTAAAGCGAGTCATCTCCTGCTTCCTGAATCCAACTGCTTTGCTGAATTTTGGCTAAGCGTGAAAGCTCTGCAGCTTTGTAAGGGGAAATCAAAATTTCAGAATTTACAAAGCATTTCACTTCCGAGTTGCTCATATATCACTGACCTGTCCCAGCTACAGTATTGCAGTGACTGTGCAGAGGAAGAGATTTGGGTCCGAGAAACCAAGCGCAGGTGCTCAGAGGCTATAAGTTGAGCAGGAAATCAAAAGGCTCTGTGACAGTAATAGTTTAGGGTCCCATAAAATGTATACACCACTTGATTATTTTTTTAAAAAACCTCAAAGTGGTTTACAAAAGAGAGAAAACAATGAAATTGTCAATAAGAAAAATGAACAACAAGAATATAAGACTTTTAAAAAGGTAAAATAACAATAGACTAAAACTTGAATCAGCTAAACAGCTGGGTGGGCTTGTCCAAATGAAAATGTTTTTAGAAGATGCTGGAAAGAGTACTGTACAGAGATATCAATAGGCAGGGAGTTCTGAAGTTTCGGCACTGCCACACTAACTGACTGAGTCCTTACAAATGTGGAACAAGCAGGTATTATGTGGAACAGTGCCAGGGTACATGAGGGCCGGTTTTGGAGAGAGTCTTCATGTACTCATCTTTTTCTTCTTTAATTACGACCAATGGATACCCCAGTAAAACCAGGGGGGCCCTTCCTGTCTCTTATTCTTCTTCCAGCCTCCCCTTTCGCCACCAAGGCCAAGCAGCTGCGCTTGCGAAGGGATGACTTTGAGATCCTGAAGGTGATCGGACGAGGGGCTTTTGGCGAGGTGAGTGCCAGTGGCGGGCGCTGTCTTTGAGGGGGACATAAAAACACCTGTCCTGCGAGGATGGGCATTTGGACCAGGGCTGCCCCCACTCCCCACTACAGAATTTTGAAGGATGAGACCACACCCTCCCCTTCCCTGTCTGAAGCTTTTGCTGGAATAAATTTGATCCAGGACAATTCTTTGCAAGTTTACGCAGGTGTAAGTCCCATGGGCATATTCATGGGCATATTCCTTATGGGCGAATACCTTGGATACTGGCTCTTCGTTCTTTTAAATTCAGAAAGGGCAGGTTCTGAATTGATCTGCAAAGGAAGGCATCCTTTTCCCCAAATCCCAGGCATTATGAGACCCTCAGCCCCGCCCCACAGGGTCTGGGGGAGGCAGAGGGATATTTCTGAGCCTAGAGGTCCAATGTAATCTTACTGGCTATTGCCCAGCCACACTGGAAAAGATGAACCAGAGGTTTTTGTGCCTGAAACCAGAAAGCACAATGGTCACTTTTTAAAACAGCGTACTCAATCATGGACAATCGGCTGCGCTGTAACGATGACCCAAAGTCTGCCACCAGAGTAGGCTGGGGAGAAAATGGGTGGTGGTCTAAGTGTTGTCGTCCCTCTCTGCACCAGGTGGCGGTTGTGAGAATGAAACAGACAGAGGAGGTTTATGCCATGAAGATTCTGCACAAATGGGAAATGCTGAAGAGAGCAGAGGTATGTGCCCCCTCCCCATCATGAGCCAGGCCTGAGAAGCAGAAGACGTTTCTTTCAAGGCTGATGAGTACAGAGCCTTTGGGGGGTGGGGGGGGTCCATTTAGCACAAGGGTGGGGAGCCAGAAACGAAAAATAAAATGAGTTCCCATTGGATCTTAGCTCCTTTCTCTGCCTTTTCCTCCCTGCAGACGGCTTGTTTCCGGGAGGAGAGAGATGTGCTGGTCCGCGGGGACAGGCAATGGATCACCACCTTGCACTTTGCCTTCCAGGACGATCACTACCTGGTGAGCCTCATCGCACAACGCAGTGCTGGGGGCTCTGAGAGAAATGGGAAGGGGGGAGAGATTTTTCTATCGGAAGGCATCATGCCATCTTCCTCAACTTGGTGACCTCAAGGTGTTTCGGGCTGCAAGGGTCATTGCCCCTGATTAAAGGCCCGGCTGGCTGGGGCTTCCCAAAACATCTGGAGGGGTACCAGGTTGGCTAACACTGCTCTCGGGTCTTGGAATTATAGCAGAGGGTACCCCCAAAGGTCATCCAGTCCAGCCCCCTGCGATGCAAGAATCACAACTAAACTGAAAAGTCGCTGGGAGGTGGCCATCCAACCCTTGTTTGGTCTTCGGCAGAGAGGAGATTTACCCCAGCCCTCCTCTCTGGTAAACTGGAGATGGCAGAGATTTGAACCCAGGTCCTTCCTCATTTGCAGGCAGCAGAGAGTCAGTTGTTGTGTGAGCCCTGCTGAGCCCTACCCCCCAGCCCACTGTTCTTCTGTAATTCACTCCTCCTTTCCGCAGTACCTAGTGATGGATTACTATGCAGGAGGGGACCTCCTCACCCTCCTCAGCAAATTTGAGGACCGCCTGCCCGAGGACATGGCTTGCTTCTACCTGGCTGAGATGGTCCTGGCCATCCACTCCCTCCACCAGCTCCAATATGTCCACAGGTAAGTTCGCCTGCCTGGCTCTGGAACTGGCAGGGAAATGCCCTCCTGCCTCAGTTTCCTGCCTCAGTTTCCTCACTCCCAAAATGGGGAAGAGTGGCATCTGGTCTCCCAAGTGGAAGCAGAAGATATTGGCATGCAGGCAGAGTTTCCTCTTCTCTCCCATTTATCTATGTCCGGATTCAGATTTTTAGAGGCCCTAAGCACTTAGAATATTTTGGTGGCCCCATATATATCTTTTTTTTTTTTTCTGTTACTGGCATGATTTTTTTTTTTAAAAAATGATATTTATTAAAGTTTCAGATAAAAAGAGACACATCGATAAGAAAGAATTTAACAATAAAAAGAAAAATACACAATACAAGATACAAAAAGAAAAAGAAAAAAGAAAAAACAGTTAAAAATATATATCTAATTCAAAATATAAACAATCATAAAATTTTATTTTTTGAAATGAAACAAAACCTGCAGTAAGGTGGAAAATGATGTTTATTTTTGTGTACTTTCACTTTACTTCTATTTGAGATTTTTTTCCTCCTTTTTCTAATTGCAAAATCTTTGATCAGATCCTCAAACTAATCTTACGTCACACATCTGCTTCTATGCTTAGTTGAGATAAGGCATCCAGCCTTCCTTGTTGCATAGTTGTTTTGTTGGGACTTTTAATATACTTCCAACTGAGAAAACGAACACCTAGCTGAGCTATTTGTGACTATCAATGTTAAAAATCCTGCAATGGAAAATTTCTTCCCTCGATGCCCTAAGCACGTGCTTATTTTGCTTAATGGTTAATCCAGCCGTGGCTTTCATCCCAGCTTGCCAGACTCCCCTTCCTCTGGAAGACAGAAGTGGGACTCTTGGGGTCCCTCTGGCCCCCAGACCCTCAATGAGTCCCAGTTTCAGGCCCCGTCCCTTCTGGCCACTGACCCCTGGGACTCTTGCTCACCACTGTGGCTCCCCCCTCTGCAGGGACATCAAGCCAGACAACATCCTCATCGACACCAACGGGCACATTCGCCTGGCCGACTTTGGCTCCTGCCTGCGCCTGCATTCAGATGGCATGGTGAGTGTCGTGGGGGGGGGGGGCTGAGAATCGCTAGGACTGACTCTGACCCTGACCCTCCTGCTTGGGTGCAACCTGTGGTGAATGGTCCTTGAGGTGTGGTGACCCTCAGACCCCCGATCTAGAGGAGGTTCATTTCTTTACTTCCCAGCTTGTTCTCCAAGGAGCTCAAGGTGGGGCACACCATTCTCCTCATTTAATCTTCACAACAACATCCCTGTGAGGTAGGTTAGACAGAGATGCAGGGACTGAGGTCAAGGTCACCCCAGTGAGCTTCATGGCTGAGTGAGGGGATTCAAACCGTGGTCTCTCCCAGGTCCTAGTCCAGGGGGCAGCAAACATTTTCAGCAGGGGGCCGGTCCACTGTCCCTCAGACCTTGTGGGGGGCCAGACTATATTTTTTGGGGGGGAAATGAATGGATTCCTATGCTCCACAAATAACCCAGAGATGCATTTTAAATAAAAGCACACATTCTACTCATGTAAAAACACCAGGCAGGCCCCAAAAATAACCCAGAGGTGCATTTTAAATAAAAGGACACATTCTACTCATGTAAAAACATGCTGATTCCCGGACCGTCCGCGGGCCGGATTTAGAGGGCGATTGGGCTGGATCCGGCCCCTGGGCCTTAGTTTGCCTACCCATGTCCTAGTCCGACCCTGCAACCAATACATCGCATTGCCCATCAGGGAACGATGCAGCTGAGCTGGAGTCCAGATTCTCTCCCTTCTCTGCCCCCTCAACCCCCAGGTGGAGTCTTCTGTGGCTGTGGGGACCCCCGATTACATCTCCCCAGAGATCCTGCAGGCCATGGAGGACAGGAAAGGGAAATACGGCCCCGAGTGCGACTGGTGGTCCCTTGGGGTCTGCATGTACGAGCTGCTTTTCGGGGAGACCCCGTTCTATGCCGAGTCCTTGGTCGAGACCTACGGCAAGATCATGAACCACGAGGTGAGTGGGGCAGAGCAAGGTCAGGATGGGATTGGGGGAGGCAGCTGTGGGGCAGCGGAGCAAACAGGAGAGTTGGTGTTGGGCCTGTTTTCCTAATGCCTTCTGTGTGTGATCTTTGGATACGGCTGGGGAGGGAGGAGGAGGGTTGATCCCACCGCTGGGTGGGCCGGAGGGGCAGCCGAGGTGAAATGCCACTTTGGTTCAGGGGCGCCATCAGGTGGGGGGAGGACTATAGGACAGAGACCTGCGGTTTTACTTAGCAGAATTGGCTGGACAGCCCCAAACCACAGGCAGGTGGGTTTATGAGGTTTAGAAGGAAGCAAATTTATTTACTTACTTACTTACTTACTTACTTACTTACTTACCAACCACCCTTACCCCTCACCCACCGTGAAGCTCAAAAGTGTGGCGCATGTGGTTCTCCTCCTCCTCATTTAACCCCCCAACAACAACAACCCTGCGAGGTAGATTAGGCCGAGAGGCAGTGACTGAGCTCTGGCGCATCCCCGGTGAGCTTCATGGTGGCAAGAGTAGGAATTTGGGCCCTGGTGTCTCTCCCAGGTCTTAGTCTGACCCTCTAAACCAGCCTTTCTCAACCTGTGGGTCCCCAGATGTTGTTGAACTACAACTCCCATCACCCCTTGTTAGCAAGGCCAGAGCTCAGGGATGATGGGAGTTGTAGTCCAACATCTGGGGACCCACAGGTTGAGAACCACTGCGACACTCAGCCACATGGTCTCCCTGTTTTATTTTTACATTTCTATCCCTTATTTCCTCTGAGGAGCTCAAGATGGTATACATAGTTCTCCTCTGTCCCATTTAATCCCCACAACAACAACAACAACAACAACAACAACAACAACAACCTTATAAGGTAGGCTAGGGTTGAGAGGCAGTGACTGGCCCCAGGGGCACACCTAGTGAGCCTCATGGCTGAGTGGGGATTCAAACCAGGGCCTAGGCCAACACTCAAACCGCTACACCACATGTTATTGCTGTCTCAAGACTGGGGGAGGGGGTGCAAGACCAAAAGATCTGGGATGGAAAATGACTCCCTTTCCCCCGTTTCCCTCCTCTGGCTCAATCTTTGCTTTTGCTCCTGAGGGAACACATTCTTTGGTGCCAGGTGGAAATTCTAAATAGATATTCCTCTCCTTTTATTAAGTTTGTATGCTGTCCTTTCTCCCAAAGGAGCATAGGGAAGTCAACATCAAAATGTTAAAAGGATACAATTCAGAATACAGTGGTACCTCAGGTTAAGAACTTAATTCGTTCCGGAGGTACATTCTTAACCTGAAACTGTTCTTAACCTGAAGCACCACTTTAGCTAATGGGGCCTCCCGCTGCCACGCCGCCGGAGCACGATTTCTGTTCCCATCCTGAAGCAAAGTTCTTAACCCAAGGTACTATTTCTGGGTTAGCGGAGTCTGTAACCTGAAGCGTCTGTAACCTGAAGCGTATGTAACCTGAGGTACCACTGTAAAACAAAACTCTTAATCTCAGGGTTATGGGTTCGAGGCCCATGTTGGACAAAAGATTCCTGCATTATAGGGGTAGGACTAGATGACCCTCATGCCCCCTTCCAACTCTATGATTCTCTGAAAAACCTATTTCAAACATTCAAAAACACTGGATAAAGACATAAGAAGAGCCCTGAAGGATCAGGACAGTGGCCCACCTAGTTCAGTATGCAGATTTTTTTTCAGTTCCCAGCAACCTCTACCTCAGGGCATGTTGATATGCCCTCCTTGCCCCCACACAAGCATAGAAGATGCCTGTTACCTGCTATGCCCCCTGATTCCCCCTTGGCATCTCTCACACTCAGGACCACCTGCAGTTTCCGACGGACATCACCGACGTCTCGGAGAGTGCCAAGGACCTCATCCGAGGGCTGCTGTGCCGGCAGGAGCTGCGCCTGGGCCAGAAGGGCATTGAGGATTTCAAGCGCCACCCCTTCTTCAAAGGCATCGACTGGGACAACATCCGCAAAAGCCCCCCGCCCTACTTGCCCGAGGTGGCCAGCCCGGCCGACACGTCCAACTTCGACGTCGACGATGACATGATCAAGGAGTCGGTATGGGAGGAGCTTCTCTCACTTTCAGGGCTGTTCTAATAAAGACGTTATACGTAGGGCTGCCTCTGAAGACGGTTTGAAAACTTCAGCTGGTGCAGAATTTGACAGCCAGGTTGCTCACCCGGGGAAAGACTCTCTGAGCATATAACACCAATCCTGGCCCAACTGCACTGGTCACCTGTTAGTTTCCGGGCCCAATTCAACGTTGTTGGTTTTTCCTATAAAGTCCTCTGTGGTTTAGGACACCAATACCTCAAGGACCACCTCTCCACATAGAAACTGACCCAGACCCTGCAATCATCATCTGAGGCCCTTCTTCATGTGCCCCCTCCACCAGAGGTCCAGAGGGAGGCAACACGAGAAGAGGGTCTTTTCAGTGGTGGCTTCTTATTCATGGAATGCTCTCCCAGGGAGGTTCCTCTGACGCCATCATTGCATATCTTTAGGTGCCAGGCATTCCTCTTCAAGCAGGACTTTGGCTGTCAATGGTCTATATCTTTTTAAAGTGTGTTGGTTTTAATATTTTCCCTGCACTTGTTGTTTTGTTTTTGGAAAAACGCCTGTGGCGAGAGGAGGCATATTAAGAATAATAATAATAATAATAATAATAATGGCAATGTGCAAGGGTGCATGCTGATCATTTCGCAGCCATAACAGTGCCACCTATTCGGGGAAATCCCAAGGTTTGCAGAAGTATTGTTGTCGGGGGTGGGTGCCCCTTGAAGTTCCTTCTAACCCTGCGATTCTATGATTCTGTCAATTTTTCCCTTCCTTCCTAGGAGACACTTCCGCCTGTATCCCACGCTGCTTTCTCTGGCCACCACCTGCCTTTTGTGGGATTTACCTTCACTTCTGGGAGGTATGTGGAGTCTCCATTTTATTCTCACACATTTCAGTATATGCGGTGGGATTTGGGGTGAGGTGGGTGGGTGGGATCTGACACAGAAAGTGGCTTGAGGTCCCCTTTTGTAGCTGAGAGAAGATTTGAACCCTGGATTTGACCATCCCCAGCTCAGCCTTCTAACTGCTCCTCCTCAATCTCAGCTCTGGCAGATGTGAAGCCTTGCCAATTTGTTTCACTCACCCTCGTTGGTTGTTTGCCCGAGGCTTGCCATGTTCATGCAAATGTATGCAAAACAGACAAGGGCCCTGACCCTGTAATCTCCTCTCGTTCCTGCAGCCTCCTCTCTGAGAGGCACCCAGCCTCCCCCTCCAGCACTGCCCGCCTAGAGAAGAGAATCCGCCACCTGGAACGGGAGAAAATGGAGCTGGCCCGGAAACTGCAAGGTACTTATTTGTCACATGCCACATCCATCTATCTATCATCTATCTTTCTATCTATCTATCTATCTATCTATCTATCTATCTATCTGTCACATTTCTGGGAGTTGTAGTTTGGTAAGGGTGCTGAGAGTCGGTAGGAGACTGCTCATTCCCCTCCCGGAGCCACAATTCCCAGAGGGGTTTAACAACCAATCCCTCACCCCAGGGAACTCTGGGAATTGTAGCTCTGTGAGGGGAATGGCGAGGTTTCCTCACAACTCCCAGCACCCTAAAAAACCACAGCTCCTAGACTTCTTTGGGGAGGGGGGAACCATGGCTGTGTAGAGTGGTACTCATGTGCCTTAAGCATACTGCTTGGGGGTCTAAATTTCAAGTCTAGTTTGGCCCTGAATAATGCCTTCAAAATAACCGTCGGGAAGGACCTGTCTCTCACTGACAGTGAACCCCACAATGGCTCTAAAAGCCATTAGCCATGCCTCCTGGGGTTGTTGGGAGCTGCAGTCCTGCCACATCTGGAGGGCCAGAGGTCCCCCTTTCCTGCTCTGTGGGGTTCAGAGGCTTGTGGGGAGGGACCTATCCTGCTCACGGGCTTCCCTTCGGAGCATCTGGGGGCTGGGCTAGGCAGACCATGGAGCTCCTATTGTGTTTTTTTGCCCTTATGTCACCCCTGTGCAGATTCTCTGGCAAAATCCCCTTCCAAGACTCTGGCCAAGGACTCTGAGTTCAGGAGCCTCCAGAACGAGATGGCGGCTTTGCAGAAGCAGTTGGCAGGTACCTGGGCGCTGGTGGGGCTTCGGGAGAGGCAAGGCCTTCTCCTCCTATTCCTCCCTGAGCTCTTAAGCCAGAGGGAAATGACCCTCTCAGGTGCAGAATTATTATTTTTACTACTACTACTATTATTATTATTATTAATTGCTGCATCCAACTGGGTTGCTGCAGCCACTCTGGGCAGCTTCCAACATGATAAAAACACAGCAAAACATCAAACAATAAAAACTTCCCAATACAGGGCTGCCTTCAGATGTCTTTGGGAAGACATTTGCCCTGTTTGGTAGGATCGCAGAATTGTAGCGTTGGATGGGAACCCGGGGGTCAACTAGTCCAACCCCCTGCAATGCAGGAACCACAGCTAACGGATCCCTGACGCTGTGGAGGAGATGGGCTCAGAAAGTCACTGGTGCCGGCAGCTGGAAGGGAAGGGGGATCTCTAGATTGCATCTGGGGCTCATGGACCTTCCCTTCCAGAGAATCGGTTGGAGAGCGACAAGGTTCAAAGGCAGCAGCTTGACCGGGTGGAATCGAGACAGGTGAAGACCCTGGAGGAACGTGTGAGGATTCTGGAGGAGGAGAAGAATGAAGCACTACAGGTACCGTATCCCACCTGGGCCCACTGCAGGGGACTTGGACCATCCCATCATAGTGGAACGGTAGTTTCTGGCCAAGGAAAAGCATTGTCTGCTCTGCCAAAGAGAGCCCAGGAGCTCCCAGCCTTCAGATTCTGCAAGGGGGGACAGTCACTCCCTCTAATAAGGTCCTCAAGTGGGGTGTGGAGCCAAAATGGAGGACAAGGGGAAACTATCAGCATCCTCCGGGGAGCCCCAATGTTTGTTGAGGAGAACCAAGCATGTGAAGAAACACTGGGGACACCCAGAAGAGCTCAAAAAGGACTGAGTGTTCTTGATGGGATGTCAGAAGAATAGAAAATGGATTGGGGAGTCAAAAGGAAGGAATGGGTGGTCGGCCGGCCTGTCGAACAGGAACCATTCCCCTTAGCGGGCAAGGGTATTCTGCAACATTTTGTTGCTGGTTTCACTTCTTACAAAACATCCCTCCGTCCTGAATCTTCACCTGGAGAGGTGCAATTTACATTGTTCCCATTTTTGTAGCTGGCAAATTGAGGCTCATTTGCATGTTCACTAAAACGGTTTAGTAGGGTTTCATGGCAAACGCTGTAGCCATGGGAGGAGAATGAGGGGATTCCGCATCATAAGCAATAGTTTTTTGGGGGGGATCTTTAAAATGAGGACTAGAAACAGTCCCCTTTTTTGCGTTACACAAAGCGTGTTCATTTTCGAGCTTCTGAACATTTTGAAGAAACTGGCTGATTATGTTCCAGTAAGCTAGAGACCCAGATGCAGCCCCCTTCTGAAGGGAAGGCTCTCTCTCTTGGAGGCTTGAGGATATGGGTCCAACTTCTACAGTGCCTTTATTTTATTTATATATTTCCTTTATATAACCCACCTTTTCTGCAAGAGGCTTAGCTGGTGCCCATGATTCTTTCCCTCCTCATTTAATCCTCACGACACCCCTGTGAGGTAGGTCAGGCTGAGAGGCAGTGACTGGCCACCAAGGACACCCCCAGCAAACTTCACGATGGCTGGGTGGAGATTCGAACCCTGGTCACTCCCAGGTCCTGGTCCAACACTAACCAGTACACCACCACTGTCTCTTTTTTGGGGGGGTCAGGATCTGGCCAAGGCCCAGGAGCAGCTCCAAGCTCAGGCCTGGGAGCTGCAAGAAGAACAGCTGCAGCACAGGGAGACCTCTGAGGAGCTGCAGAGTGCTGAGGCCAAGTGCGGGGAACTGCGAGCCCAGCTGCTGAGACACTCCCGGCAGCTGCGGGAGCGGCAGGAGGAGACGGAGGCAGCCTCGCGGAGGGTGGAGGGGCTGCGCAAGGAGCTGGCTCGCTCGGAGAGCGGGCGCAAAGAGGTACCCCCACACTTTATTTCGTCGTTCGTTCCTTGCATTTGTATTCCTCCTTTCCTCCCCAAGGAGCACCAGGTAGCGTACGCAATTCTCCCCCTCCTTGAATAATCTCCACCGCAACCCTGCGAGGTAGGTTAGGCCGATGGGAGTTGAAGTCCAAAATACCTGGGAGAACACCATTTGTGATTCTTAGATCCTGCATTTATTTTTATTTTTGGGCCTGATCCAGCAGCTAGGTTCTTCTTACGGATAGCTCAGTTGGTTATAGTGTGGTGATTGCAGCGCCAAGGTTGCAAGTTCGATCCCTTTATTTATTATTATTATTATTATTTATTGTTTATTCATTCATTCATTCATTCATTCATTCCTCAGTCACTCTGGGCAGCTCCCAGCAGAATTAATAATAATAATAGTAGTAGTAGTAGTAATAATGTGATAAAACATCAGACATTAAAAACTTCCCTGAACAAGGCTGCCTTCAGATGTCTTCTAAAAGTCAGATAGTTGTTTATTTCCTTGACATCTGATGGGAGGGCGTTCCACAGGGTGGGCGCCACTACCGAGAAGGCCCTTTGCCTGGTTCCCTGTAACCTCACTATGATTCTTTAGGGCCATTTCCATAGATGCTAGATGTTCTTAGGACATATATCGCACGGATGCATGAAGGAAACTCTGAAGGAAGCCACTTCCTGGGCCTCTGTAGCCTCAGAAGCTGCTTGGGGATGGGGAGAAGGGCAGTAAAGACCCCAAAAATCTGGGGGCCCCAGACCTTCTTCCCCCACCACAGTCAGGTGGCAACTACAGTCAAGTGCTTCTTCCCCTCTGCAGCTGGAGGCTCGGATTGAGGGTCTCATGAACGAAGTCTCCAAGCAGCGGAAGGGGAGAGAGAGGGCCGAGCAGCAGCTGAGGAGGCTGAAGGAGGAGCAGGAGGAGCTGAGGGTAAATACAGCTTGGCAAAGTGGGGGAAGTGGGGAGGGAGATGCCTCACTGTAAAGAGGGTCATCATGCCAGGGGGGCATGGCAAAAGGCAGAGGGATGGGTCCGTTCCTGGCTTGTGCCAGTTTTGCATGTAGGGGCAGAAGACGCCCAGTATTGTCAACACTGACTGGCAGCAGCAGCTCTGCAGGGTTTGGGGCAGAGGACATTCCCAGCCCTCTCTGCAAACCCCAGAGGTGGATGAACCTGAGGCCTTCTGCATGCAAGGCAGATGCTTTGCCCCTGAAATCTTTTTTTTTATAATTTTTTTTTATTAAAGTTTTAAACAACAAAAAAAGAAAAACAACACACACAAAAAACAATAAAAAACTTAACAATATAAACACAAAACAATTAAAAACAAACTCTCTTTTCCATTTCCAATTTTAAGTTACTTATTTTCTGGACTTCCTCATACCTCCCTCTTTTGTATTCCAATCCACATTATTTGTCCAGCAGTTTCTTTTCCACTTTTTTAATCCCAATCTTTAATTTAATAAAATGTTAAAATATATAACTTCAACTTTTTTAAGCCTAATCCTTGATCTTAATATCATATAGCTTTAAAGTTTCCCTTTTAAAATCAAATTTCCATTTCTTTAAACTTCTTTAATCTTAATCTTTAATCTTAATCTATCTTGATCTATCCTTAACTTTAACCTGTGCAGCTGGAAACCACTTATTTTCAGTCCAACATCACTCTAACATTCCTTAATTTTGCAGTGTTTCTGAAGATAGTCTTTGAATTTCTTCCAGTCTTCCTCCATCGACTCTTCTCCCTGGTCACGGATTCTACCAGTCATTTCCGCCAATTCCATATAGTCCATAAATTTCATCTGCCATTCCTCCAGCGTGGGAAGTTCTTGTGTCTTCCAATACTTTGCAATGAGTATTCTTGCTGCTGTTGTTGCATACGCTTTGCCCCTGAAATCTGATGGCCCTTTCCACGTCTTTATTCCATCTCATTTTCACTCTGTCCTGTCTTGTTTCCAATGCACTGCAAATTCCCACCCACCTCCAAATCACCAAAATTCAAGCTTTGGGAATATGCATTTCAACCTAAAGGGTGCATTTTTGAACACATTCTATGCAACAACAACAACAACAAAGTGCATTGGCATATGCGTTTTGGTATTTTTTTTGAGCCAAGAACTGTGCTGCAAAATTTGGAGAAGTGCAAAAAAAACAACCCAGAAGGCTACCTGCATATCTCTGCATTCCTCTGGGGAGATCCAGGTAGGTTTGCATCTGCCCTCCTCTCCGAATGACTTTGCTGCCCCCTGCAGGTGAAACAGAACGCGTCCTTCTTCCTGGCCTCTGGCTCCAGGAGATCAGGAAGTGTTTCCTATACCACAAAGGAGGAGGTGAAAGGCCTGCGGGAGGCACTGCAGACCAGGGAAAGGCAGCAGGAGGCCTTCCGAGCTGAGATTGCCCAACTCCAGGAGCAGCTGGAGAAAGCCAAGGCTGAACGGTGAGGAGAGGGAGGGATCTGCTTGGAAGTGGGGTGGCGAAAGGAAAATGGAGTTGGTCAGAACAAAGAAATAGGAAAACTAGAATGGCATTTATTTTGTTAGGCCACAGGCCGCAGCAGAATAAAACAGCAAAACATAACCCAATATAAACTTCCAGAAGGCTGCAGAAATCACACTTGAAATCAGAACATTCCTGCATTGTGGGGGTTGGAGTAGATGGCCTTTAGGGACCCCTTCCAACTCTGCAACTCTGATTCTCTGAACATAAAGATTAATGCATAAAAGATATACATGCCTTCTAACACTATGGTTCTGTGTCCCTGAAATAAACAAAGCTTTGCTTTAAAAACAAATAAACATTACTAAGAGGAAGAGAAGATAAAAATCTGAGAGGTGGCATCAGTAGATTTTGTCGGGATGCAGTCGTACTCTTGTGCCTTTTTACCACAATGCCATCTTCACCGGCCAAAAAGCATGATCCTGGCGTTTCCATTCTCTGCAAATGGCGTACGGGGAACAGGTGATCCAGTGGTAAATGAGAACTATGGGCTGGGTCCAGGCTAAGCATTTAGTTCCCGTGGGAACAAGTGGGGCAGCTTAAGTCGGCCTTCCCGAACCGGGTGCTCTCCAGATATTTCGGACTACCACTTCCATCAGCCCCATCTGAATGATGGGAGTGGTAGTCCAAAACAGCCTTGCTGGCTGGGGTGGATGGGAGTTGTAGTCCAAACATGCAGGGGCAGCGCTGGGCTAGGGAAATCTGGATGCAACCCAAAGAGACCACATTCTTAGGTTCACTCCCCAGCTCTGAGTTTGGAAAAGCTGACTCCCCATCTCTCCTCTCTCTCTCTCTCTCTCTCTCTCTCTCTCTCTCTCTCTCTCTCTCTCTCTCTTTCTCTCTCTCTCTCCTCTCTCAATCCCTCTGATTGCCTTTCCTTCCTAGATGGGGAAATCTGGATCCAAAGGACTGGCACAAAGAACCACACAGTTTGCTGCCCAGGGAAGGTGTCAGTGCCCTGCATTTTGGAGACCAGGTATGCATACATTTACCTGTGACTCTTGGCGTTGTGCCCAGGGATGCAGCCTGTAGATTGTGGTTCCTGCAGGCTGCTTCTCCAGAGCCACACACTTCTCAGGTGCGATCCCAAAAAGTCAGGAAGTCCCCAGTCATCGCTTAATATAACGCTGAAAGCATGGAGTCTTCCAAGTCCTTGATTCTGTGCTTTTAAATACTTGTCACCTGGATATGAGATCTCCAAGATACCCAAACACGGTCATATAAGCCTCTTTCTTTATCTCTTTCTTTTTTACTGCAAAGTTCTCTGCAGGCTTATTCCTGCAGAAGTCACCCAACCCCACCTGGCAGAGGGAGGAGGGAAGCTTGTCTTCTTCACATCTGTCTTTGCTTTTTTCCTTTCCTGCAACAGGTGGATTCACTCGGCACCGACAGCCCCCAACAGGATCAAGAACAGTGCTCTTCAGAGACCCACAAGTTAGCCTTTGCCAACTGGGAGATGCAGATCACGGACATCTTGCGGTGGTGAGTTGCCAGCTGTGCACCTTCTCTGTGTAAGGCCTGTCGCACGGAGCAGTGATGAAGAAGACAGGGGTGCACCTGAGCATAAGCAGAGTGGGTGTCCCCCCCCCCCAGTCTCTGGTGATTCACCACAGCCTGCTCCCAGATTCAATGGGGAAGGCATATCTTTCAGGCTTGAGCTGCAACACCTTTGTTTTGGCAAATTTAACCACTGCTTGTCCGCAGTAGAGGCAGGGCATAACCAGTAGCCCAGGCATAGGCCAACTCGGTCCTCCAGATGTTTTGGGACTACAAGTCCCATCATCCCTGAACACTGGTCCTGTTAGCTAGGGATGATGGGAGTTGTAGTTCCAAAACATCTGGAGGGCCGAGTTGGCCTATGCCTGCAGTTGCCACTGATAGCCATGCCCTCCATGAAGTGGTCTAACCCTCTTTTAAAGCCACCTAATTTGCTGGCTGTCACTGTGTCTTGTGGGAGGGAGTTCCATAGTTTAACTCTGTGCTGCATGAAGAAGGGCTTTTTTTAGTCTTATTAAAAAAAGACTGAATGAGATAAGTGCTGGAGATGCAAAGAAGTGAAGGGAATGTTGTTTCATATGTGGTAGACCCATAAAAGGGTAAAAGAGTATTGGGAAATGATCCATAATAAATTGGAAAAAAATGATTTAAAGTACTTTCCCCCAAAAATCAAGAGTCCTTTCTGTTGGGGATAATTCAGACTGAAATTCCCAGGTGTCAAAAAAGGTTATTTATGTATGCTACTACTGCAGCCCGTGTTTTGTTAGCCCCAAAATGGAAAACAAGCGAGGTCCCAACCAAAGAAGAGTGGCAACTTAAGTTGACAGAATAGTTGACACAGCTTGTAGACTTAACATATAAAATAAGAGAACAAGAAGAACATACGTTTAGAGAAGATTGGAAAACATTTATTTGAATATATGGGAAATAATTGGGTACAGCTGAAAACACTGGCAGCATTAAGATAAATTCAACAGTGTAAATAAGCTTTAATGGGTGCAATAATGAAATACTGAATGGTATCGTTTTTGTAAAATATGCAGGGATTTATGATCTGTAAAATGAACCATGCAAAGAGAAGGGAGGCCAATTATAATAATAATAATTTATTATTTGTACCCCGCCCATCTGGCTGGATTTCCCCAGCCACTCTGGGCAGGTTCCACAAAGACCAAAAATACACTAAGATGTCACACATTAAAAACTTCCCTGAACAGGGCTGTCTTAAGATGTCTTCTGAATATTATGTAGTTGTTTATCTCTTTGACACCTGATGGGAGGGCGTTCCACAGGGTGGGCACCACTACCGAGAAGGCCCTCTGCCTGGTTCCCTGTAGCTTTGCTTCTCGCAATGAGGGAACCGCCAGAAGGCCCTCGGCACTGGATCTCAGCGTCCAGGCAGAACGATGGGGGTGGAGACGCTCCTTCAGGTATACTGGGCCGAGGCCGTTTAGGGCTTTAAAGGTCAACACCAGCACTTTGAATTGTGCTCGGAAACGTACTGGGAGCCAATGCAGGTCTTTCAAGACCGGTGTTATGTGGTCTCGGCGGCCACCCCCAGTCACCAGTCTAGCTGCCACATTCTGGATTAGTTGTAGTTTCTGGGTCACCTTCAAAGGTAGCCCTTAAATATGTAAAAATGAGTATTTTAAATTGTAAAACAGAAAATTTAATAAAAATTATATACAATCATTTTTTTTATCTGTCTTGAACTCTGTGTGCCTCTTTGCCCGCATCTCAGGGTGAGTGACGAGAAGGAGTCAAGGGGCTACCTCCAGGCCATGGCGACCCACATGATGGAGGAAGTGGAAGCACTGAAGCAGATGGGGGCACAGAGCCCCAAAACTCCGGTAAGAGAGCCTGTCTTGGAGCCGTGGACGCCTTGAGGAACTGGGGAGGGGGGCTCTTTCCCCCTCTGCATGTCTCCCCCTTTGCAACCCACATTCTGGTTGCCCCAGTGAGAAGAAGCCCTTGCCCCCAGAGGCTCAGGATGCCTGGTAGCGATAGGGGGCCTCTTCCCCCTTCCCCCACATCCCAACAGCTGCAACAGTCCCAGGACCTCTGCTGACATTTCCCCCTGCTGCCTCCTGCTCCAGGACACCCTCTGGAAGGCGCGGCGGCTGCAGAAAGTGGAGGCTTCTGCCAAGTTGGAGCTGCAGTCGGCCCTGGAAGCTGAGATCCGGGCCAAGGGAGGCGTGCAGGAGGAGCTGGATAAGCTGAAGGTCTCGCACCTGGCGGTTGAGCGGTGAGCAGGTGGCAGTGATGGCGGCAGCAGGTGGTTCGCAGGCAAGAGTAGGGTTGCATCCTGCACCATAAGGTTTAAGGGTTCAAAGCTGTGTCAGGGACCGGCAGGATGGGAGGCACCAGCTGGGGAACCCCCAAGGGAAACCCCAGAGGAGGAAAAGTCAGAATCAGGGGATTGGTGGTGGGACACCGAGGAGAGGCCAGAGGGAGAAGATTGGGAGCAGGGGCTGGGTGCCAAAGGGGCAACAGGCTTTAGTGAGCAGGAAGCAGCTCAGGTGACAGGGAGCAGCTCAGACTCCGAGGCTGAAGCAGAGGATGGGGGAGTCAAGAGGCTGCTCAAGAATCTGGGGAGTCTCCCTCTTACTGCAACAAGCTCTCCCCTACCCTCTTCTCTGAAAACTCACAGAGCAGAACAGAGGTGTGCAGACGCAGTTTGAGACTGCTTGGGAAACATCTGGGAGAGGAGGAGCCTTAGGAAGGGTGGAAGGCAGGGACATTCAGTCCTGGCGGCTGTTCCATAGGGGCAAGAACTACAGGAAAAATTGCTGGATTGAATGCCGTTTCCTTGAATAAAGAGTTAACTTCACTGACAGCCTTACGTCTTTCAAAATGACCCGTGTCTGACTCCAGCCCTGATGACCTGAGACCAGATTCTGGGGTGATGTCCCCAGAAAGTGTCTATGCATTAATTTGCAGAGATGGAGGTTAATTGGGAGAGGAGGAGCCACAGTGGAAGAGGGCAGACTCCCTCCCCAAGAGTCTGTGCAATGATTTGCGGAGATGGGGGTTAATTGGGATAGGCGCCTTTGACGCGAAGGGAGAGGCCTAGGGAAGCTAGAAATTCTGCATCCCACGTTTTTACAAAGGCAAGATAGAGTTTGGGGGCGCTTTGTGATTCCTCCTCCTACCAGCTGGCCAAGAAAGAGCCCTTGATGGGTCCATGGCACAACCCCATCTCCTCTAAATGTTATACCTGGAGTGAAGGGAAGCCCCTCTTACTGGAGGCTGAATTTCCTTATATGCCATAAAGTCATATTTATCTTTTCCTCTATCTGTGTCCCAAAGCCAGTTGCAGGAGGCAGAGAAGCAGAACCGGGCTCTGCGCCTGGAGCTGGAGAAGGCCAAGGGAGAGCTGAAAGGACGGTCCCAGGAAGGTGAGCTTCAGGCTGGGTTGTGGATGGCGACAGCCCCACCACAGCCCCCACAATGGCATATCCCAACAGTGGGGCAAGAGGTGGGCCTTTGCAGAATGTAGGGGGCCGGTCTCTCCATTGCTCAGGCCCGAGGGTGCTGTAGTCGTGAGGATGCTGGACTAAAACCTGGGAGAGACCTGGGTTCAAATCCCCCTGCTCAACCACAAATCTCCCTGGGCGAGCTCACTCACTGCCTCTTAGCATAACCTACCTCACAGGGTTGTTGTTTGGGGGATTAAATGAGGTCTAGGCCTCCAAGAGCTTCTAAACAAGGGGGAAGTTTTCAGAAGGAGGGGACAGGGCAGTGAGCACGCCATGTTTGCATTCAGTCTGTAGGGTTAGGTGTCTTGTGTTGTACTGTAAAATACCCACAAACCCTGGGGGATTCTATGGGGAAAGGGCTTAGCTCAGCAGCAAAGCACCTGCTTGGCATTCAAAGGTCCCAGGGTCAATCCCCAACATCTCCAGGTAGATCTGGGAGATGCTGCTGCCACTTTGTGCAGACAACACTGGGCTAGATGGAGCCATGTTTCTGTTCAAACCAGGCCTTTATTCAGATCCATGAGAGCTGGGACCTGGCTTCCCTTTTAGGGGAACACCCTTGCTCGGAGGGGGGTAGAGCATCTTCCTTGCCTGCAAGAAGCCGCAGGTTCAGTCTCCACCATCTCCTAGCCTGAGACCCTGGAGAGCCGCTGCTGCCAGTCAGTGTAGACAGTATTGAGCTAGATGGACTCAGGTTCCTGTGCCAGCCAGTGACAACTGTGGTTAAGAACAGGGCCCATTCTCAGAGTGTGTCCTTTCTCTTCTCTCCTGACAGGCACCAAACACCAAGGACCTCTGATTCCATTCCTCTCCTTCCGAAGTGCCAGCGTAAGTCTTTTTGTGAAACAAATATAGTCTTCTGTATAAAAGGTGACTCTCAGTTTATGCAGGGGATAAACGTTCTGGGGATCGCTCATAAAGCCCAAACCACAAATTCTCAGTGGAAGGGTTTCATTAAATAATATGTTTGAATGTTGAATGTCTACGTCTAGAGACGATGGATAAAGCAAACACCATTAAATGCACTGCTGGCTAAGTGTTTAATGGTTTTTGCATTTGTGGTTTTAAAAAAACCAATAAATGGCAGGTGGGATTGCCAAAGTCTTTTTTCTCCAGACACCCGCTCCCTTTCCACCCCCTTTTTTATTTTTAAAAAATGCGCACAAGTTTAATACACATATGTTGTGAGCTATACTTGTATCTGATGTCAGTTGGAGAAACCAAGAGGCAGGATCTCTGGGCTCAGAAGAAAAGTGGAATTCGAATTGTACTCCTTCATAAGAAGGCAGGAAGAGCCTGCCTGCTGGATCAGTCCAAGAGGTCTGTATCCTGCAGCATCCTGTTCTCACAGTGGCCAGCCAGATATACATAGATGCCTGTCGGAAACCCGCAAGCAGGATTCAAGCACAAGAGAAACTCTCCCCACTTGTGATTCCCAGCAATTGGTCATGCTGAAGCTTTTGATGCCTCTGACCGTGGTGGCAAAGTATAGCCGTTGTGCTTAGTAGCCATGGATGGTCTTACATTCCATAAAGAGGAGCTGGTTTTCCACTGTGAGAACAAGATGGAACGTTGGCCGGGCCCAGCAGAGCTGCTCTTATGTCCTTAGGGCTTCTGGGGAGGTTTGTGTGTTAGCAAAAATCTGAATTGTGTCCAGTTAAACGCTCTGCTACCTGTGTCACCCTCTTTGCCAGAAGGATGCTATCGTTTTTGGGGGTGCCCCAGATTCCCAGGAGGCTCGGAAGGCCACCGAAGAGGTCCAGCTGCACCCCGAAGGGCGGAGGAGCCTGCGGTCCAGCGTGAGTAGCCCTTTTGGCCATCCCAAAACAGGCCAGCTCTGGAGTGGCGAGGCTGTCATTTTCCTCTTGGGTGGCTTTAAGAAATGATTAGACAAATTCATGAAGGAGTCGGTGGCCATCCCTGACTCCTGAGGGAGTAAGTTCCACAGTTTAACGATGTGCTTCGTGAAGAAGGACTGTATTTTGTCTGTCCTGAATCTTCCACTTGGCTATGCACAGGTTTGAGTGTTACGCATTGTGCTGACAGTGGTGAGCAGATGGGTGTTGGGAGGTTTGAATGAGCCAGGAGACCTTCAAAGACAGAGGCATCATGATCTCTCCCTACTGTTTCCTCTTCTCCCCTCTCTCCAAAGGTGCCACATTCAATGTCTTCCACCCAATCCATTGCGGGTTCTTCAGAGAGCAGTAACAGTTCTGGATCCTTGAAGGTAGTGACAAGCACTTGGCCTAAATATATTTCCCTCCCTTGTTTCTGGACTGAACCCCGCTTCTGTAAGGGCTGCCCTTTTTCCTCCCCAGGCCTTTCCAAACTGAGCTCTGGATGGTGTAGCAGGAGGGTGCTTAGTGGGGAGGGAAAGGCCTTTTGTTCGTTAAGTTGAATAGCTTTAATACAGTGGTACCTCCGGTTGCGAACAGGATCCATTCTGGGGGTCCGGCCACATCCCGAGGAATTCGCAACTGGAGGACCGCTTCTGTGCATGTGTGTGGCGTGGTTTAGTGCTTCTGCGCATGTGTGCGGCGCATAGAGACCCAGAAAAATACTTCTGGGTTTGCCGCTTTCACAACCCGAAGTTTATGTTGCCCAAGGGTAACGTAAGCCGAGGGTCCACTGTAGGCTGATCTATCTTTGGAATAAAAACCCAAAAGAAACCTGTTTGCTCTGGTCCCTGCACTTTTAAGGAGGGGATGTGTATGTGTGTCTATGTGCTTTTAAAAAGATTGAAAGTTGCCTGGAGCTAAATAATATGTCTAATCCTTCCTGCGCCCCCTTCTCTGCTCCATTTCCCCAGCCCAAATCGCACAGCTTCAAAACCCACAGCTTTTCCACACCCACCAAGTGTATGCGTTGCACATCCCTCCTGGTAGGGCTGGTCCGGCAGGGCTTGACTTGCGAAGGTGAGTGGCATGTTGTTAGGTGGAGTGAGAAGGGGGTCCAGGTCAGGGGAGGTCCCCAGGTTCGGTCTCTAGGTAGGGATGTGAAACACCCCTTCCCTGCCTGAAGAGTTGTGACCCAGCCTGGGTGCTGTAGAATAGGAGAGGGTTCAAGGTGGGGGGTAGGGTCCTGTTGATTCATTTTCTCTTTAATTCATAAAATTCATACACCATTGCAGTGGCTCAGTGGGGCCTGTTGGCTGCCTACTTACGCTTCCTCCTCCGTTTTCCCAGCCTGTAACTTCGTCTGCCACGTATCCTGTGCTGGAGGGGCCTCCATCTGCCCCCTACCCCCTGAACAGCTCCAGAAAACCTTGGGGGTCAACCCAACAAGTGGAACAGGGACGGCATTTGAGGGGTTCCTGTCGGTAAGAGGTTGAGTCTCCCCCAAGTCTGAGAGAGCATGGAGCAGTCCATGTGGACAGGGTGGCTGTCGCCGGTTCAGGGATCTGATTGGGCACATTCTGCCAAATACACACCAAGAGCCCAACGTTGACTGCAATGTTGAAAAGTGGGAGAAAATGGAAGTGGATGCTGGAAAATGGAGACACTGCAGGAGCCCAGCCTCCTTGAGGATGAAAATTACTCCCCTTCTGACCATCAAATTGATCATTGGATGAGTGGGAAGGGGGAATAACCTTCCTCAACTGATTTGCTAGGAAGAGGGAGAGGCTGGGTGCCTGGGGGTGGGTCCTGCAAGATAGTGGGGTGACCGGACCAGGCTTTTGGCCACACACCCTTCTGGCATGCTGCCCCCAGCGATTTGGCCAATGGTGGTCAAAAAAGATTTGCCACCCTTGGTATAGGCGATGCTGGAAGGGGAATGGGACAGACTCCTTGCAGCTGAAATAATGTTCTCTGATTGTACCACCTTCACTCCCCAAAAGGTGCCCAAGCCTTCCGGGGTAAAGAAAGGCTGGCAGAGGGCTTTCGCCATCGTCAGCGATTTCAAGATCTTCCTGTTTGATGTGCCAGAGGGGAAGGCAGCACAATGCGACGTGAGCATCATGCACGTTACAGACATGAGGTAAGCAGGTACACCTTGCACAGGAAGTGGCGCTGTGGGCGGCCGTGGGGTGGAGGTCTGACAGAGCCTTAGTATTTTCCAGGAATCCTAAATGAAGAAGGAAACCACCCATTATCTCTAGGGGTGCCCAAGGAAAGATCAAACGGTTCCATTCCCCCCTTCTGCTTCTTTTTGTTTGTTTTGATTCCACTGGATTTCAGTGGGATACGCAGCCGGGGTTGTGCTGCCGAGAATTCCATGCTTTCCACCCAAATGCCCTCTGCTTCGATTGGCAGAACTGCCACTGCTACAGGTGCCACATAATAATACCCCTTCCCCATTTGTAAGAACTTGAATCTTTTGGTGTGGCAGCACCTGCACTTTGGAACTCCCTGCCGATTGACGTCAGGGAGGCATCCTCGCTGTGCTCTTTTCAGCGCCTTCTAAAAACAGTGCTGTTTAGACAAGATGTTTAGAAAGTGGATGCAAGATTTAACTTTTTGAAAGTCTGAAATTATTGCTGTTAACTTTTCTTACTGAGAATATTATTGCTCTGTCTGTGTTGTAAACTGCTTCAAGGCTTTTCTTAAAAACAGTGTATATACATTTAATGAAATAAAAAAATAAAATAAATGCAGGCATTCCTCTAATCCCTGAGGAGAATTAGACATGCCAAATGTCATAACCAAGGATGCCAGGTGATATTGGGGGTGTGGTGGGGAGACACACCTTAGCTGGTGCCAGCACACCATGCAAATTTTAGGAGAATTCAACCCAGGAATTGCCATTTTCAGAGGCAGCCCTAGGTAGTCCTTAATTCTCCCTTGTCACCTGGGTGAGGGAAATAGCCCAAAATGAAAGAGAGAGCAATAGGGATTCCACCTCCATCGCCAAAATTATCTCATCCACTAGGATGGGGTGGGACGAGGAGAGCCGTGGCCCCCCAGAGGTTGTTGCACTCCCATCTTACCTGACTGTTGGCCATGTTGGTTGTGGCTGATGGGAATTGTAGTCCAAGAACATCTGGAGGGCCCTAGGTTCCCCATGGCTGCCCTGAGGTAGCTTGCTGTGGTTGTGGTCCTGCAGATAACACAAGGCTCCCCTTCAGCCTCCACTCAGGGGAGAGAGGGATGTCTCTAAGGCTCCTGTTTTTCTTTTGGCAACAGGGATGAACAGTTCTCTGTGGCTCCAGTCCTGGCAGCAGACGTCATCCATGCCAGCAGCAAAGACGTGCCCTGCATATTCCGGGTAAGGAAGAAGAGAGGAATGGAGAGAGGAGCCCCCATTTCTCAGAAGACATTTTTCAGATAAAATTTCTGAGGTGTCTCTTTTCCCCTAGAAAAAAAAGGCCATTCTCTTCTGAATATTCTCCAACAAAAGTTTTTTGTGGCAGTTTCCATTCCTCTCTGCCAATCTCCTCACCCCAGCCACCTTTCACACAACCTTTACTAACCTGGCGCCCTCCAGATGTGCTGCACTACAACTCCCATCAATCCCAGACACCACAGTGAGTTGTGCTCATTAGGGACAATCAGAGTTGTAGTCCAAATTATCTGGAAGGCAGCAGGCTGGTGAGATTCCCTTTAGAATAACATGAGATCCGGGGCCTTGGGGAGGATACAGAATGGAGGCCGGACTGCCATACGATGGCTACTCCTGACCCTCGCAGCAGCAGCAGCAGCAGCAGCAGCAGCAGCAGCAGCAAGAAACAAACAAAATCTTAGGGGGAGGGAAGAGGGTGTGCTACAACGCACAGGGAGCCCACCCCTAAGAAACCCCAAGAGAATTTTTCTGTCCTCTGAATAAATTTGGTGAAATGATCTCCCCAGTTTACCTGACCACAAAGAGGGTGGGTGATATTATGCACGACCACAATCTGAGGGGTGAGAGACTTTCGCGGTTCCAGGGCTTGGTTTCCTTGGAATGAGGGTCAGCGAAGATTGTGGTGTCTTTAAGGTATATGGTTTTATTTACACATCTCTACAACTTGAGCATAGGATGGAGGGGCTCACGGTGTCAACACCCCAACAGATCTTGCTTCTCCCTCAGTCGCAGCTTTGGATCCAGCACAGAGCAAACAGGTCTCTGTGTCTCCAGCTTCCAGCCTGCTTTTCCAGCTCAGCTCACATTCACCGCACTGGCTGTTGTTCTCCTCCCTAGCAGCTAGATGGGTTGGGTGGGTGGAGGAGACCCAGGCACAGGCTTGGAGGGCACCATCACTTGGCTGCATCTCTTGCAACCTGCTCATTCTTTTGGGATGCTGATGAGGACACTTAAGTGGCCAGCTAAGGCCACTGTCTTATCAAAAATCACAGAATTGTAGAGTTGGAAGGGACCCCTGAGAGTCATCTAGTCCAACCCCCGGCAATGCAGGAATCTCAGCTAAAGCATCCACAACAGGTGACCTCCCAACCTCTGCTTAAAAATCTCCAAGGAAGCAGAGTCCACAACCTTGTGAGGCAAACCGTTCCACTGTCGAACAGCTCTTGCTGTCAGAAAGTTTTTCCCAGATGTTTAGCCGGAATCTCCTTTCTTGCTGATGCCTGACTTGTTCAGCAACCGCCTCCATTTCCTACTAACCCTCCCTGGGGACCACAAGAATCGAAAGGGACACAGGCCATCATCCAGACTGACCCCCCCAACAAAAAAACCCACAGCGCTATAAAACAGAATAAGTAAAAATCTCTTTTATTTTTTATCAATTTTTAAAATTGATTTTAACAGATATAACGTATAAAACATACAAAAGAAACGACATTACAATACTAAAAGAAAAAAAACAAAAAACAAAAATAAAAGCACATATTCCTTCTGAAGTTCATTTTAAATTCCATTATTAACTGACTTCCTCGAATCCCCCCTAACTGAATTTCATTGTATCACCTCATAACTGTTCTCAAAAATCATCTTTCTACTACTATTTACTCCTTCAATTTACTATCTTCATCTCTTTTCTTATTGACTTAAATTCATATTTCTATACAACATTCTTATTCTAATCCTAGGCCTATTTGATACTTTCAAGTAGCTTCTAATTATCTTATATTACAGTATTTAGTTAGACAGAATAAGTAAAAATCTCAATACAACTAGCAACATGATGCAGAGCAGGGGAGGAAGAGATCTGGGTCCTAGCAGGGAGCTGGGGACCCTGAAAGCCATGTAGTCAAGGCAAGGATTCCTCCATCTGGGTACCCCTGAGGCCAGCTCCCCTTTGCTTCTCCTCCTCCTCTTCCTGGCAACCTTTGGATGACCTGGAGTTTCCTCTGGGCTCGGATTGCCCCTCAGGGGCCAGAACGACTTACCTGTGCCTCCATCCTCAGGTGACGGCCTCTCAGCTGAGCTCCCCGCACACAACCAGCTCGATGCTGTTCCTGGCTGACAGCGAAGGGGAGATGAGGAAGTGGGTGGAGGTTCTGGCGGAGCTTCACCGCATCCTGCGGGAGAACCATCACCACGACCGCACCGTCTACATCCTCAAGGAGGCCTACGACAACACCCTGCCCTTCATCCCCCATGCCCTGTCGGCAGCCATCATAGGTACGCAGGGAAGAGGGCAGGCCTGCTTTCGGAGGGAGGGAGAGGGTGCTGGAGGCAAAGCACCCTAAGCTTCAGCCATTGGGGCTGAGCAAGGCTTGGGCGGGGCCCTCAGCTCTCCTATCGATGAGATGCCTGATCTGCCTGAGGGCAGAATTTTTGAGTCCCTAACCGAGAGAAGGAAGTGTCTTTCTAATGTCATCTGTTCCCTTTTGCAGACAGAGAGCGGATTGCTTTGGGTACAGAAGACGGCCTGTTTTTGATTCACCTCCGGACAAATGGTTTAGTATTGTTTCGAATTACATAGTGCTGTAATATTTTGGGTGCCTGGGGACTCTAAAGCAGGCTTCCTCAACCTTGGCCCTCCAGATGTTTCAAGACTACAATTCCCATCATCCCTGACCACTGGTCCTGCTAGCTAGGGATCATGGGAGTTGTAGGCCAAAAACATCTGGAGGGCCGAGGTTGAGGAAGCCTGCTCTAAAGGTTTTATTTATTTTTTTTAAAATTGATATTTATTAAATTTTCAAAAAGTGACAAATAACAACAAAAATTTCCAAAAAAGTTTGAACATACAAAAAAAAACAAAAAAAACACACAAAAATAATACAGAAATAATAAAGAAGAAAAAACCCAGCCGCAAAAAAGAAAAAAAGAGAAACAGAAAAACAGAAATATAAAATCCTTTACGATCTCCATTAACTTCCTTTCTAGACTTCCTCCTCCTCCCTCTCTTGTTTCTTAGTATTTAATTTTTACAGCAAATCCTTTCTGCTTTTTCATAACCATCTATCATTGCGTTTCCTTGTTCTATTTTCCCTCTTGTCATATAAAAACTTTAAAAACTCAAAGCTTATATTCCATATTTAGCAAATTCTTACATCATTACCTTTTACAAATCATTTACCAATCCTTACTTAAGTCATATAATTTCATTCAACATCCTTCAAACATTTATAAACATTCCCAATATTAAAAATAAGAAAGAAAAAATAATAAGTCAGATTCAGTCCAGTCAACTTCCAGCCTCCTCCCCTGGTCCCGGGATTGTCAGTCCTTTTAACCTCAATAATCCGGCTCCTTAACCTGGTTGTCTCGTGTCCGAGGCCCTCAAGTCTCTTTCTTGCCCCTTTCGCCACTCTTGTTGATATTTCCCTTTCAGTCGTGGATACTCCAGCAAGAAGATGCTTTTGACTCTTTGCAGCAAGTCCATCCCAAACCCATTACCCAAGCCAGACAGCAGATAATACCACTTCCAATTTCCAGAAAACTTGAAGACTTCGACTACTCCAATCCTCTGATGGCCCATCCCTAGACTCGGAAAGTCCAAATAACCATATAGAGGGGTGTCAATCCATCCCCCATTTCCAAATCTGACCACATTTCATCTTTCCGAATCAGGTTTGTCCCAAGTTCATTTATCAAGTTCAAAGGCTGATCTTGCCCATCCATAGGTCCCTCCATCTCTGAAGCCTCCGTCGCTACAGCAGGTTCATATTCTTGTATAGACTTTAACTGAATTTCATTTGTTTGCTGCTGTGCTCTGGTGACTTCCGTCATCATCAAGGTCGACTCCTGACGCATCTGGTCCAGCTGGGCACTTAATTTTGCAAAACCTTCCAGGAACACTTGTTCAAGCCTTTGTACAAGCATTGTCCTTCAAGGTCAGAAAAAATTCTTTCCCACGAGAATGGTCCTTCTCTTTTAAACTCTCTGCATTGCAATTACACTCAGTTCCACTAGATGGAAAACCCTTTTTTTATTTTTTTATTTTTTAAGAGGGGGAAAAACAACAGTAACAATCTTTCTTTTCCAGAAACACTTTATCCAAAATTCCCCTTTCAAATTCAAGAGGCAACAGTAGAATCAAAATGTTACCCTTCTTTTAACTATCTGTCGAGCTGGATAAGCTTCAAAACGTCAGTTCTGACAGCCCGCTCCTGGTTCAGGGCGGTGGAAAATTACCTTATTTTAAACTCACTTCCGCAGGGTTGAAAAGATCAAAACAACCCCCTTCTTCTCCTGCAATCAAAAGGGGGGGTTCAGAAATCTTAGATGTTGAATTTTAGTTCTCTCAGAGTTTAGTTTTCAGGCTTTAGTATAATTTGTCTTTGCTTTCTTCACGTAACAAAAGAACGGAAGGCGACTTCCTGTTTAGACCTTTCCGTTCCGAGTCCCAATTAAATTCAATTTCAAGTTCAAGTCCAATGTTATTTATTTATTCACCAATCTTAAAAGTAGTTCAGCTCTTCCAGGATCAGGTACTCACGGATAGATGTTTTAGATGCCAAATTGTCCAGGAAAAGGCAGCGCTCTCCGAAAACGGCAGTGCGGCTTTGCTGCACGGAGGAAGCAGTCGACTCACAGCACCACGCACCTCCACTCGGAGCCCGCTACCGGGCTCCTGTACTAGGGGAGTGTGCTCTCTCGGGGCCCCCCGTGTCCCACGCCCACAGGCTTCTTCCGCCTGTGGTTTTAAAGGTCCCCGCTGCGCCGTAGCGGCAGGACCCAAGCCTCCGTGCAGCGGGTTCCCTTCAGTTCGAAGGGAATTCCGCCATTTTCCGGAGGCGCCACCCCGGAAGTCCTGCTCTAAAGGTTTTAAACTCCTCTGGAAACTGTAGCACTGTGAGGGGAATAGGGGTCTCTCAGCACCCTGAAACAAACCACAATTCCCAGGATCCTTTGGGGGAGACTGTTTAACCTATTAAGATCGATATCCCTCTTGCCTAGTCTACAACTGCACCAAACTGCTCCTTCCCTCATCCAGTTAATTTTTTGCTTGCTGATGGCTCCTGATCTGATTTCTCTCTGATACAAACCTTGTGTCATCACTCCACCTCTATACTTTACTCAGTCACAGTTTCAGTTTTCTATTCTCCTTTTACCGATCTATATATCTTATCGGCTTTCCCCACCTTAATTTTTTTTAAAAACCCAATACAGTATGGTCGCGTCTTATGTGCATTTAACTTGCGCAATTTCAACCACATGCAGTCAAAGGCAGGCTGGTTGAAATCGCACGACTTAAACACAAGCAAATTTAATGGGGAGCAAGAATCTCTCCAGGTCTGGGATGCTCCCGCGGGATTGCAGGAACTTGGACAGCCCCACAAGATCTTGCAAGAGCATTCAAGGACCTCCCAAGCCAGTGCACAGAGACGGCCTTGTTTCCTAAGCAAGGCAGAGAGCTCAAAAGCTTTTTGCACTGAGGAAACCTGGTGCAAAAATAGGATTTAAGTTCTCTGCCTTGCTTAGGAAACAAGGCCCACTCTGTGAGCCATTTCTGGGAGCCCTGGGATGCTCATGTGGTGGTACTGTTCCAAAGACTTGAGAATAATAATAATAATAATAATAATAATAATAATAATAATTTATTATTTCTTCCCCAGCCATTCTGGGCGGCTTCCAACAAAACATCAAAATACTGTAATGCATCAAACATTAAAAGCTTCCCTTTTAATGTGTTTTTGCATCTGTGCAAAACCCTTGGATTCAAACCCCCATGTAAGATGTAAACATATTTAGGGGAGGAGGAATTACAGTTCACTTCTGGCCTGTGTCCACCCCCGGTCACCTGCCATTTCCTCCCCTCCCTCTACAAATTCACAGTTCCCGTCCTTAGCTGGTAACGGAGTTGTGCCTCTTCTTTCCCTGCCCCAAATTCCCCCCCACTCCAGATGTGCTTCAGGTTGGGGACTGCCGCCGGGTGCAGCTGCTCCTGGTCTCTCCCAAGGCCCAGCTGCTCTCCGTCCTCTGCGGCAAGAACCACAGCCTCCGCATCTTCTCCTGGGCGGAGCTGGAGACCCCGGAGGCCATGGGGACCAAAGTGGTGGAGGCCAAGGGCTGCCAGGCGGTGGCTGTGGGGCTCGTCTGCCGCGGGACCACCCCCATCCTCTGCGTGGCCTGCAAGCGGCAGGTCCTCTGCTTCCAGCTGACGGCCACGCGGCCCCCCCACCGGCGCATCAAGGAGATCCAGGCACCCGGCTACGTTCAGTGCTTGGACATCCTGGGCGACCGGCTGTGCGTTGGATGCCCCTCCAGCTTCTCCCTCTACCCTCTGCTCAACGAGGGACCCCCCGTGAGCCTGCCCCACCCCGAGGACCGCCGGGCAGCCGCCGTGACCCACATGGAAGCGCTGAAGGCCGTGGAGGTCAGCCTGAGCGAGCTGATCCTCTGCTTCAGTGGCTTTGGCCTCTACGTGGATGGGCAGGGGCGCAGGAGCCGCCCCCAGGAGCTGATGTGGCCCGCGCCTCCCCTCAATTGCTGTAAGTGCCCCTTTTGGTTGGGGTTGGGGGGTCTAGATTATTTAAATATACTCGTGGTTTATACTCATGTTCCTCACTCTGCAGCCAAAAAGATAGTCCCTGCCAAGAGGCTTTTGTTCTAAAAGGACACAACACACAAGGAAAAGGGACAGGGAGGGTAGAGGAAGGGAAACCAAACCCAGGCACCAATAAAAACAGTTGTTCTTCTAATGACCAGCTGGCACAGCTCAGGTCAGAGGGGCCTGGTGGAGCTGGGCGTTTGGCAAAGCTGATGGATTGAGTCTGCTGCTTCCCCGTCTTTCCCACTGAGGCAGCCTAAGGAATGGCTGCCCCCAGGTGGCAGCGGAGGGAGGAGGCCTGGTGGTTGGCAGAGAGACAGACTCTCAGGGCTTACCCACCCTTAGTTTTTTGCCCCACTCTTTCCAGGCACTGGTCTGCTCTTAAAAGCCCCATGCCTATAAACACACGAGCAGGATTTGAACTATGAACAACCGAAGGGATTGAAAATTACAATAGCTTTGTTAAGGTTTAAGAGATAGAAGACGGGGTGTAGCAGAGGGAGAGAAACAGAAACACCATGGAAAAGGGGGTGGGAAGTTGGGGGGACATAATAAAAACTTTAGGAAAAAAGCTCTGTGTCTGAGCTTTCACTGTGAAAAACTACACTTCTAGTGCTTAATCGGAGCAAATGTCAATTTGGGTTTCCTGCAGACTACAGTTTGCTCTGATTGAGCTTTAAAGAGCAGGGTTTTGCAAGAAAAGCTCTGGAGCAAAAAAGAAGGGTGCTCAGATATGGAGCTTTAAGGCGTGTGCCTGGAGAGAGCAAAGGGCAGATAAGAAAGAGCAGAGGACAGATAAGTGTGGCTAAATCCTTAGTGAAGAAGCCAGGCCATTGGTCCATCTATCCCAGTGCAGTCCACTCAGACTAGCCGGCGTTTCCCATCCCCTGCCACTGACCTGATCCTTGGAAGTGGCGATGCCACTGGGGGTCTCTGGCAGGTAAAGTGGGTGCTCCATCACTCAGTCAATGTCCCACCCACTCATAAAGAGTGTACCAGTGGTGTTGGGTTTTGGAGTTTTTTGTTTCTGTCTTATAATAGATACAAGATTATAATCTCTAGCTGTGGCGTGCAGCCTGTGTTTTCTTGGGGGGAGGAAATCAGTGGAAATGTTAATGTTTTTAAAATTAAATAAAGAGTGCATCAACCCAGGCAAGACTTGAACCCAAATCCAGAGACAGGTACTTGTATCTGCCAGGCTGAATGATGCAGCCAGAGGGTTGTGGGTCCATACGTGTCTGCCCCACCCCAAGCGCCCAGATATTTGTAGTGCTGACTACAGCACTGGATGAATGAGGGGAGATGTGCACCCCAGCCCGACAATCTGGTCTTCATGTCCTTGTTTCCCCCTCCCAGGTTACAATGCTCCGTACCTGTCAGTATTCAGTGAGAACGCAGTTGATGTGTTTGACGTCAGGAAAGCTGAGTGGATTCAGACGGTGTCTCTGAAAAAGGTTTGTGGGGCTTTCTTCTGGGAGGTTTTTTGGTCTTAATCCCTCACCCGTAGGGTTTACCCTCCCCACTCCCCAAATCGCTTGACTTCATTTAACTGTTTATCACATCCTTACAGCCAATCTCAGGGGCTGAGATTGGTGGAGGGGGTCCTTCACCCTCAGAGGTTTGGCGTCTCAGCAGCCTGGGACAGGGCCTTCTCTGCGGCAGCCCCTAAACTGAGGGACTCCCTCCGCACTCCCTCCCTCCATACCTTCATTATACAGCTTTCGGCAATGCTGAAGACGCACCTTTCCTCCCGGCTTCTGACACTTCAGATACATATTTTTAGGACTCATATCTGTGATTTTACATTGTTTTGAACTGTTTTTAATATTGGGTTTTAATTACTGTAACCTGCCCTGGGTCCTTGGGGTGCAAGGCGGGTGATGATGATGACGACGATAAACTAATGTTTGGTTCGCAAGTGTTTTTAATTGATTGATGGTCTTTGGATCAATTGACCTGGCCAGTCAAACGACTTAACAGTGTGACCCAATGCATGTCTACTCCGAAGTAAGATGCACTGAGATCCATGGGCCTTACTCCCAGGGTTGCAGCTGTCCTCTTACCTATTTTGCATATGCGTGCTAAAAACAGGATTGTTTTGGTCAGGAATAACTGATGAGCTCCAGGGTCCTCTGGTGGGTGGGTGTGCTGGTATGGATCAAGAGCTTCATCTCGGTGGGGGGAGGCTGTCAGCATCATCCTAAGCTTTGCAGAATTGCCTTCTCATGCTGCAGGGAAGGGGGTTCTGCCCCAGGGAAGGTTGGCAAGTACCCCATCTGGAACAAAACCTTTTCTCTGGAAATTTCATATTTCAGAAAAGTGTCCCTTTCTCTGGTTCCCAGGTACGAGCACTGAATCCTGAGGGCTCCCTTTGCACTTTTGGCAGCGAGAAAGTCCACCTGACGTACCTCAGAAACAAGGCAGCTGGTAAGTGGGGGGAGGGGAGCAAGGGGATAGGTGAGGGACACACACCCCAAGGTGGCCCAGGGCTCATGTTGCTTCCAGGCAACTTTTTTTTTTTAAAAAAATAATATTTATTAAAGTTTCAAAGGGAAAAAAATCACATTAGTAAAAAAAGAATTAACAATGAAAAAGAAAAATACAAAGTAGAAAAAAAGAAAAAACAATTAAAAACAATTCCATCTTTTCCTCACTTCTTTTACGTTTACTTGTTTCCCGGACCTCCTCATACCTCCCTCTTTTGTATTCCAATTAAATTTGTTAATCCAACAATTCCTTTCCCTCCTTTTTAATCCTAATCTTTAATCTTGATATATTATAACTTTAAATTTTTACATATTAAAAACCAATTTTTCCATATTCTTTTGTACCTGTACAGCTAGAAACCACTTAACTTCAATCCAACATCATTCTAACATTCATTAATTTTGCAATATTTCTGTAAATAGTCTTTAAATTTCTTCCAATCTTCTTCCACCGACTCTTCTCCCTGGTCACGGATTCTGCCAGTCATTTCCTCCAATTCCATGTAGTCCATCATTTTCATCTGCCATTCTTCCAGTGTGGGTAGATCTTGTGTCTTCCAATGCTTTGCAATGAGTATTCTTGCTGCTGTTGTAGCATACATAAAGAAAGTTCTCTTCCAGGCAACTTTTCAGTCCTGATGTGTTAGCAGGGAAGTTATATGACATTGTCCGAAAGCAATTATCACCTCACACTTTCCAGGGCATCCCACTTCGTGGGGTGGGAGAACTGAAAATAATACCAATATATCTCACATCTGGCAACCAATGCGCCCCTTTGGTTGCAGATAGTACATGGGTAGACAAGTCTAAAAAGCCCAGGACACAAATTTTCACAGCCCTCTAGCAGCTATGGTGGCACATTTACCAGAAGTAATGCATTTAGCGTTAACTCTGTAAGTGTGTAATGGGACCACAGAGCCTAGGACTTGCCGATCAGAAGGTTGGCGGTTCGAATCCCCGTGACGGGGTGAGCTCCCATTGCTCGGTCCCTGCTCCTGCCAACCTAGCAGTTCGAAAGCACGTCAAAGTGCAAGTAGATAAATAGGTACCGCTCCGGCAGGAAGGTAAACGCCGTTTCCGTGCGCTGCTCTGGTTCGCCAGAAGCAGCTTAGTCATGCTGGCCACATGACCCGGAAGCTGTATGCCGGCTCCCTCGGCCAATAAAGCAAGATAAGCACCGCAGCCCCAGAGTCGGTCACGACCAGACCTAATGGTCAGGGGTCCCTTAACCTTTACCTTACCTGGAAGTGTGTACTCAATTCTGACCAAACTGAGCCTCATAGCATAAAATGTACATCAGTATGACACCACCACCACCACCTCAAGTATCATAGAGCCATAGAATTGTAGAGTTGGAAGGGACCCCAAGAGGCATCTAGTCCAGCCCTCTGCAATGCAGGAATCTCAACTAAAGCATCCATGACAGATGGCCATTCAGCCTCTGCTTAGAAACCTCCAAGGAAGGAGAGTCCACCACCTCTCATGGGAGTCTGTTCCCCTGTCGAACAGCTCTTACTCTCAGAAAGTTCATCCTGATGTTTCGTTGGAATCTCCTTTCTTGTAACTTTGAAGCCACTGATTTCTCCTCCCTACCGCCTCCAGATCAGGATGAGTTTGAAATCCCCCAGCCGACGGACAACAGCCGGCGGCACCTCGTGAGGACCAGGCACAAGCGCCGCTTCTCCTTCCGGATCTCTGAGGAAGAGCGGCAACACCAGAGGAGGTGAGGCGCATGGTGGCCGTCTTGTCGGTGGGGTCTCTGTCACTGCTGCTATTGCGTTCGGGGCTCAGAGGACATGCAGACATTTTCAGAAGCTGGCTGCAAGGGGTTCTCTCCTCCAGGGCGGAGACGCTTGGAAGGACGCGTGTGTGAGAGGTTGGTGGGGTTGTTTCAGGGACCTTGGCATGCGGCAAGTGGGGATGTGGGGCCTGTACATGAGAACAAAGTGGAAGACTCCCAACGAAAGATCCAACAGTCCACGCTCTTGGGCTCTTTCTCATCTGTTAAAAGGGTTTTGTTTTATGCCAGGCTTTAAAATGCTTGTCTTATTGTCTCACAAAGCTGCTTTATGCTTAATTATCGCAGTGTTTTTGGCATGTGGGTTTTGGCATGTGCTTCTTTTAAAAACATTGCTGTGTTGTGGAATGAGCGTAAGAGATCAGAAGAGCCCGTCTAGTCCAGCATCCTGTTCCAACCAAGTGGGAAACCCACAAGCAGGATCCAAACCCAAGAGCAGCTCTCCTTTCCTGTGTTTTCCAGCAGTTGGAATTCAGAAATATTACCGCCTCCAACTGTGGAGGCAGAGGATAGCCATGGAGGCTAGTATATTATGCACCACTTAATTGTAAAAAAACCCAACAACATCAAAGCCATTTACAAAAGAGATAAGGCAATAAATTAGCAGTAAGAAAAATGAGCAATCATAATTTAATACATTTGAAGAGTTAAAACAACCATTTTATTTTTTTATATAGCCTTTATCCTCCCCCATGAATCTGGCCAATCCAAGTTGGTGGACATTGCTGCCTCCTGTGGGAGTGAGTTCCATAGTTGTAACTATGCAGTGCATGAAGAAGAACTGGGTTAGGAATCCGCCTTATGCCGTGTCAGGCCATTTGTGCATCTAGCCCAGTACTGTTGACACTGACTGGCAGCAGTTTTCCAGGATTTAAGGCAGGAGTCTTTCCCAGCCCTGCCTGAAGGTGCTGCAGGAGATTGAACTGTGGCCCTTTCCCTGAGTAGAGTTGCTTCTGCCCCTGGATGGTTTGGGTTGCCCTTTTCCAGCCCTACAACCCTCCCCCTCCTGCTAGCCTTCTCGTCTCTTGCAGGGAGATGATGCGCGACCCGACCCTCCGCTCCAAGCTCATCTCCGGCCCCAGCAACTTCAACCACCTGGTCCACGTCGGGCCGGGCGAGAAGCACCACCAGCTGCAGGACCTGCATGTGGTGAGTTGTGTGGCGGACTCAGAAGACGCTTCCTTGCTGCAGGGGTTGTCCGAGGAGAAAAGGGCAGCCTCTGATTTTAAGGGCATAAGGAGGGCCTGCTGGATCAGGCCTATGGCTCATCTAAAACCAGCATCCAGTTCTCATTGTGGCCAACCAGTGGGAAACTCGCAAACAGGATTCAAACACAACAGCAACTTTTCCCTCCTGTGGCTTCCATTGAGAAGCATCGCTGCCTCCAACTGTGGCAGCAGAGCAGCGCCTTTGTGGCTAGTAGCTGTCAATAGCCCTCCAAGAATTTGTCCCAGCCTCTTTTAAAGCCATCCAAGATGGTGGCCCTCCCTGCCTCCGACGGGAGCAAATTCCAGTTTAACTCTGCGCTTTCTTTTCTCTTGTCCCGATTCTTCCAACATTCAGTTTCATGAGATGCCTATGAGTTTTAGCATTATGAGAGAGGGAGAAATATTTCTCCTCTATCTGCTTTCTCCATGCAAGGTGTAATTTTATGAACTTCTATCATTCTTCAGCACTGAGATCTGGTCCTTCTCTGTTGAAAACGACAGGTCCCAGCATCCTTGGGTCCTCCAACCCGTTTGCGCTTATTCTCCCCACACACCCTCCCTTCTCCCTCAAGTATGATCCTTTCACGGCCTTTGTTTCCAGGCCCAGGAAGAGAAGAGGCGAGAGGCTCAAGTCCGGATGCGCTGCAGCAGCCTCTCCGAGACCCGGCGCCCCTCGGCTGCAGGCGGCACTGGCAGGACCCCGGGAGCCGCTGGTCCTTCCTTCTCCTCCTCCTGTAAGAGGGGCCATGGCAAAGGGGAGGCGGGGACCTCATCCAGGGCCACAGGGGCTGGGCTCTGCTGTGGCCCAGTGGCACCCAAGCAAGTGGGTTTTTTGGGGGGTGCAGCTGCCGATTCCTCAGCTGAGCTGCCCACCCTCTTGTCCCCGCAGTAAAGCACAAGTCTGGCAGCTCCATGTCTGATGACTCCTCTGCTGCTGCTCCGAGCTTTGGCGTGGGCAGTGCCACGCTGGCAGAGGTAAGGCATCCCTGTGCAAAAGGGGCAGGAGGAAACTGGGGCCTAGATTCCTGTCCTGCCCTTTTGCATTCCCCTCTCCCATCCCTATTTTGCAGCAATCCTTGCCTCTTTTCTCCCAAGAACCATAGAGCCCTGTTTAGGGAAGTTTTTAATATTTAATGCTGTGCTGTTTTTAGCACTTGATTGGGAGCCGCCCAGAGCGGTTGGGGAAACTCAGCCAGATGGGTGGGGTATAAATAATAATTATTATATTAATTATTATTATTATTATTATTATTATTATTATTATTATTATTTTATTATAGTTGGAAAGGACACAAAGGCTCATTTAGTTCACCCCGCTGCAGTGCAGGAATCGAATGTTCAGACAGCAGTGGGTGAAGGCCCTCCCTACACAGGCCCTTGCTAATAGGATGCCCACCCTATAAACACAGGGCTTTCGCACTCCGCTGTTTCACACCCACACCCCACCCACGTGCCTTCTCCTCTTCTAGCAGATCTTGGATAAAACGCAGAGCCTCCCTCCGTGCCCAGGAAGCACCAGTTCCACATGATGGGAGGCATCACTGCCCGGCTGCAGACCTGCCTTGGACGGCTCTGGCTCCCTTGACTCTGGCCACAAAAATGTGCCTCCCTGTCTGGACTCGAAGGGCAAAGCACCGCCTGGCAGATGCCCAGAGGCAGCGGGAGACTGCCAGCCCTTGTGAAGCGGCCTGGATCGCAGCACTTCAGCCTTCGAAGGTGGACCGGGGCTGGAATGGGGGTCAGCCAACCTCCATGAGGATGCAGCAAGAACTTCTCCCACCCCACATCTCAGGGAACGCGGCCGGCCACGCCCAGCTGCCTCAGCACCTCTGCTCCTGCCCCCAACTGCCCCATCAGCTCTCTCTTCTCCACATGCACCCCCACTGCAAAAGCAGCAACAGGACCAGAACCGCCTCCCTCCAGCCTTGATGGAAACATTTTTTAAAAAGTCCCTAAAGTTTACTTTTTACAAAATCTATGCTACTTTCAGCCATATTCTAAGTAAAGCCTGAGACCATCGTGCCAGCAGCAGGGTGGTGGTGGTGGCAAGACAAACGGGTGCCCTTTGAGGGCCAACCTGCCGGATGTGCACTCTGGCAGGGAGCAGAGGGACCCTCTCAGGGAATGGCAAAATCTCAGCCAGAAAGAAAATGCATTAAAGAGTTAAAAAGACAGTGCCGCTGGCAGGTTTTCTCAGGGGTGGGGAGTCACTGGATAAAGGGGGAGAGGGGATAAAAGGTTTGATGCCACGTTGCTCCTCCATCTGGTTGGCGTGAAGCGTGTATGAACAAGCACAGAGGGGGGTGCCTTTTTCACCTTCACTGGAGCTGCTGTGGTGCGCTAATCAAATTAAATTAAATTAAAGCCATGGTTCGGCTTAGCACAACATGCAAACCTCAGCTGGTGGTTTGTTTCACTCCCAACCGTAAGCTGGAACCAAGGTATGTTCCTTGCTTGCAGCTCGTTGGTAACAAGGCCAGCTCCACCACGACCAGCTCTGCAGGGACTCTGAAGTCAAACCAGGGCTCTCCTCTGATTAGCAGGGGGGCAATGGCAGAAGAACATGAGGAGCAGCAAAATGGGTGCTGTCTCTCCTCCGCTCCCCACTTGTTGATGCTTGCCGAATACTTGCAGAAGTATTGTGGCTTGGCTTAGCCTTTTAAGAGCTTGCTGGATGAGGCCAGTAGTCCATCTGGGCCAGCATCTTGTTCTCACCGTGGCCAACCAGATGCCCGTGGGAAACAAGATTCGAACACAACAGCCCCCTCCCCTCCTGTGGTTTCCAGCAACTGCTCTTCAGAAGTATTGCTGCCTCTGACTGTGGAGGCAGGGCAGAACAGGCTAGGAGCCATCAAAAGTCCTCTCCTGTCTAATCCTCTTTTTTAAGCCATCTAAGTTTGCCATCCCTGCCTCCCGTGGAGAGGCACAGTTCCAGAGTTTAACTATGCGCTGTGTGCAGGACCACTTTCTTTCGTCTGTCCTGAATCTTCCAGCTTCACTGGATGGGCACAATTTTCTAGCATTACGAGAGGGGCAGGGACATATTTATCTGTGCCATACATAATTTTATAAACTTCTATCGCAAAAGTCCCCAGTGCTGCAAACCTTTCTTCACAGGTGAGTTGCTCCATCCCCTTGGATCATCCCGTGTGTGTGTGTGTGTGTGTGTGTGTGTGTGTGTGTGTATCCCTTATTATTTCTGTATCCTGGGGAGCAGAAAGGCACACTGTCTGTGTCCCCTACAGCCATTGTTTGGATTCCAACTCCCCTGAACCCTGATGACTGGCTGAGCTGGCTGGGGAAGAGGGGAGTTGCATGCCCCATCACTGGAGGAGCCCAGGCACCCCACGCCTACCCTTAAGCTGCAAAGGCAGAGATGATAAGAGTCTGCTGGATCAGGCCAGCATCCTGTTTCCCACCAGATACCTGTGGGAAACCCACAAGAAGGATTTAAGCAAAAGAGCCCTCCTGTTTTTCCAGCAACAGGTATTCAGAAGCAGCACAGTGGTACCTTAGGTTACAGACGCTTCAGGTTACAGACTCTGCTAACCCAGAAATAGTACCTCGGGTTAAGAACTTTGCTTCAGGATGAGAACAGAAATTGTGCTCTGGCGGCACAGCAGCAGCAGGAGGCCCCATTAGCTAAAGTGGTACTTCAGGTTAAGAACAGTTTCAGGTTAAGAACGGACCTCCGGAACGAATTAAGTTCTTAACCCAAGGTAGAACTGTAGTGCGACATTCAGTACAGCCATCATGGCTAATAGCAGACGCAGGCAGGCCTCTGCTGTCCCGCAGGTGCAGCTTCACCCTGCCGGCATAGGTGGCATGGCTGGCATGGAAGGCTTTTTTACATTATCGGTAAAGAGTTAATTTATTTGTCGGCTTCTGCATAAACCAATGAAACAGGCAAGAATCACATTTCACACACATACAAACATACATCCCGTGCTGGAACACCAGCCGCTGTACAGAATAGCTACTCTATGGAGACAGAAGGAGAGAGAGAGAGACTGTCTCCCCCCACTGGGTAACTTCTCCCTGCCCCCCCTGGGGGGGCATTTGGAATTCAAGGCATCTCCGTCACTGGAGGGGGAAGACTCAGTGAACTGGAAACGCTTCTTGGCAAGCGATGATGGAGGTAGCAAACTCCCCCCCCCAAAAAAAAACAACCCCACCAGGCTCTGCATCTTCTCCCTCTCCCCCTGCCCAGAAAAAAAACAACCTAGGGGAAGGAAGAGATTTGGAGACATGCCAGAAACAGCCCTTCTTCTGCCCGCCCCCACCGGCAGCCTGCTACCCCCCTAATAAAAAAGTAAAAGGGATGGGGTGTGTCAGTCCAGCTTCCTGGCCCCCAGCTTCATGGGTCCCTTGGCCGCCTTCCGCTCTGCTCTCCGGGCCTCCATCTCTTGCTTCCGCTCCTCTCGCTTTTTCCGTGCTAGTTCAGCCTTGCTGGGTCCTGAAAAAGCACAAAGAGAGCCCCCCCTGAGTCTGGGTCACCGGCTGGCCTCTCCATAAGCCCCAGGGAAGCTACAAGGGTAGGGGGGCAGGAAGGGATGACTTGCCTTGCTCTGACTCCAGCGCCTCCCAGTTGTCTTGGAGGTCCCAGTCGCCCAGCGCCTCCACGTTCCTCTAGACAGAGGAGAAAGAGTCAAGGAGAATAGAGAGATAAGAGACCCTGGAAGGGGCAGCTCCTTCCCCACCCGTTAAGATATTTAGACAGTTACCAGCCAGACTAAAGCCCCATCTGCACAATACCTTTGAAGCAGTCTCTTACCGCTCAGAATTCTAGGAGTTGCAGTTTGTTAAAGGTGATGAAGGTTGTTAGGATGCCCGCTATCCACCTCACAGAACTACAATTCCCAGAATTCCCTGGGATGAGGGGCTGATGACTAAACCACTCTGGGAATTGTAGCTCTTTTAAGGGGAGTACTGTAACAACTCTCAGCGTCTTTAACAATCGACAGCAGTGGCCCTCCAGGGTCTCCGGCAGGAATCTTTTCCCCAGGCCCTACCTGATGGTACTGGGGACTGGGCAAGAGGTTTTCTGCGTGCTGCTGCATGTCCTCTAAGCCCTGAGCTACAGCCCTTCCCCAAAAGAGAGGAAGATCATAGAACTGTAACCTTGAAGGGACCCCAAGGGCCTCTAGCCCACCACCCTGCAATGTGGGAATTGCAGCTAAAGAATCCTTGACCGCTGGCTGCCCAACCTCTGCTTAAATGCCTCTGGTGTCCAGAGGTGCCTGCCACCTAGTCTGACCGTGAAGGATGCATGTTTTGAACTTTTCTAAATAGATTAAATGTTGCAACCCACTCCGGGCCCTTGAGGTGATGGGCAGCTCTCTAGGGAACCCAATTTCCTTCTGCACACAAAGCACTATCCCCGTGCCTGAGTGAAGTCCCTTCCCCAAAAGTTGCGACTCAGAGCCTGGACTAGTCAAAGCAAGCTCTTGAGACAGGAGGCTGGCCGGGTCTCCTCGCACCTGCCTGTCCGCTGCTGGCTTCTCCGCAAGAGAGGAAAACGGGTCCGGCTTGTCTGCGCTGCCAAGGCTCTCCCAGTTGTAATCGCTGGCCAGTTTGGTCCCATCTGGCGGGGCCGTGGTAGACCTCTGGCCCAGGCCGGGGGCCACGTCCCCCTCGCAGGCGCCGCCCCAACCCCCATCTGCAGTGGGGCGCTGTGTCTTCTTTTGGCTCCAGGAAGGCTCCAGGTCCCAGGCAGAGGCACTCCAGTCAGTCTCTGCCTTCCCGGCGGTGGAAGTGGTCTGGGAATAAGGCGACAAGGACAAACCCCTGCTGTTAAAATGGAATAGGAGTTTTTCTTTAAAACGGGGAGGTTTCTAGTCCACATGACCGCCGAGACAGGAATGGTGTTTCCATGGCAAGCTTAGAAGCCAGAAAGCACCCAAACCCAGAGATTTGGGAGTGGGGTATACCACACCCCAGGGTTGTCTTCTTCCCACACCAAATATCTCCTCCTATGCAATGGCCCAAAGGCCATGCCTGCTGGGCTCCAGCTGCCCCCTCCAACCTATGGAAAGCAGAAAGGGCCCCACTGCAGATGTACCACCCTCCCTCCAGACTTCTTGGCTGCCCAGGTTGGTTCCCGTCATGGAATCATAGAATTGTGGAGCAGGAAGGGACCCTAAGGGTCATCTAGTCCAACCCCTGGCAATGCAGGAATCACAGCTGGGCTGGCTTGCCTCTTTGGAGAAGAAAATAAAAGGGAGGCTCCCTCAACTGAGCCCCGGAGCCCGTGCAAGGCTGAAGAGCCCAGCAGCACTGTTGCCATGGCAAATGAGCTCTGCAGAGACAGGTAGGAATATTCGCCCATGCCACCACCTGATAGCCCTGCACGGGGACAGGCGAGCAAGCCCCACATCGCTCTGGTGTGTGTGCCCCCCGCCCCCCGCCTGCCTCCACTTTCTCTCCCTCTTACCTCCAGACTGCCCCAATCCTCATCATCCCATCGGTCTGCTGCACTCTCCTCCTCCTCCGTCACCTCCTCCTCCAGGTCCCAATGGCTGGATGATGCAGGGGCTGCCCCTTCTGGGGCAGAGGGTTGGCCCGCTCCTTAAAAAAAGAAGTAGCCAAGCATCTGTATCTGGCTAGCGGAAGGCGGCACTGGGCTAGCAGAATTGCTGTGGCAAATAAAGACCCACAGAACGGGCCTCGTTTGTTAGTTTGCATTTCTACCCCACCTTTTTCTCCAAAGGGCTCTAGGTGGCGAACAGGGTTCTCCCCTCTTCCTCATTTAATATCCACAACAGCCCTGTGAGGTAGGCCTCACAGGAGCTAAGGTCACCTAGTGAGCTTCATGATGTCTGGGTGGGGATTTGATCCCTGGTCTGTCCCTAGTCCCAGTCCTCATTTAATTCCCTCAACAACAACCCCATGAGGTAGGCTAGGCTGAGAGGCAGCCACTTTTCCGAGGTCACACCCAGTGAGTGGGGATTTGAACTCTGGTCTCTCCTAAGTCCTAGTCCAAGACTCTAACCACTACACCCCTACAGCCTCTGCTGCCCCGAGACAAGACACCTTCTGTGCCGATACCCCCATTAACTTTCCCTGCCTCCACTGACCTGATTTGGGGGGCTCTGGTGTGCTGGCAGGGGCCCCCTCAGGCGCCTGCTCGGCCACTGGCAGCCCTCCGGCGTTGGTCCGGATCAGTTTCGACGTGAGCGACGAGACCCCCGTCACGGCCCAGCCAGCCCAACTGGCAGCTGCACTCGCCCCTGGGCCAGCCGAGGCAGCCTGGACGTCCTTCTCTGCAGGGAGGGCGCAAAATGGTCAATTCAGTGCTGTCTGCTTCGACGTGAGGGGAGGGGCAAATGCTGCTCCTCCTCCTCCTCCCCACACACTTGTCCCCATTCCACCCACCCCGCCATCACGGAGGGCGGCTCACCAAGCTCAGAGAGCTGAGACGGGTCTTCGGAAACGGTTTCCAGTTTGGTGATGAAGCTCCGCATCGCCTTGAAGGCCTGAGAGAGAGAAAGGGGTCACCTGTAAAACACTCACCTGGATGCGAAGACGTCAGGCTCAAGTGCACCGTGCAACACACAGCAAATGCTAACAGCATAAGGACAGTGGAGCCTGCCGGATGAGGCCAGGCTATAACATTATAAGAACGGTATTAGATAAATTGTTCTAAAACATCACAGGGCATACTGGCAAATTAAAAACATTCCTTATCTTTACAAAGCAGTTTCCCTATTGCTGGTTCCTGGTTGCTTTGCAGCGCCCTCTGGTGCCCCATTTTAATAATGCATTATTAACATTACAGTGGTACCTTGGTTCTCCAACGGCTTAGTTGATGAACAAATCGGCTCCCGAACGCCACAAACCCGGAAGTAAGTGTTCCGGTTTGCAAACATTTTTCAGAAACCGAACGTCCGACGCGGCTTCCGCTTGAGTGCAGGAAGCTCCTGCAGCCAACTGGAAGCCACACCTTGGTTTTCGAACCGTTTTGGGAGTCGAACGGACTTCTGGAACGGATTAAGTTCGAGAACCAAGGTTCCACTGTACAAGAACAACAGAATGTGTCCATCACGTTACGAAAATCATTCCTTAACCCTTCCTTCACGTTACGAACCATGAGTATAGATCCGCCCCTTTTCTCACAGTGGCCGACCAGGTGCCCATGGAAAACCAGCCAAGAGGACCTGAGCCCCATAAGGAAAGCTTGCAGGATCAGGCCAATGGGCCACCTACTCCAAGCAGCTTGTTCTTGCAGTAGAGAAAAGCCTTCATAGCTGGTAGCTACTGGCAGACTTCTCCTCCATGAAGCCCATTCATAAATTCATAATATAAGCAACTGAGTAATTCTACTGTCAGATTAAAATAGCATTTTAACCATAATGCACAAAATATTATTATTAAGCACAATATAAAGTATATGCAAATCTGCATCGCTATAAAATAAAACATATCCCTGAATTGCAGGCAGGAGTCTTGAACCAGGCAAGCAAAAATCATACAGAATTCCCATCTAGCCCAACCTCCTGCAATGCAAAGTCGCTGGTGGACAAATTCTGGAGCTGCTGGGAGGAGGGGGGAGAGTTGTGCATGGAAAGTCATAGTTTGGTGGCAAATTGTGGTGGTGGGCAGAGACATCTGGGAAAGCAAAATAAGTGGGGTGGTTTTTTAGGGCTACAGAAAAGACTGTGGACCTCAAAGGGAGGCCCAAGGATACCCAGTGCCTCCCCCAAAAGGGGTTTCACTCAGCACCCCTCCTCCCTGGTCCCGCAGCTCACCTGGTCCCGGACGGTCTTCTCTGGGTCCACCGTCAGCGTACAGAGGACGGGCAAGATTTTGAAGGCACAGTCTTTCATAGAGTAGAAGTTGTGGGTGGCTGCAAAGCCCAGGACCCCAGCAGCGCGAGAGGGGGCAAAGGGGTCCTTGGTGGCCCGGCTGAAGGCTGAGATCAGGACGCTCTGCCTTGTCTGCAATTAAAAGGGTCATAGAATCACAGAACTGTAGTCGGAAGGGACCACAGGGGTCATCTAGTCCAACCCTCTGCAACGCAGGAATCACAACACAGCACAACCCGTCCATCTTCTTCCATCTCCCCTGGAAGACACCAGGGTTCAAATCCCCACTTGGCCATGAAGCTCACTGGGTGACCTTTGGGGCCAGTCACTGCCTCCCAGCCTAACCTACCTCACAGGGTGATTGTTTGGGGGGATTAAATGAGAACTGGGACCTGGGAGACCATGGTTCAAATCCCAACTCGGCCATGAGGCTTACTGAGTGACGTTGGGCCAGTCCCTGCCTCCCAGCCTAACCTACCTTGCAGGGTTGTCGTTTGGGGGATTACCGTATTTTTCGCTCTATAAGACGCACCAGACCATAAGACGCACCTAGTTTTTGGAGGAGGAAAACAAGAAAAAAAATATTCTGAATCCCAGAAGCCAGAACAGCAAGAGGGATCGCTGCTTTCGCTGCGCAGCGATCCCTCTTGTTGTTCTGGCTTCTAGATTAGCCGCGCAAAGCCTCTTCAGGGCAGGAGGAACATTCCTCCCGCTGCCCTGAGGAGGTTTTGTGTGGCTATCCCAGAAGCCAGAAGAGCAAGAGGGATCACTGTGCAGCGAAAGCAACAATCCCTCTTGCTGTTCTGGCTTCTGGGATAGCTGCGCAGCCAGCATTCGCTCCATAAGATGCACACAGATTTCCCCTTACTTTTTAGGAGGGGAAAAATGTATATTATAGAGCAAAAAATATGATAAATGGTGGGGAACCAAGTGCTCCACCTTGGGAGGAAAGGTGGGCTATAAATGCAATAAATGAATACAGTGGTACCTCAGGTTACATACGCTTCAGGTTACATACACTTTAGGTTACACACTCCGCTAACCCAGAAATAGTGCTTCAGGTTACACACTCCGCTAACCCAGAAATAGTGCTTCAGGTTAAGAACTTTGCTTCAGGATAAGAACAGAAATCGGGCTCTGGCGGCGCGGCAGCGGCAGGAGGCCCCATTAGCTAAAGTGGTGCTTCAGGTTAAGCACAGTTTCAGGTTAAGAACGGACCTCTGGAACGAATTACGTACTTAACCTGAGGTACCACTGTAATGAAAGAGGCATCTCTCCCCACGCCTGCTGCTCCAGAAAGCCCTCCCACACCCACGAGGCATCTCCACTCACGCTTGCGCTGAGGTAGGGCCCGATCTTGCCGAGGCACACGGTGGTGTTGCAACGGATGGGGCCCTGTTCGTCCCGGGCCTGTAGGCGGGCAAAGTGCTTCATGAGCTCCACGTTGAGGTTGTTCTCGTTCAGCTTGGGAGCCAGCAGCAGCATAGACTGCCAGCGGGGAGAGAGGAAAGGGAGAGGTCAAGGGTCAGCCATGTCCTGGCTCGTAGCCATCAATGGCTCTCTCTTCCAAGAGAGGTACGTCTGATCCTCTTTTAAAGCCCTCTAAGTCAGGGGCCATCATCGCCTCCTGCGGAAGCGGGTTAAACTAAAGAGCCTCTCGCATCCTGGCTCTCAACATCCCACGGCCCCTCACCTTCACTGTCTGCTCACGAATGGCCGGGTTGGTGTCCAGGAAGCCGTGGACCACGTGGGGGAAGATCTGGGTGTTGACCGTGGGCTCGTTCAGGTACTGGATGAAGTGCTCCATCTGGCAGATTAGAGGGGCACATGCAGAGAGAGTGGGGGGAAGCACAGTCAGCAAAGGACTTGCTGGGTGAAAGAGGCCTGCTTCTCAGGACCCAGACCACCACCCACAATGCCCTTCCTCACATGCTTTCAAACCCAGGTCGTCCCTGCTGAAGATTCAGATCCAGGACTCGGAACTCATAAGGAAGGGGGAAAGGGATCCTAACATGGGGCATTTGGGGGGGGGTTAATTAAAGATTTTCTTGGTTTACAAAAGTATGTGCAATCTCTCTCTCTTTTTTTATTCAAGTAACATTTTTTACAGATCAGTTTCATTTGTTGAGACATTAGGAAGAAAATGGGGAAAGAGGTGGAGGGGGGAAAGGTGAGTGGGGGTGGGGTCGGGTGGCGATGTTTCTGGTGGGGTCAGGTGGCAATGTGTGAGGGGGGGTGTTTTGGATCAGGTTAGCTATATTGATTTGTATGTTGTTGGTGGATTTTTGTCATTGTCTTGCTGGGCTGTGTATGTGATAAAGGGGAGCCATACTGGGGTGAAGGTGTCTTCTTCTATTTGTCCCTGTGTCAGTTTCAGTTTATTGGTTAATTTTTCTAGTAAGGCTGTTTCCCATACTATTTGGTACCGTTGGTCCATGCTTACTCCTGACAGGTCTCTCCAGTGTCTGGTTATGATGTTTCTGGCTAACATGGGGCATTTTATCATACTGAGAGCTGGGAAGTAGAGTGCCCTCCATCGGCTCTGCTGTGACAGGCCAGCCCCATTAGGCCTCTACTCCCCTCCCCTGTCACCGGAGGAAACCATTCCACTAGACAGCCTCAGTGGGAGAGGTGGGAAGAAGCCTCACTTCATCAGCTTTGCTGGGAACCATCTCCTGCCCCTGAAATGGGCCAACTGGTCATTATGGGAACAACCATTCAGAAATTGGTGCCTGAGTTTTGATTCTGATTTTCCTCTGCTCTCCATGTCGTAGTTTTTAAAGATTGTAAGCCTGTGGGTAGGGACTGTCTTGTTTCGATTGTTTGTGAGCTGCTGTAGGAGCCTTTTTGGCTGAAGAGCAGGGTATAAAAATGCCCTAAATAAATATTATGTAATGCATTGGTCAACATTCCGGTGGGAGATTGAGGAAGACTAGTCTAATCCAACCCTCTACTCCATGATTCAGCCATCCTGCACTATCCTGGTCCCCCTCCAGATGTTGCTGGACTACAACTCCCATCAGTGTGCTGGCTGAGGATGATGGGAGTTGTAGTCCAACCACATCTGGAGGACGCCAGGATGGTGAATGCTGTCTTAGCCTGCAATGCTATACACCAGGAGTTCCCAATTAGCTAATTACTGAGGATCCATTATTTTTCAAAAGCCAAGCCATGGACCCCCTACTTTTGAAATTTTTGATACTATGGTAGTTACCTCTGCAAAGCAATATTTTGAACAAAATGTGCGGTAGCCTCTAATAAGCAAAGGGTTTTAGTTATACTAAAAAGCAACAGACCATAAATTACCATTCAAAAATGACAAAAAATTAGTTGGGGGAGAGGCGAGGGATGGGGCTGCAAAGCCCCCGAGTGAGTTCTGAGGACCCTCAGGGGTCCCCAGACCCCTAACTGGGAACCACTGTTATACACACTTACCTGGGAAAACATCCCACTGAACTCAGCAGGACTTTCATTCAGGTAGACCTGGCTAGGAGTGCATCGTTACACTCTGAGCTCAGGAGTCTGGGTGATGGCAAGCTCATATGCTTTTTTCTAATGGGATTAACACCCCTCCTAAGCTGGGTGCAACACCTCCCCCCACCCCCACGGCAGTCTGTTGTGCACCCCCCACCCCTTGTACCTGTTGCAACAGCCGGATCCTCATTGCCCGGTCTGGAGAGGAGAACATCTTCACAATGACGGGAATGATTTTTTGCTGGTATTCCTGGGCGTTCAAGAATTTCCCCACCTGCAGTGACAAAACAAAAAAAACAAAAATCCATATACTATTAGGTAACGTGGACACCTAAAACAAACATGTATTGTTCTGTGCCTCAGTTCTAACTGGTAGATCAGTTGGGGTTGGACTAGATGCCCTTTGGTGGCCCCTTCCAACCCCATAAATCTAGGATTCTATGATCAGTCAGCTAAAAATGCAATTCCATACTCATTCCAGAATAAGCCCCACCAAACTCAATGGGACTTACTTGTGGGTTTGTGTTACAGCAATTAGCACCCCTGGTGCTCAAAAGGCAGACCTGATGTGGCTGTTAATTATGAAAATGCAATTTATAGCCCTGTTATTATTATGAGTGTTATAATTCATATTTGTTATAATTACCTGCTACAACATTAAACTGGGAGTGATGGGAGTTGTAGTCTGAAACTCAGGTGAGCAGAGGCCTAGCAGGTGCTCTGCTACTGAGCCACACTCCCTTCTCCCTTCCTTGCCTCCTCGGATGCTACAGCTATTCCCTGTTTCACTGAGGGAGTCTGTGTTAAGACAGAGCACCCTGGTGGGGCAAAGGGGAGGCTTCCTCTGGGCTCACACAGAGTGCGCCTGTCCCCGGTCCAGGGGGCCGCTCACCTTGAAGAGTGGAATGAGGATGACAGCCCCAGCGCTGCCAAACTCAAACGCCGTCAGCAGTTGCGGGAGGACCTTGTGGCGGCAGAAATCCTCAGGGAAGGAGTCCAGGTTCGCACTGAGCTCCTGGAAGAACTTCTGCCGCTCCGCGGGCTCCTTAATCTGGGGAGAGGATAAAAGAAGTCACCGGCTCACAGCCACGACCTGGCTGAGGCCTGGGCGTCCCCTTGTTTGCATGAGACTAATGGGGCTGTTGCTCCCCCTCTGGAAACAGGAGGCCAGCTCAGCTCTTTTGGCAGCGCTGACTGGCAGCAGTTACGCAGGCCAGGTCAAGGCTTTGCAAGCTGCTGTCCTTGGATTCCTGTTTCTAACTGCGCTCCACCACTGAGCTGTGGCTCAGTCGTAACAGAAGATCAAAGGACACCCGCACTTTGCCCCTGCAGGGCAAAAAGCCAGGATTCGCCCTCCCACTCACCTGGATCTCCTCCAGGAAGAGGTTGGTCTCCACAAAGCTGTTGTCCATGAAGCCCCCCGGCCCCTGGCAGTTCTGCAGGAACTTGGCCGGGTTGGGCCGCAGCTTGGGGTTGGCACCCACCAGCTCACAATAATGGGGGACCAAAGACTTGGGGATCTGGAAGACAAGGGGGGAGAGGCAGCGAGGGAGAAGAGTCATGACCTCCTTGAAAGGCAAGAGACGCAGGAGTTGGGAGAGAGGGGGGCAGTCCAGGCCTTCTGCACACTCCCCCCTTGCAACCTTCCTACTATGGCTCTACAGCCAGTTAGGAAGATAAGGCCTGACAAATGTGGCCGCTCACAGCCTTAGGAACTCCCTTGCTAGTGAAGCCAGACTGGCTCCCTAATTGTTGCCCCGTTAGAATTCTTGTCCTAACAGGCTGGCTGATTTTAAAGGAAAGGGCTGGTGTTGTGATGTTTTTATTGCAATTATCTGAGATAGATAGATAGATAGATAGATAGATGATAGATAGATAGATAGATAGATAGATAGATAGATAGATAGCTAGATAGATAGATGATTGATAGATAGATATAGATAGATAGATACAGTAGATATAGATAGATAGATAGATAGATAGATAGATAGATAGATAGATAGATAGATAGATATAGATAGATAGATATAGATAGATACAGATAGATAGATAGATAGATATAGATGAGATTAGATAGATGATAGATAAATAGATAAATAGATAGATAGATAGATAGATAGATAGATAGGTAGATGATAGATAGATATAGATATATAGATGATAGTTTAGCTAGACAGACAGACAGACAGATAGATAGATGATAGATAGATAGATGACAGAGATAGATAGATAGATAGATAGATAGATAGATAGATAGATAGATGATAGATAGATATAGATTTAATTTTATCAATGCTTAATTGCTTAATTGCTTTTTAATGATTGGTGGTTTTTTTCTAGCAACACGGGTCCCCCATTGCTCCTCTAAAGCCTAAGGTCTTCAGGAGCCGGAGATTGTTCCACCAGCTCCAGCAGCCCTCCAGTGGCACGTGACTCCACCCTGCTAACCTACAAGGCTGCTGTTTCTTCCAGGACAGAGAGGTACACACACCTTGCCAAGAGACCGGAGGGAAGATGGCCGAGGCAGGGGGCCATTGAAGACCTCCCAGATGAGGCAGCCAAGGCGCCACATGTCGGCTGACCTGTCACAACACAGAAAGGGGTGGTTAAGCGTGTTTGATTAAAGCCTCCCCCCCCCAAAAAAAACCCCCACAGCTCTGACTGACATATAGGTACACGAGCACCCATGCACCTCTGCCTTATTTTGGCCACTGCTAATCCCTTTCCAAGTAGCCCACCCCACTTTGCCATCTGAAAACAGAAATTCTGTATTTTTTTAAAGTCTTGACTGATGCCCATAACTTATTGACAGTCTTAAGGAGAAACAAATATTCCTAACTTGCCCTGATTCCAGTGAGGCAGCTGCCTTGATATGCTATGGCAAGCTCAGGAGAGTCCTGAGGAACCTGAGAGCCAGAGTGGTTAGAGTATCTGGCTAGGACCTGGAAGAGACCTGGGTTCAAATCCCCCACTTTGTACTAAAAGCTCACTGAGTGTGACTTTGGGCCAGTCACAACCTCACAGGGTTGTCGTGGGGATTAGAGGAGGAGCAGGAGAACCAAATACGCCACCCAGAGCTCCTTGGAGAAAAATTTGGAATAGAAATCCAATAAAATAATATTTATTCAGCTTCCATCTTGATTTGCTTGCTCAAAACTTGCAGGGTGTTTTGGCTCCAGGGGCTTACAGGCAGTCCATATTTTGCGGGAGGGAACTCAAGCACATACCAAAACTTTAGGTTTGCACAGTTAAGGTCTTGACTGAGCCACAGCCCTGACTGAAAGCTGTCTTCTTAAGAGGCAGGGATCTGGAGAACACCCCTTGTTTTCATTTTTTTATTTCATGCATATCCCGCTCAAGCTTCTAGGGGTCACCCAGAGGCTCATGGCATGAGGGGACTGATAAATTTAACAAGCAAATTTAACAAGGCGCTTCCTTTCTTCCCTCATTTTATTCTCACAACAAGCCTGCCAGGGAGATCAGGCCAAGAGACAGCGAGTGCTACAAGGTCACCCGGAGAGATTCAGGGCTGAGCAGTGGGATTCGAACCTGGATCTCCCCAGTCCAACTTTCTAACCACCACACCTTACCGGCAGAGGTGAACGGAAACCTCACTGCTTGCATTTTAGAGGCTGGACCAAACTAGAAGGGGGTTGGCTGCTTTTTAAAAGAAAGGATGCAGGGGGAAGCCAAGCAAGCTCACCATTTTTCTCCAACGCTCTTGCTGCTGTCTGCTAACTCAGGAGGGTCGTACTTCTCCAGCTCTGGGACCCCTTTCCTCGGCACGGCAGCATCCCCCTGAGCTGAGCACATGTAGTCCAAACCGCCCAGCTTCCACTCGCCAGCACGGTCCACAAAGATGGCCGCCGGGCAGACGTGGTTGTGGATGAGGTGGCAGTCGTTGACCAAGAAGCTGAGGGCTTTCTAGGAAGGCCATCGGCCCCAAGAAGGAAGCAGGTGGTTAGCAGGACAGAGATCTCCACCCTGCTCCCCATCAACTCTCCCACAAAGCCTCGTTTGTTTTATTATACTCTTCAAAAGCATCAGCCTTCACCAATCCGGTGGCCTCCATGAGAACCACCAATCCGGTGGCCTCCATGAGAACGTAAGGAGAGCCTGACGGATCAGGCCAAGAGGCCAGCATCCTGTTCTCAGAGTGCCTGTGGAGAACCTGCAGGCAGGATTCGACCACAAGAGCTCTCTCCCCTCCTGCGATTTTCCGCAATTGGTATTTAGAAGCGCTGCTGCCTCTGATCGTGGAGGACACAGCCCTCATGGCTCACAGCCATTGATAGTCATCCCCTCCATGATTTTGTCCAATCTTCCTTTTCAAGCCACTCAAGCCGGTGGCCATTCCTGCCTCCTGTGGAAGTGAGTTCCATAGTGCTGTGGGAAGAAGGACTTTCTCTTATCCATCCCAAATCCTCCAACATCCAGTTTCATGGGATGCCCACATGGCCTAGAGTGGCCATCACAGCTTCTGGAGGAAGTGAATTCCAGATGTTTTTGGACTACCCCTCCCATCAACCCCAGTCTGCATGGGTGATGGTAAGGGGCATGGGAGTTGTAGTCCAGCAACATGGGGAGGGCCACAGTCCCGCTCCACTCAAAGCAGCAGGTGTTTTTCCCATCTGCAGGGTCCTGGGCCCAGGGGCAGCAAGCAGTCCTCTCCCAAGACACCCCACACATCTCACCACAATCTGATGGAGGCCCCACGAGATCTCCAGCTCGCTCAGCTCTCGCCCTTCGCCTCTGGACTCCAGGTAGGCCGGAAGCGGCATCACTGGCTCCGTCACCACATGCAAGCATTTTTCCGTCTGCCAAAACAAAGACACGTCACCATGTTAGGAGTAACGTCTACCTTAAGAACCCAGAAAGCTGCCTCATTGCACATCCGACTCTGGTTGCTCCAGCTCAATACAATCCACAAGCAGCAGCTTCTCAGACGGGACCACAGAGCCACAGCCCCCTCCCTTTCACGCTCCTCACTAGGACCCTCACTTTCTTTTGCCAGAACTGAGTCACAGAATCACAGCACTGTAGAGTTGGAAGGGAACCCCCAAGGTTCATCTAGTCCAATGCCCTGAAACGCAGGAATCCCAGCTAAAGAATCCCAGGCAAGGTGGCCACACAACCTCCAATGAAGGAGAGTCCGCCACCTTCTGAGGTTCCACCATCTAAGAGGGAAAGAAACCCAGTGGCTGGAGTCAATATGTGTTTTCCCCCCATAGGGCATCTCCTAATTCTTTCTCCAGCTTTTAAAAGAAATCTACAAACAGCCTGGGCTTCCTTTATTTCTGCTTTTTATACCTACAAAGGAGCCTCTGTGTGTTTTGCATAAAGATGCAGACAGATCTGGGTAAGATGAGCGGGCTATAAATAATAAAATTATTGTTGTTGCTGTTATTGTTATATTACAATTTTTATTTTATTTGTGATTTTCAGTTAAAAACATTTCAAGAGTTTTACAGTCATTTTAACATTTCAAAACTTACTTACTTCTCTTTCTGTGGTTCCTTACATTTCTATTTATCATTTCCTGCCTATTCTAAATTAACTTAACTTATTCTTTTATCCATCTACTTTAACTATTTACTCTAATGAAACTGCAGGCTGTTACAATAATCCTGCCAATGTCCTTATCTGTTTACAATGTATTTGTACATATTCAATAATAATAATAATAATAATAATAATAAATTTTATTTATATCCCGCCCTCCCCAGCTGAAGCCGGGCTCAGGGCGGCTAACAACAATAAAACAGTACAAAAGTACAGCACAAACAACACTCTAAAATAATTCATTATAAATTAATTCAAGCCACTGGCAACCATTGGGCCAGAGCTCCGCGAAGATTGCCGAGGGAGGGAGTCAGGCTGTGCCCTGGCCAAAGGCCTGGTGGAACAGTTCTGTCTTGCAGGCCCTGCGGAAAGATGTCAAGTCCCGCAGGGCCCTGGTCTCTTGTGACAGAGTGTTCCACCAGATCGGAGCCACGGCCGCAAAAGCCCTGGCTCTAGTTGAGGCCAGCCTAACTTCTCTGTGGCCTGGGACCTTCAAGATGTTTTTATTTGAAGACCGTACGTTTCTCTGTGGGGCATACCAGGAGAGGCGGTCCCGTAGGTACGAGGGTCCTAGGCCGTATAGGGCTTTAAAGATTAAAACCAGCACCTTAAACCTGATCCTGTACTCCACCGGGAGCCAGTGCAGCTGGTATAGCACCGGGTGAATGTGATCTCGCAGCGAAGACCCCGTAAGGAGTCTCGCTGCAGCATTCTGCACCTACTGGAGTTTCTGGGTCAGTCTCAAGGGCAGCCCCACGTAGAGCGAGTTACAATAATCCAGTCTGGAGGTGACCGTCACGTGGATCACAGTGGCTAGGTCAGGGCGAGAGAGGTAAGGAGCCAACTGCTTAGCTTGGCGGAGATGGAAAAATGCCGCCTTTGTTGTAGCTGCAATCTGCGCCTCCATGGAAAGGGAGGTGTCGAAGATTACACCCAAACTCTTAACCGACGGTGCTGGCACTAATTGCGCCCCCGCAAGAGATGGGAGTTGCCCCCCCAATCCCATATCGTCCCGTCCCAGCCATAGGACCTCTGTCTTCAAAGGATTTAGCTTCAACCGGCTCCCACGTAACCATCCAGCCACAGCTTCCAAACATCTGGTCAGTGTGTCTGGGGCCGAGTCAGGATGGCCATCCATCAACAGATAGAGTTGGGTGTCATCAGCATACTGATGGCAACCCAGCCCAAAACTCCGGACAAGCTGGGCAAGGGGGCGCATAAAGATGTTGAAAAGCATCGGGGAGAGTATCACACCCTGAGGCACTCCACACACCAAGGAGTGGCGCAATGACAATTCCCCCCCAAGCGCCACCCTCTGTCCCCGACCAGAGAGAAACGAGCACAGCCATTGAAGGACTGTGCCCTGGATCCCCACATCGGCAAGGCGGTGGTCCAGAAGTTCGTGATCGACCATGTCGAAAGCTGCTGACAGATCTAGAAGAATCAGCAGCCCCGACCCACCTCGATCCAGCTGTCTACGAAAATCATCTGTTAGGGCGACCAGAGCCGTCTCGGTCCCATGACCAGCGCGGAAGCCGGACTGGAATGGATCCAGAGCCGATGTTTCATCCAGAAACCCACCAAGCTGTTCAGCAACCGCTCTCTCACCTTACCCAGGAACGGAAGATTCGAAACCGGGCGGTAATTAGATAGATCTAAAGGATCTAATGATGTTTTCTTTAAGAGAGGGTGCACCACTGCCTCCTTCAGTTCCCCTGGGAATGTCCCCGTGCCAAGGGACAAATTGATGATATCCCCCAGGAGGGCCCGCACCTCGTCTGGACACGCTCTAATCAGCCAAGACGGGCACGGGTCGAGAGGACAGGTGGTGGGCTTTCCAGCTCGGAGGAGTCTGTCCACATAGGCTGGGGATATCCGGTTGAAGTGGTCCAATACTGGACCCGAGGACAGTTGAGGGGCCTCCAGTTCCTTTATTGTATCCAAATTGGCAGGGAGGTCATGGTGGAGCAACAAGACCTTCTCCGCAAAAAAGCTCGCAAATGCCTCACAGCTGTGTGTCAAATTGTTATTTAAATTTGGCTGTCCCTCAAGGGACGTTAAAGACCTGATTATACTAAATAATTGCACCGGGCGAGAGCTAGCGGATGCAATGGAGGCCGAGAAGTAAGACTTCTTAGCAGCCTTCACCGCCATCTCGTAGGTTTTCATAAAAGCCCTATAAGATGTTCTTGAGGCTCCGTCACGGGCACCCCGCCATACTCGCTCTAGCCGTCAGGAGCTGGATATTCCAGCCCTCAACAAGCTCAGTCAATGAGTCGCCAGGGGGAGCAAGGTCCTGCAAGGCTTGGCGGAATCTATCAGGGTCCATCAGCCTCTGCAGGCGAGCCCAAATCGGCTTGCCACCTAAGCAGGGTGGGGGTGGAAAGTCAATCCTGGCTTTCAGAGCGTAGTGATCAGACCATGGCACGGCACCTTCATCGAAGGAGACATGATCACATCTATACCTACGCCAAAGATCAAATCCAGCGTGGGGCCTGCTTGATGTGTGGGGCCCGAAACAAACTGGGAGAGCCCTAGTGTTGCCATGGAAGACACCAGGTCCAGAGCCTGTGAGGAGGGAGTGGCATCAGCATGGATGTTGAAGTCCCCCAATACCAATAGGTTAGGGAACTCCAAGGCCCAGTCGGCCACCGCCTCCAATAGACCTGACAGGGTGGCTGCTGGTGCGCTAGGTGGCCGGTACACCAGCCAGACAGCCAAGCTCTCCTCGGAGCCCCACACTAGGCCAACACATTCAATGCCGGGGATCGATGGCGATGGTAGAGCCCTGAAAGGACAATCTTCCCGGATTAATAATGCCACCCCTCCCGCCCATCCCACAGTCCACGACTGGTGGAGGACAGAGAAACCCGGGGGTGCCATCTCTCGTAAGGTAACTGTTGCCCCTTCACGCACCCAGGTCTCCGTCACACAAGCCAGGTCGACCCCCTGCGAGATAAAGAAATCTCACAGGGTGGTGGTTTTGTTGCCTATAGACCTGGCATTGCACAGCACCAGTGACGGAGGTGAGTAATCCTTGCTCACCGTACCCTCGTCCCTCGGGATGAGGCGCAGATTGGAAGGGGTACGAGCATATCCATATCTCGATCCCCTTCGCCTATAACATCTGCCCCCACCGCCATACCTCCCTCGCCCCTCCACGGTAGCAACCATTTCCATTCTTTTATAAATAAATAAAAAGTTTGTTCTCTTGCTGTCTTACTTTCCCCGGTAAGTTTTGCCATTTCTGCATAGCACATGAGGTTTTGTATCCAATCTTCTTTGATTCTATTCTATTCTATTCTATTCTATTCTATTCTATTCTATTGCCCGAAACCTCCACAGCACATTCCTACCTCCTCGGCCACATTCCATCTTAACTAGGGCAGCTAAATGCAAACTCTGTAGCTCCAACCTCAGTTTCCCACCTCCTCCACAAACTGATGGACTACGACTCCCATCAGCCCCGGCAAGAAAGCTGGGAAGGTTTGAATTGAGGGCCCAGTGTCATCTGCAGGGCTCTCACAGGCTCCCAAACCCCGAACCAGCCCGATGAAGAGTTCTGGAGGACCTGAAACCTTGGAGGTCGGGTCTGCCGCCTCCTCAGCAGGCCTACCCCACGTAACCTTGACAGCAGCCTCTTGGAGAATAGGAGGTGCTGCTGGTCTGCTCCCAGCCTTGTTCCCCACATGTTCGTTCCCCCCTTGTTCCTGATGGAGACCTTCCCTGATCAGTCACTCCTTCCCTGGCTGACGGGATGCCGTTTTGGGCCTCACCTCAGGTGCCAAAATGTCTTAGGCCTGCCTTGCACTCCACAAACAAAAAAAACCCTTTAGCAACTCCCCTCAATATACTACCTCTAACCCGTCAATGTAGGACAGGATATTGGGGTGCCGTAGGGTTTTGAGGTGTTTGAAGGCCGCCTTGGCGATCTGAGTCTGTTCTTCGTTGCCGGGTTTCACATCGTACACAAACAGAGACACTGGTTCCCCCGTGGCCTGTCGGAAAGAAAGAAAGAAAAGGACGTTGAGCTCTCTTTGCAGCTGCTGAGGAGCAAGGAGACCTTTTGCTTTTTGAAGTGGAACAGGGGTTCCCACCACCTCCCAGGCTTCAAAGCCAGGGTGCAAAGTACCAAAGCTTGACCCTAAGATTGTAAGCACCCAAGGCACTAAGCCCCCAAAGTGGCCTCCTGAGAGCAGAACCGCAGAATTTCAGAGTTGGAAGAGACCCAAACGGTCAATGGGTCCATGCTAATCATAGCTAAATACAGTAAATATTGCGATACAGGAACTTGCCCCGCGTTCTTCAGTAGAAAAAACACAAATTAAATAGCCATTTCACAACACCCAAAGTCACTTGCCTGAGGCAGACACCTCACACTCTAAGACTGGACCTGGGGCAGCAGGATCGGACCAGCAATGGTGACGGCAGCTCCCTCTGGGGTGGAGCAGCTCCCAAGTTGGCGGAGGAGGAGAACAATTCCCTGAATGCGGGGAGGGCGCAGACTGCCTTGGACTGGGTCAAAACATCTAGCCCAGTCTTCCCCATCAGCAGCTCCCTGACATTCCTAACTGGAGGCTGAACCTATGACCCTTCTGCGTGCCATAGCACCTTAAAGGTAAAGGGACCCCTGACCATTACGTCCATCGTGACCGACTCTGGGGTTGCGGCGCTCATCTCGCTTTATTGGCCAAGGGAGCTGGCGTACAGCTTCCAGGTCGTGTGGCCAGCATGACTAAGCCGCTTCAGTACATGGAAACACCGTTTACCTTCCCGCCGGAGTGGTACCTATTTATCTACTTGCACTTTGACATGCTTTCGAACTGCTAGGTTGGCAGGAGCTGGGACCGAGCAACGGGAACTCACCCCGTCATGGGGATTCGATCGGCAAGTCCTAGGCTCTGTGGTTTAACTCACAGCGCCACCCGCGTCCTTAGGGTGCTGCTATATCTTAGCTTGACAACAACCCTGTGAGGTAGGTTGAGCTGAAGTAAAGAGACAGAGACTGGCTTGGAGTTACTAAGTGAAATTCTTGGCCTCCTATGCACTGTGGCCCTCCCCACAGAAGACCTCCGCGTGGGGCTGAAGAGATCACTTTTCCCGTTCACAAAAAGTGGGAGAAGGGTGCTTCTCCCAGCTCCTTCCTCCATTTCAGCAGCACAGATGCGGCCTTCCGTCTTTTTAAGGGCACCCCAACATTGCATCTCCCACCCTGCATGCACTGGAGAACTGGGGAAGACTTGCCACCCCCACCCTCAATCCAGATGAGTCTCTGCCCGGGACAATGGGTTCGGCAACTCCAATGAAGTGGGGAGGGGAGAAAACCCTTTCCCATCTGTCTCTCTCTCCCGGTTGGACTTCAGCCTGCGCCCCCTCCTCCCCGCGCGTGCGCACAGAGAAAGGCGAGCGGACAGACCTTCCTCCTGCCGCGGTGCAGCAGCCAGGATCCCCCCGGCAAGGGCAGCGGCGGCGCCTCCGGAGGCGAGACGACCTCGAAGGGGAAGTCCCGGATCGGGTCCCGGGAGAAGAACCACATGGCGGCTCCCCGGCTGGAGGTCGGGGATGGGGACCCCGGTGGGCAGCGGCGGCAGCAGCAGCGGAGGCGGCTCCGCGGACGTCACCAGCCCCGCCAGCTAGGCAGGCGCTGTTTTCCTCGGCCGGCCGGGAGGCTGGCTTAGCCCCGGATCCTCTTCGCAGCCCCGGAAGTGCTTGGAGAGAGGGCGCGCCCGAGCATGCACAGAGCGCCGGCGGCGGAGGAGAGGGCCTCCGAGACGCGAGGGCTTCTCGTGGCGCTGCACTCACACGTGCAAGGATGGGGAGAGGGAGGCGCACCCCTAGCCAAAAAGCGGCGGCCCGTACTGCGGCGGGAAAGTGGAACGCGCTGCATTCACACGAGACGCGCCAACACCGAGATCTTTGACGCGCTTACCCGAGGGCCCTGGAAGCATAGAACTTTAGAGTCGGAAGGGACTCCCAAGAGTCATCTAGTCCACCCACTGCAACCTCCCATTGAATTCATTGGGAATTGCTACCCATATACAGTACCCAATTCATTGGGGTATATATTTTTTTGTGGGGGAGAGAATCCGCTCGATTGGGGAGGGGGGCATTTCCTATCAACCCCAAATCCCTGTTTCAAACACTGACTGCTGCCCGTCCACCCACTCCAACCTTGGAAGCGCGCTCCACACATGCTCAGAAGCAGCGTAACCCGGAGTGATAGCTTCATGTGTCCAACACGTTTCACTTCCCATGACTCTCCGCTCAGATGTTTCCCCTGCAGGTGGAGAAAGAAAGAGAAGGGGCTCCCAGACCCCGACATCTCCTCTCCCCACTCCTCGGATGCAGTAAGATGCCCTCCAGTTTTCCATATCCACAAAACAACTGGGTTGGTAGTTAAAACTGACTTCAATGTTGCCCAAGGGGGAGTGTCATCTCTGTACCTCGGGACCACTGGTTAGTTATGGGGGTGCAGGACAGGTCACGTGGCACCCACAACTCTGCCCTTCCAACAGCAGCAGATAGCTAAAGAAGTGGAGAAGGTCAGGATAAACGGGGTGTAGGAGCTGCTGCTGCTACCTGAGGCAGCCCTCTCACTTTGTCTAAGGATATGGGCAGGGTATAAATAATAAATTATTATTATTATTATTATTATTATTGTTATTATTGTTATTATTGTTATTATTATTATTAGCCAGAATATCAGCTGCTGAAGGGGGAAGAAAGCAAGAAGTTCAAGACTTCCCAAGTCTCTCTCTCTCTTGCTTTGAGGAGATGTGAGCAGCCCAATGCAAAGGGTAGAACATAGAAAGAGCCTCATCTAGTCCAGCATCTGCTTCTTATTATTTCAGCTATTTTGTTATTAATGGTTTCTCTGTTTTCCTTATTACAGGAATCAGACAGTGATGGGTCAAAAAAATAAAATAAAATGATAATGCAAATTTATAAACAAGCCAGACCATACTTTAAGCTGAAGGCACTTCCATGGGCTTCGTTATTCTTATAAACAATAAAACCATGCCAAATACTGTAGAATGAAGCATTTCCAATAACGCAGTTTGTCACACTATATAGTACCAACAAAATGCATTATTGTGTTTGTCCTGAATCTACTGCTCATCAGTTTTATCAGGTGACCCCTGAATTTATAAGGAATTCTTTATCCATGCCTTTCCCCCCCAATCATGTTATAAACATTACTGTTGTGTTATGTTTAAAACTGGAAAGTTATATATATTTGCATTTATTGTATTTGAATTGCTATAATATTCTCAAGTGAAGCTGTGACATCATGATAGGTCAGCAGGTCAGCATACACCTGGCCGGCCTAAAATGCATTTTGTCGTTGTTTAGTCGTGTCCGACTCTTTGTGACCCCGTGGACGAGAGCACGCCAGGCACTCCTATCTTCCACTGCCTCCCGCAGTTTGGTCAAACTCATGCTGGTAGCTTCGAGAACACTGTCCAACCATCTTGTCCTCTGTCGTCCCCTTCTCCTTGTGCCCTCCATCTTTCCCAGCATCAGGGTCTTTTCCAGGGAGTCTTCTCTTCTCATGAGGTGGCCAAAGTATTGGAGCCTCAGCTTCAGGATCTGTCCTTCCAGTGAGCACTCAGGGCTGATTTCCTTAAGAATGGAAAGGTTTGATCTTCTTGCAGTCCATGGGACTCTCAAGAGTCTCCTCCAGCACCGTAATTCAAAACCATCAATTCTTTGGCAATCAGCCTTCTTTATGGTCCAGCTTTCACTTCCATACATCACTACTGGGAAAACCACAGCTTTTACTATACGGACCTTTGTTGGCAAGGTGATGTCTGTACTTTTTAAGATGCTGTCTAGGTTTGTCTTAAAATGCATAGAATCCTAGAACTGCAGCAATGGAAGGACACCAAGAGTTCTCTAGCCCAACCCCCCTGCCATGCTGGACCAGCTAGGTCCTTTTTCAATTTGGATTGAATCTAGTTTGTGGGGGCAACACATCAAAATGCAATGTTTAATTTAAAACTACATGATAAATACAGGATATTTATCGTTAGATTGTGGCTAACGTTGGGCATATACACCACTTCTCAAACTAGCAGTGGGAATTGTACTTGGTGCAGTCAGTGTAAACAGAAATGTGCTTTCAGGCTTAATTCTGGAGCGGAGCCTTTTCTGCAGTTCTCTCACTGGCCACCAGGAGGCCCTAAAGACACAACAGAACTTCTGCATCTGCCTTCCGGGATGTTTTTACCTTTCCCCAAATAGATCAATTGCAGCAAAACAGGATGTGACTGGAAGGTGTGACTTGGAAGAGGGTTGGCCTTAGGCAGGAAGAAAAGGCAATTGCCCTTACCGGAGCCTGTAAGGCTCCTGGCCACCTGCTGCCACGTCATTTCAGCCCTGGAGGCCGGTGGCCAAATGCAGCAGGATCCCCAGCTCCACATCACCACCCCACATCCTGCTGCTGCTGAACTTTAGCCGCCTCCTTTTAGGAATGCTTTGAGCTCCACCCAGCTGCCTACAAAGCGCCAGGACAAAGAAAGGCAAGTCCTTGTGCTTGCAGTGCATGATTAAGCTATGGAACTCGCTGCCACAGGAAGCAGTGATGGTCAGAAACTTGGGACAGCTTTAAAAGACTGAACAAATTAATGGAGGAGAAAGTTGTTGTTGTTCATGTAAATATATTACCTGCCCTTCACACTTAACTAGGGTGGAAGGCTCACAGAGTATGCAGTACTGTATAGTAACTTTTTCCACTGCGGGAGTCATGGAAGACAGGAGTGCCTGGCGTGCTCTGGTCCATGGGGTCACGAAGAGTCGGACACGACTAAACGACTAAACAACAACAACAACATACAGTAGTAACTTTTGAGCAAACACCCCCTAGGCTTCCCCTGTGTGTGCTTTGCGGGTGGGGGGGGAGTTGTCACTTTAACAACTCTTGGTAACCAAGAAGTGCCCTTGATTCTTATTCTCAGGAATTTTGGGAGAAAACGTTCATTTCCGCACCCAGACCTTGCAGAAAAGTCGCCTTGAAAATAAAACACATCCACGTTGGTTGAGGGACTATATTTTGTGCTATTGTGACCACTAGGTGGCGGAAGGAGCAGGCGCACTTGAGTGAGTGAGGCTGTCCCTGGGTATAATTACTGGCCTCCGCCGGCGTTCTAGGATAGTTGCAGGGAGCGTCACGGAGGGACGATGGGAAGAGATTAGCGGAGGTTAAGTAGTTTATAAACAGGAAAAGATAATTAGGTATTCTTAAGCAGTATCAGGAGAGGCAGTTGTTTTAAATTAAAAAGAAAGAAAGAAGCAACTGAATATTAATAAAAGAGGTAGGAACAGATAATTGTTTAAGGATTGTGGGCTTTTCAAAGGTCTCCAAAGAAAACAGATAAACACAACTGCAAACTAAACCGCATTAGGACAGGAAATAATTTTGATTAAAAAGAAAATGGAAAGCAAACAGAAGAAGGAACTAAACCTTTAAAAAAAAAACCCAGGGGAAACGGTTAACTGTTGGCAGATTATGGGCATTTAAAAGTTCCAAAAGAAAAGGCAGGTAAACAAAACTTAACTGAAAAGTAAGAAAAATATAAAGATGAAGATTTTAAAGAAAATCAAGAAAGAAAAAATATTTGAAGATAGAAATAAAAGAAGATAGAGGGGGGAGCTATATTTACATTTCAAACTAATTGAGGACTAGTTTTTAATGTAAAAGTAGATGGCTCTGAAGTCTGCTTCAAGCAGAGTGCAAAATGAAGAGAAGATGGCAGGCTTTTGTTTTAAAAAGCAACTAGAGAGAGGCCTTTCCATCTGAAGAAAGGGTTAGGCTTTTGTTGCTGAAGGTAGAAAAACCAAGACTGGGAAGACTTGGAAGAGAGGAAGGAGCCGTAGAAGATAGAAGGGTAGAAGGCAACTTAGAAGAGGATCCAGGAAGAGAGAAAAGGGAGGGAAGGGAAAGGAGCAAAATCTGTAACAACTGTGTCTGAAAAGGATAGCAAAGAGGAAGGAGGAGATGAAAAGGACAGAGATTTGTAATTGTTTGCAGCCATTTTGTGGCGGCTTCTCCTCAAGGACTTTGTGAAAGATGTTCTTTTTCAAAGGGATGCAGTGGGAAGGATTTCCTTAAAATACTGGTATAAGGTGTCAAGGACAAAAATAATCATCTGATTCACCAGCCTTAAAGGGGGTGGCATCTAATTCTGAAGTTAGGAAGAGTCGTTCCAGCAGCCAGTGCAAATTGGTGAAGCTAGAAAAGATACCGAAAGCATTGAGAAAAAAAGCAAGAAAACTCCTGAGGGAAGAGCCTTACTTAGCTTTAGATCAAGAATGAAGGAGCAAATATGTGGTGAAGACGGTGAACTTCTCGGTAGTTGGTAACCTAATGGGAAGGCTCTGTATTCTTAGTTTTCCTTGTCAAGGGCTGTTTTGTGGGGTGTGGGGAGCAGGGGTGTTGGTGTTGTAGGTTTCTCTCTTTGCAGGCATAATTGCGCCCGTTGTCTGTTGCCGAGAAGCTATTGCTGAGAAGCTAACAGGCAGTCTGCACGTGCTTCG